TACAAGCAGTTAGCCAAATTTTAGGTTTATTTACCAACATAAATCAGCAGTGCTGTATCCTGAATAAATGAACATAAATCGAAATACATAGCTCAATTTTCAGAACTTTACTTCAAATATAAAATGGGGAGATGTAGTATGATTACCAATGAGTCACTGAAGTATCTACCCGAATCCAAAGTAACGTGAATTTAAGCAACTGCAAGTCACCGTAAGACTTTCAATAATGAACAAAACCCATCCACTATAGTCAGCTATAAAAGGTCACGATTAAACAACATCTGAAGCAATTCAAGTGAAAAAGCAAACGGTCTGATTTATTACAATACAATGCTTCTTGTTGATGCTTGATGGCAGGGAAAAATTATGAAATCGTAAAAGATATATATCTTAATAGGTTATTGCAGAAAAAATTATAATGAAGCACGATAGTTGTCTTTCAAAACTTATATACAAAAGTATATTTAAAACTTTTTAAATAATACTAGTACTTGAATAAATAAAAATATATAAGAAGATACAGAAGGGGCAACCAAAAACTGTAAGTCAAAGAAAGATAGAAAACACGATCATCAAAAGAAAAAGACAAACAAAAGCCCTCAAAACTAGATGTATATAAAATAGGAAATGTCGTATGATTGCCAATGAGACAACTATTCACCCGAGTCCAACTAAGGCGGATTTTAGCAATAGGTATAGGTCAACGTACCATCTTCAACAATGAGTAAAACACATACCGCTATTTATGACAAAATGTGAAACAATTCAAACCAAAAAACCAACGACTTGATTTATGACAAAACAATAAACAAAAACAAACACGACTGATAGCAACCAATGACCGACGACCACTGAATTACTGGCTCCTGACTTGGACAGGCACAGCTAGAATGAGGCAGGGTTAAACACGTTTGTGAATTCTCAATCCCCCACCCAAAACCACCCGTAAGTTATATGAACCTTGGACAGTTGTGTTACAGCACAACATAAGAACAAACTGTAAAAATCAGTTTGAAATGGTTTGATTCATCAGATCGGCAGCATTAAAAACTCAACACAAAAAAAAAAAATAACATTGAACATTGATGAGGGTCTGGATGGGGGTGTCCTTCATTTCTGTATTCTTTATTTTTTAGGCCATTTTTCTCTATTCTTTATATATTTTGCTCATTATTCTCTATTCTTTATTTTTTGGGTCCATTTTTTTCTGTTCTAAATTTTTTTGCCCATTATTCTTTATTCTGTAAACCCCCACCCAGACCCTCATAGATAAAAAGATAAATGACACACAGCACCGATCTAAGAGTAATTTATCAAAAACAAAATCAACGTCGGTCAATAACCGATAAAAAAATGCAATATTCCACTATCTTACTACGGTGTTTAATTGATATCCTTTAAGAATAAGTTTATTAAAAGGATCACAGAGTTCACATGGATCATATATAAAGTTACGGGCTTTATAAGCAACAACTGTACCGTAAAAATTAGGATGTGATATCTATTTTAATAAGAATTCTACAGTTACAGCCAAACTTCAAAACCAAATCTTTGTTTCTATGAAAAAAATTAGCCAAACCATAAGTAATATATGGTAACGAAATCCCTGACTTAACAATTTATCAGTTATACATAGATAACTGTTTTGTGGACTAAAATACATATCCACCTTTCATCTATAGAAGTCACTAGTTCATCGGTCAAGGTCGCAGGTAATCTTCAATGGTACATGACAAATCATCTTGAAGTGATTCACCCATGTGCCTTAAATCTAGAAACAATGCTGAAGGATGAGCAATATAAAAATAAGGAGATGTGGTATGATTGCCAATGAGACAACTATCCACCAAAGTTCAAATGAGGTGAATGTAAGAATGTAAAGAACTGGATTATTTTGGCCTTTACTTTAGGTGTCCCAATGGCTGTGTTTCTGGGCAAGGAAAAGAGTTCATGTAAACTGATATCCTGATTTAATCTATATATAATCAATTTTGTTAAGAAAATTCCATTTTAGAATAGCAACTGATATCAGCATGTGATCACTGTATTGTAGTAAGTTGAATCAGTACGAAATGTATTTTTTCTGACCTAATATTAGAGGGTTTGGATGGGGGTTCTTCATTACTTTAATTTTGTAGGTCATATTTCTCTATTCTTTATATTCTAGCACCCAATTATTTTCCTTTCTTTATTTTTTTGGCCTATTTTTCTCTATTCTTTATTTTTTTGTCCCATGTTCTGTAGATTTGGCCCATTACTCTTTAATCTGTAAACCCCATCCAGACCCTTATATTAGTATTAACTCAATGGACCAGTACATACTACATATTTAGTAGGAACTAACAATATACTCAGTTTCTTGTTGATATGGGAAGTTTTGAGAAATGAAAAGAAATTAAAAAAGGAAATTAATATATCCTCAGGTCATGGACAAAAAATGTGCTAAGTTATCGCTTGAATCAACTGGACATTACAAACATAAGAAACAAACATACATTAAATGTGACCTTGAACAGCAGAATGTAACCTTGGGGAAAATTCTTACATGCATACACTTTGAGAAATATTACCTGGATTCAAACTTTTATCACAAAGATATGTCTTAGACACATTTTTATTTAAATGGGTTGGCTTTCTTAGTTCATAGACAACAATTGTATAAAGTGTGAATTGAATCCAAGCAGACGAAATGAAGTGGAATGAAAAAAAAATGGCATAGAATTTTATACACACTCCCTTGTGGATCAAATGTAGATTTACACAGATAAAAAGCATTTTTCAGCGTGTAATGCAAGCATTTTTATGCCCCCACCACAATTCTTCTTACCACAAAACACAGATCAAATTCGAAATTGGGTGGCATCACTTTTACCATTCATGTGTTATGCCCTTTATAAACATAAAAGTTGCTGAATTTTTCATTACCGTTTTCTAACCATTAGTTTGCCTCAACCAAATGTTATTAAACTTATACACAATGCTTATTACCACAAAACACAGATCAAGTTAGAAATTAGGTGTTGTCACTTTTACCGTTCTTGAGTTATGCCCCTTTATAAATGGAAAAATTGCTAAATCTGTCGTTTCCGTTCTCGAACTTTAGTTTGCCTCAACCAAATGTTTTGAAACTTATACACAATGATTATAATCACAAACATATTTACAAGTGGGGGCATTTGTGGCCTATAGACACATTCTCCATTAATTTAACTGTTAAAACAAGCTGTTTTCATCACAAGCCATGTACATTGTACATGAATAACATGTGTTTACACATGACCACACATATTTTTTAAAGGGAAATGAATACATGTAGGTAAGAAATTAGTAGAAAAAATACTTCAAAGTTTCAATTAAAATAATTTGGAAAAAAAAACCCATTGACATTATATACATATCAGGCATTGACATCCCACAAGAAGCTTAATAGTACTAAATGGTGGAACAAGAAGATTTTTTTGCCTTTTTTGAAATAAAAAATAAAATAATTCTGCCCTTCGAAATTTACCTCAACTGCACATATTCTTCTTGTTATAATCACATTGTTTTTAAAATGGAGATCAATTTCAATGTTCTCTATTTATAACCCTTTGTGAATTTGACATTGTGCACTTTATTTAGTACATTGGGTATAATAAAACATGTCATGGCTTAGCTTTTAAAAACTAGAAATTATTGTTAATATTTAATTTAGTGCTGATATCTGGACTGGTAGATCTAAGTCTATAACATTATTATTTTTAGAAAAAGTGCTTATAATGTAGTAAATGTACCTTTTCTAGATTAAAAGGGGTAGGGTTGAGATTTACAAAATAACAAGTGTATCAAGTCAGGAACTTGTAAGAATTGTCTTATGTTGTATCTTTTAAATATTTTAGTTGTGATAGTTTCTCTTATATATAGTCACAACAAATTTTTTTTTAGAGTTTTAGTGTTGTGATGATTTAGATGGTTACCAGATGTCTTTTGTTTTGGTTTTTTTTTTGACGTTGGGTTGCAGCTGAGTTTGTCATTGCAATATACCCATAATTTTATTCATGGTGATAACAATCCGACTCAATCCATGAATTTTAATCACAGGATGATAGTCCAAAATTGGTCAATAAGAATGCTAGACAATGAGGTTTTTGTTAATTTGCCAATTTGTTCCTCTATTCAGTTGTGGCAAACTTCATATAGGAGTTGCTCAGGAAGAATGAAAAGAACCTAGTATATCCTTTGACTTCAAATTCCGCTATACAGATGTCTTCTCAGTAAATATTTCAAAGTTAGGTGACAATGTGGAACTCATCTATCTCATTGAACTTGAAATTAAGGATACCACAAATACAGTTAAGTCTTCCTCCTATATGGACTTACATCCAGAAATTAACAATGAGGATCAGTTAATAACTTGACTTTACCAACAAAAGAAATGATTTCAGCTTTCAAAATGTGAACTTTCCACTTGTATGTAGCAACATTCCAGTAGAGCCTGCATATAAGTATATATATCTCCCAGTTGATAAGATATTCCAGAACTTGAGGTTCCTTACATGATTTCAAGGATAGATAACTGGGATATCTGCGTTACAATCCCCCTATCCCCTTTTTCTTGAGTGTGACATCATTGAAAACTACTTTTCCCCAAACATGTACTTGCCATGAATCAAAAATAACGGTGCCACCTGTGGATCAGGATCTGCTTACCCTTTTAGAGCACCAAAGATCATTCTGGATTTTGGTAGGTTTGGTGTTGCTGTCTTTAGTTTTACATGTAGTGCTTTGTTTTTTCTTCCCTTTTTTTTTTTGTTTTCTGCCATGGTATTGTCGTTTTTTTCGTAAAATTATGTTTTTTTTTTGTCCCTTTGGTGTCTTCTGCCTCTATTTTTCATTCATGTTTATGGAGGTGTGGCTTGATTTAAAGCTTTAAGTATTTGGTTTGAGTTGCTCATCACAGTCCTGTCTTAATGTATAGATGTTATTGAATAGAGAGCAAAATTATGTTATCAAGTCAAAGAACCCATAAAAGTATTTAATTATTTATCCTAACAATTAATAACAATAATAAATTAATGTTAATTATTAACAGAGATATATAACAATAATTTTCACAATCAATCATTCAATCATTAAATATATAATCACAGACTAGTTTCCTTGATATGTATTAAAATTGGTCAGACTTTCTTTTTGAACCCCTTCATGTATGTCTATTCTGTCAAGAGATTGAGTTTCAAAAAGGAAGACTTTCCTGAAAATAAGAGGGAGGCATTAACACATGTATGTCAATCATATTTTACAATAAAATATTCAATTTTTTATTAAGTAACGTATCTTATTTACAGAAATAAATTTTCTGGTAGATAGGATTTCACTTTAATCAAATTTTACAGGTGAATGGTCTTTGAACCAACTGCCTTATAAAATATTGGAAATTTCAATTGAAATTTTATGGAAGTGACTAAATGTATGCCATCTAAAATTGTCATAGAACAAGACCTACACTAAAACACGACTCAATGTTTTCAAAAGTGAAAAAAAAACCAAAACATCCTTAAAAGTATGCCAAGATGGTCATGTAAGATGGAAACTTGATATCTTATTATACTGAAAATCATCTTAGGGAAGAGACACAGTAATTTTTTCACAACTAATCTTGACTCTTGACAAAGGGTAATTTAGTGCTTGAAATATCATATGGTGAAGACATATTTCTTTTGTTCACAGGTGTCAACTCGGCAGATATTAATAGGATACATTGGATATTCCTAAAAAGAAATGGAAATCTCCCTCTGCTAGTAAATCTTCCACTAAAAGAATTTCTTGAGAGGGAGGTCTACCACTTAAGTGGTTTGAAATGTTTACAACAATGTTTCATGAAGATTACGTCAACCTCTAAATGTTTCTTGTGTTGTTGAGTTACTGTTCTGACATATCTTTTTTATTCATAATACTATAATATTAAATTTTTAAAGTCTTTTCCAAACCACTCTTGCACAGAAATAATAAACCACACTACCATCAATAATTTTTTGGTGCTGATGTATTCAGAATGTTGCTATTAAAAAAATAAGTATTGCAGTCAAAAAGTAAAAGTTTTCCCGATGGAAAAAGATATTAGATAAAGTGGGATCTGTTGAACTGTTTCATCTGAGAAATACACATTCCAAAACCTAGTATTCTTCAATAGCTCCTGTAATAAGAATATATTTAAAATGATGAAAATTGATACATTGTATACAGCACATAAAATTTGGTCTTCTTTGTAACACAAGTGTCCAGAGTACTGTAAATTCAGAAATTACTGCGATGTTTTTATTATTATTGCGAAAAATGCGACAGGGTTATAATCGCAAAAATTTAAACTTGCATTTGAAAATTTTGTATATGAATTAAACAGGATTTTCTCAATATCGTAAAAATCAAAATCGCATTTTAGTCTGAAATGACAAAATCGCAATAATAAATGCACGCAATAATTTCTGAATTTACAGTAATCAGAAGTGTTACATCTAAATTAATCTTAAAGACATATGCTATTGCAAAATGCTAAAAAAATGAAAGAAGACAGCAGATTAAGTCATTCTTCAAATATTACATACAAAACAATACATTACTAACAATATCAGTATACAGCAAGTACAACCATCATAGCTATATTATCACAGAATATACAATTTTGGTCTGATATGTATCAAAATAAATGGAACTTCATGTATTGTCATCAGTTAAATGAAAAATTCTAAAATACATTTTCACGACTTCATATGAATAAAACATCTTTGATATAACCAGTGATTTATCATTCAATGTACAAATCAATTCTGTATTCATACTTCAAATAAAATATACTATAATAAATACTATGACAAAACTATTATTTCATAAAAATAAAATATTGCATATGTCCCATGGTCTTTAAAAATAAAATACATCATGGCAATTAACAACTAGAGGCTCTAAAGAGCCTCCTGTGTCGCTCACCTTGGTCTATGTGCATATTCAACATAGGACACTCTCCAACATTGTAGACGAGAATAGAATTCATGACAAAAATCTCTGTTTTGTTGATCTTGTATTGCTGATCATTTAGTCTGTTTAGTTTCTCTCTATCTTCTTTAGTTTTTGCTCAAAACACAAAAGAGGGTAAACAAATCCTCATTTAAGGGCAATCACTCCTATAAATAGCAGTCTTTTGCGCTCAACCACAGGCCCACCAGCCCAGTCATGTAAAAATGCTGTTGGGCCTGTAAAAATCATCTCTACAGGCCAATAGAATCAAATAAAATTTTCATAAAATTCAGCTTTGGGCCAATAGATTCAAAAGTTTATTGTGAAGACTGAAAGAGTAACAGTCTACTAACTATATCTGCAAAATTTGACTTGTTGGTAGATCTTGCCTTGCTGATCATTTTTGTGATTTAAAGTGTCTTATTTATCTATTATAATTTTCATCATATAAGGCAAAACGCAAAAACATGGTTAAAATATTAAATAAAGGGCAATAACTCCAATAAGGCAAAAATGAAAAAAATGTTAAAATTTGTCATTTAAGGGCAATAACTCCTTTAAGAAGTCGTCTGACAGTTTTGACGTAATTGACAATTGGTAGAGCTCAACATTCTGAACATTACTGCCCGTTCAGATTTTCTCTATTTATAACAGTTTTCAAAATAATAGACAAAACTTGCATTTTACCCCTATGTTCTATTTTTAGCCATATCAGCCATCTTGGTTGGCAGGCGGGGTCATCGGACACATTTTTAAACTAAATACCCCAATGATGATTGTGGCTTAATTTGGTTAAATTTGGCCCAGTAGTTTCAGAGGAGAAGATTTTTGTAAAAGTTAACAGATGACGATGGACGACGACATTGGATGCCAAGTGATGAGAAAAGCTCACTTGGCCCTCTGGGCCAGGTCAGCTAATAAAGACTAAAAAATTACAAAGTAAGTCAATAAGCACCTTCTTTGAGGCCATTTTGTTCGAACCAAAATACTGTAGGACAACAATTACATATTATCCATGTATTTTTTATGCGCTGATACTAATAGACAAGAAATACAACTGCATGTCCCAGTTACTGAAAAGATCGAGTGTTTTGCTGCATTCTAATTAGTTTATAAACTGTAAATATATTATCAACATTTTTTACACATTTAGCAAAATAAATGTGCTGAAAACTATGCCTTTAAACTATAAAAGTGGATGCAATAGCATATACCATATAACAATGGAATATCATAAATATTTTCTCATTAACACATGAAATTAGAAAACAGTGGCTTTCATTGTGAGCCAGTTTAAATCTGCATAAGATTTAAATTTTGAATTCACTGGAGCTAGGTAAAAAAAAAATCATGAAAAATCTAATTGTGAATATCTAGCTTTCACCAGTCTTAAAACTTCTAGGACAATTACATGAAATATTTTACATCAATTTTTTTGCATGATTAATGAAACACACCAGAAGATGAGAACAATAACATCCCATTATTGTTGACAACATTTCTGCCTGTCATATAAAATTTTCTCCATACAATTGGATATCTCTTATATAGTAAGACAACTGTCCATAATTAATAAAAGTTAATGGAACTCATCAGATGACCCACTTTCAATAATTACCAAATCTTAGATTAGCAATATTTCTTTTTCAAGATGTCATGTCTATGTAATTTCATAACTGAAATGTAATATGACCAAAGTTATTTACAATTTCTTAAGATGTCTGTAGTTTACGAATCCAAATAAATTGTTCCTTAAAAGCATTTATGTCTTTTCATTAAAATGTTAGATGGTTGTATCTAGTTGTGATGAAGTTGTCATCTTCTTAACATTACAGTGTCAAATAGTTTTCTACTAACTGTTGTCTTTGTTTAATTTCAATCAGCTGTTGCCTTACATTTCTAGAGAAATTTCCATCCCATACAATTATGCTACCATAATCTTCATCTGAAAAGTCAAAATATGTATACAAAAAAATATGTTAAAAATCCTAACACATGTTTTATATAAAAGTTGTTTAGTTAATAACTTGATTGGCTGCTTTACATCCAATGGCAAATATGACATGCATATTCAGGACTATACTGTGGATTCATTATTATTTGTTGGATACCAATTTTTGTTGATTTCATGGGTACAGGTGAACCACATATTTAAATGTTCAACAAATTACGAATTTTCTATAGGAATATAATTATCCAAACTTTGGTAAAATCATGAAATCAAATATCCACGAAAATGAAAGTTTTCTCGAATACACAAAAGTTGGTACCAACAAAATTAATGAAAAATGTTCATGATGTTCATGTGATATAAAGAAACCCTACTCTGTACTAGAATGACATGCCTTCAAAATTTATATGTTCTAGCTCACAATGTAACAGTCTAAAGGAATTTAGGTCACCTTACTTGTCTACTGTAACTGTGAGCCAAAAAGTTTTTCTACTTGCATCTCAACCCTGTGTGCTCGGTGGAAAAGCAGCAAATACTTATTGCATGGTCTTTGGTTGGAAAAGATAGAGTATCAAACAACATTTGGATTCAATGAAAGCAAGCTACCAATGAATATGTTATTTCCAATGAGAGAAGTTTATTGGTTATATATCAGGGCTTACAAAACCAAAAAAAATTGAACCAACCAGTGGAAGCCCTGGTATATAACCCTTAAACTTCTCTCATTGAAATAAGCTTATCCATTAGACCTATCTAATGTTGATCTCAGGAAAAAGGTTATATAGGCATTTTCTACACCAAAATTGATTAAACATAAAAAAAAATTCTGGTCTCATGATGATTTTGTTGAAAGAGTTTAAATGTACAAATTTAATCTGATCTCAAAGATTCAAGTTTTGAAGGATTTTATTACATTATAAAATTGAGAATGGAAATGGGGAATGTGTCAAAGAGACAACAACCCGACCAAAGAGCAGAAAACAGCCGAAGGCCACCAATGGGTCTTCAACACAGCGAGAAAATCCCGTACCCAGAGGCGGGGTTCAGCTGGCCTCTAAAATAAAATGTGTACTAGTTCAGTGAAAATGGATGTAGAATATCATTTGCCTTTTTTAAGCACATTTTCAATACAATCTCAGTGAATATAGGCATTATTTGACATCATTTTATACAGTTGTTATGATTTACCATGACATTTGTAGGAGTCTGCTCTGTCGTGGAATCCTAAGGCTCCACTAACAACTAATGAGTGTTCTGAAAAATAAAATAAGGATTTACTACTTAAGACTATTCGGCCTTTTTAGTTAGTAAACTGAATGATATTCAACAGTTTTTCTCTTCTGATATGATTGTCACAATGCGTTCTATATAATCATGCTTTTATGATTTCTTTTTTTTCAATTTTGGTAAATTTACTAAATTTGTAGAACATCACTTAAAAGTCAAATTGTTGGGCAAAAATGGGTCCCAAAACAAAAACTTCTTTTACTGGTAGTAAATTTAATTTTTAACAAAATAAAATGCTTACCTTTATGGTGTACCGTCAACAAACTCCTCACAGGGTTTGTGTATTTGTGTGTTAATACAATAAGATTTTTTGTCTTTACATCAACCAAGCCAATATGGCCGCTACCAGTCCCAATCCACAGTACACCTATATTGCCTTGCAAAGCTAAAGATGTTATTCTTGATAAGTCTTTCCTCAGTCTACATAAATAATAAATACTTATTAACAATAGGAACTTTAGAACACTGATGCAACTCTCCACTAAGTAGGTAATAAACCATAGCTTACGCATTTACAGATTTTATAGATAATATGTACCAGTATCATGAGTACAATGTCTTTCAATATCAATTACATTCTATACAAGGACACACATATAAGTTAGCACTGCTAGGCTTTCAAAGCTATTCTTCCTGTTCATGACTTAATTTATACAATATATGTTCTACATCAAAAACATTGAGAAGAAATTACTTTTTTCCTACATTCCAAAAATCTTAGCTTTTCTTTTCTATTTTCTATTTGAAAAGAAAAGACAATTGGTATTTTGGCAGATAAATGTAGGAAATTCCACCTATTATTAGATCACAACTACACAAGATACAAAGGAAAAACACATATTAAATCAAGAATGCTACAAGATTTTATACAAAATATACCTTATATATTTTTTCACATAAACAATGTACCTCCTTTTTTTCCTTTGCCTGTGCTATGTCAGGCTGTCAGTAGACCATGTGTTATTCATTTTTGTGTGTCTGCTTGTACACTTTTTTTTTCATGGGTAGGATATATGTGGTTGATGTGGTCTGTTATACTGTCCAGTATTTCTTTTATGAATTATTTGTTTAAACTGAATTTAACATGAACTTACTGAAAGATCTGGGAGATATCCAATGTTGACCTTGGTTTCAGGTCTGCTGCAATGTAGATGTGTACAATACAAGATTTAGCATGGGATAAAAACAGTTTCTTATGTCCCAACACCATATTATTTATCTGTGATGGTCTTCTGAAAATACAAAAATAAAATACATATGTTTTCGAATCGAAAAATTGAAGGTTTATAACATAATTAAACACAAATAAATATGTGAAAGTGAATTCGTAAAATTCAGGAGGAAATAGTTCTCTTGGTTTTTCATATGGCTAAAAATCTCTAGATGTAACGAGGATTTAGCAAGATTTTGTGGGATGTTTTCTAATGCTATTAAAGTGAAAAAGCAAGAGGAGCTCATGTTCAAGAGTTTAAGCAATGAACATTTTCTTTAGTTTCTCTTTGTCTTACTTTGGATCTGCAGTATCTATCTTCTTTTCCACACCTATACTTGATCTGGTCCTAAGTATCAACACACGAGACCCACAACTGACATACAAATGTTTATCTCTCTGTGATACCTCCATACACCGAACAACTTCCTTAGCATTACCAGGGGTCAAACACATTGGTATGGCTTTTTCTTCCTGAAAGAGACAATATCACTTAGCTTTATTTTTACTGGTCTGCAATATACTGTGTTTGCAATTCATTTTAGGTAGCTGTGTAAAAATAAGGAGCTGTGGTGTAAATGCCAATAAGACAACCATTAACAGAATACCAGAGGACAAGGATGTAAACAATTACAGGTACTGTAAATTCAGAAATTATTGCGTGCGTTTATTATTGCGATTTTTCAAAAATGAACAAGAATGTGAGTTTAATTATTGCAATTTCAGAAAATCTACATACATATTCTATGTTTAAGTTATCAAAATGTGAGTTCTTATTATTACGATACTCACATAGTCGCCTTATTCGCATTAATAAAAACCTCGCAATAATTTCTGAATTTACAGTTACTGAAAATCCCTACCCAATTTTCCGACCATCATTCTAGTCTTTCATTTCACTGTGCAGGGCTACCTATTAGATTTACTGTGAATTTGTTCTCATTCTAAGTATGCATTTAATATTTGCCATTCAATCAGTAAAAAAATGCACACAAAATGACAAAATCCACTTCATTAGATTATGGTGCATTCATTTTGTACAAATCTGATACTTTCATTTGCTATATGATTACATTTTTTTAATAGTCAAACAGAGAATTTGTTGCAAAGATACATTTCTTTGAATCAACTTTCATTAAGAATGCTAGAAACAAATGTTCTGAAAGCCAAATCTTTCAAGAAAACGATACCAATAACTTACATGAATCAGATCAGAAACTAAAAATACAGCTATAGTTCCATTTGCTAAACCAACAAATACCAAATCATCCTTAGAACTGAAAAAGAAAAAGCATAACATACAAAAAATATGAACCTTACAAATAAAGATAATAAAATCATGGATTATAAGGAAATACATGTAAGTATAGAAATCAACCTTAATAAAAAAGAATCAAAGGATCATATATTTTGGGAAATCATGGTTTATTTATTCGGGTTGTTGTCTCTTTGACACATTCCCCATTTCCATTCTCAATTTTATTTATTTATTAGTTGAAACTGGCTTTGAACTAGGTTTCAGCAACTGTGAGTACACTGGCAGGTACACTTGGATAAATACTTTTTTTGTGTTTTTTGGCCATTTGTTAAGTTTTCTGTTGTGTTTCATGTCAATCTGATTAGTCAAGCCCTTTCCAACTTTTTTTTCAGATTTTTCTTATGTTGTGTTGTTATACCACTGTCCCAGGTACGGTCAGGGTTGAGCACTGACAAACATGTTTGACACTGCCACATTCATTATGTGTGTGTCTGTAATTCAGTGGTTGTCTTTGGTTGCTGTCTGTCAAATTTGGCTTTTTTTGGTTTATGAACATTATAATAAATCAGGCTGTTGGTCTCTCTTGAATTGTTTAACAATCTATCATGCTGGTGCCATTTATAGCTTAAAATATGGTACAAGTTTTTCTCATTGTTGAAGGCCATACAGTGACCTAGAGTTATTTATATCCTTGTCCTCAAGTCTCTGGTGGATAACTGTTTCATTGGCTATCATACCACATCTCTTTATTAAATATTTTTATATTGGAATGTCAAAGGAATCTATTTCTTATTAGCTTTTATATATAGAAATAATGAACTATAAAATATAGAATAATCATTTCTTCATTTTATTGAAAAATATGGAATTCATTTTTCAAAGTATCAATACCAAAAATGTGTGATAACTAAAAATGAAAAGGATCTCAATTTCTAATAATACAAGCATCTATTTTCAAAATAGTATTAAATACTTTAAAAATATTTAATACTAACTGATGATTAATTACTATGCTTATATAGAACATATGAACAAATTTGTAAGTTCCTTCAATTACACCTGCCAACATTTAAAGTTTGCAAAATATTTCCTTAGACGTAATAATGTGCAGTATATGGAAGAAGAGGCTTATTTGAAGCAAACTGAAATTCATGTTAAAACTACTTCCCATTGACATGAAGTCTACAATATTACTTAAAAATAGACCAAAGACTCAGATGGCCAGGTTGCACAAAGTATTTCTTTAAGAAATGACTGTAATATTTTTTCAGTTTATGAAGAAATAACATCAAAAATGTGATGCACACTGAATAACCCGCATAGCGTTATTTAAAAGTGTGCACCACATTTTTTATGTTATTTCGAATAGACAGAAAAAATATTACAGTCCTTCCTTATAATTTAATTCTAAATTTCATTTTTAAGGAGTAAATCATGAAAAAACATTGATGACGTCAGTCAGATGACAAAATTATGTCTATTAGCTGATAGACAAAAAACTTTCAGCCAATCAAAAGACATATTACATCCAAAATTAAATTATTAAACAATGGACAATGCTCTATACTAAACATTAAAATATTTGAAATATGAAATGTAAAAATTCCTCAAACAATTCCATAATAGCTGGTGCACAACTGCCAGCCCGACAATTAACCATACTATAAGTTGTTTTTGACTTTGTTCAACCTGGTCAAAAATACAAGAATAAAATTTTATTGTATTTTGCAAAACCTTCGTGCTGGCAGGTAGTATCCTATGTATTCCTAGAAAATATATTAAAGGCTACTATCATGTTCATACAGGATAGGTATACTTACAGTTTTTTTCTGCAAAAGTTGCCTTGGTTACATGTGATATATAATAAAACAGTAATATGGTTTCAAATATTTAAACATAAATTAATGGCTAGATGGATTTTGAAATGTCCACCTTGTTGTGAATCTTTTAAAAATATAATGAAGATTTGTTATAGTTTTGAAAAAAGAGGGAGCAGATACCAATGGGTCGAAGAAAAATCCTATGGCCAAAAAGAAAAACAGCAAAAACGCAAACAAAAGTTCACAAAAAACTTCCCAGAAATTTAAAGTTTGAGCTACATGAAACATCACAAATAAAAGAACCTTTGTGAGCATGCTCACATACCACATGCCCCCACATTGTTACTGGACAAACAAAATCTCACCAGATTCCTAAGTTCAAAGACTCATTACTCCTACAAAAGTCAACTGATAAAAATTTCTTGTGGATATGCACATCTACATATTATGTACTTATTATCTACAGAGTTCCATAACATTCTGTTGTGTGATTTCAGAGTAGTTGCGATGACAACAGTTGCAATAGTATATTTAGACCAAAATTCTAAGTTCAAAGGGGCATAACTCCTAGAAAAAAAATTGAATTATAATTTCCTGTCGATATGCACATCTACATAGTATCTCCTTATTATCTACAAAGTTTCATGAACTTCTTTTATGTGGTTTCAGAGGAGTTGCAATGACAAGAACAGGACTGACGGACGAAACAAACAGACAGACGGATGGGTCAAAAACATACCCTACAGAACTTTGTTCCATGGGTATAATAACTCTTTAATGGTAATCTGTTCCTGCTGAACAAGTTGTACCTGTTGTGTTGCTTATGGCAAGTAAAAGTTTGGTGATGTTACTATCAAGGAAAAGAGGACATGATTGTGGAAACGACAATTGGAATATATCCCTGGTCATCTGTGACATAGATATTCCATAACAGTCAGCCAAATCATAAAAGCTTCCTAAAAACTTTCAAAGGGATGACATTTGAAATCCTTTGTTAAATGGGTTCCTCGTAAGCAGCAACCCTCAATCAAGGAAATTATGATAGGAAACACATGCCCTGGAATATGGAATCAACTGGGTACATATTAATGCAAAAGGATTATAAACCCTTCATTGCACTACACCAACAGGCTGAGCTGGATTTTTTAACGTGCGAGTTCACTTAGTCCGCATGAACACTTGTGTCACCTAACCCAGACATGTTATTCTATGATTCAAAGCCTATCAGTCTTTGCTCTTACTCCATTATGTTGAGTCCTTTGTTGAAAAATAGAAAATGCCAAGTAAATTTATGTGATATTTTAACTTCATCCTGGAGAGATATCTTACCCTGGTATGTGTCTCATACACAGAACTGCATCAGTCAGTAGTGTAGTACTACGTTTACATTCCAGTGTAAGTGTATTGTAAATCCATATTCTACACTCTTCTGTGCCGATGAGTAAACAGTTCTCTTTCAATGCCAGTAAACACAGAATTCTGCCATGTGTAAATATTGCACCCTAATTCATATAAACCAAAACAAAATAATATATTGAGTTCAAGATAAAATTTAAACGAGTAGGGACAATGAGGCCCTTTTTTGGCCAAATATTAGTGCAAATAAAGTTACCATACATGTTGTTAAATTTGTCATGACTGTACTATGTACAAGATGTTTAGAAAATATAAACAAATTTCACATTAAAGGAAATACCATTGTAACAAAACAAGATGAAAGGAGAATTTCCGGTAAGGGCTAGTTTTGCCTAATATTCGCAGTACATCTAATGAAAGATTTTTGACATTTTTTTATACACTTAAGTGTCTACAATAGTCGATTCAATTAGTTTATGTAAATGATTTGAACTGCTTTGGTCATTAGAGAAGCGCTTAAATATATAAAAAATCTATCAAATATGCCATAAAATGTCATTTTTCAAATGGGTTTTGTCTAAAATGGAAGTGGCCGCATTTGTGTTCTGTCTCAACCTTTATATATGTTATGTTTTATCATCAAATACAACATATATTCAAATATTAAGACTGAACACAAATGCAGCCACTTCCATTTTTAGACAAAAAACCTTCTTAAAATTAGCACAAATGCTAAAATTGTGAAGATTTCAGTAATATTGCACGAATTTATGATGCTATTACCTCCTGCATGTGCATTGTATTGTCAAAAACAGCCTATATATTTATGGAACAGAAGTATTCTACTTTCCAATAAATAGCGTAAAGTTTACATTTTAACATATTAGTAAAAATGCTATATTTTGGGGCCAAAAAGGGGTCTTACCAGGCCTACTCCTTTGTATAATTTAACTTTCCTTGTTTAATATTAATTTGAAAGTATATTTTAGATTGGAAAAGAATTTTTGCACCAAAGAAACAAAGAAGGGTGTATGATATAAATGAAAGGTGAAAAGATATATACATAGAGAATACGAGTGATCTATTGGCAATTTTGTCTATGTAAAGTAAAATATCTTCATTACTTTGTAAACATACTGAAAATATGCAAAATTGGAATAAGCAACAAAAACTGTACTGAACTAAACAAGTGTGTCTAGTGAAGCAAGAACTGCTTCCCATTGTAGCACCTAAGTTCATCACCTGGTTTTTGGTGAAGGTTTTCTTTTTTTTGAGTAGTGTATTCTGGACTGATGTATGTCTTTTCATCTTTTTGTTCTTGACCATGGTTTTGTTTCCCCTTCATATTCTTTTTTTTTCTAGGGATGAAAACATTTCTAAAGGAATAACATTTGAATTCTCAAACATTTATTACTGAAGTTGTACTAGCCTTTGTTTCCATTAACGTTTGTAGCTGTAGATCAAGTCTAGATAGCTGAACACATTCACTGTTGCCACTAGCAGCCCATAAACATACTTTGCCTTCATCTAATTTCTACAATATATTAATAAATTGAAGTTTATAATTTCATGTGAACCAATAGACAAAGTACTATATGTTAACAGAAGAACTTTAAATGAAAAAGACTTGTTTTTATCATATAGGTGTCAAATTTTCAAACCTTGACGTGGGAGACTTTTCTTGGGGAAAATGTTTTGGAGAAAGATTTGATGTAGGTCTGATTTCATGGTGCATTGTAAAGTGAGAAATTTTGTGACGGGTTTATTTTCACTAATTTTGCAATTAACAGTCAGATGAAATTGCAAAATATCTTCACATAACTTTGATCTTGATGAAAAAACAGAATAAAAAGGGGAAAATAAAAACTTCCAAACAGGTTTTACAGTAGAAACATTAATATTATCTTACATTCAGGTAGATTTTTAATGTTTAAATATTTCTCCTCAACTTTCCACACTGAGGTGTCTGGTACCACCATTATACGATAACCAGACCTTAAATTCAGTCCATACATCTTACATTTATTTTTCACACTTAACACAAACTGCAAAACAATCGACACTAAATTTAACAGTTGCAGCACTAACCTGAACTGTAAGACATTTACACCAAGTCTTCTAACCTGAACTGTATGACATTTACACCTATTCTACTAACCTGAACTGTAAGACATTCTACACTAAGTCCTTTAGTTACTGGAATTCTCTGTTTTAGATTTAAAACTTCTGGATCTCTAAGTCTTTCACAGATTGCTGAAGACTGAAAAAAGAAGTGTCATTTGCCTTATTTTTTATATAATTGAAATCCTGCACACTAGATAATAGATACACTCTCATAAATAAGCAGAAAACAACTTTGAATGAAAACACTAAATCTTTAAAATAAAAAATTTAAACATGGTTCTGTAGAACACTGTGGCCCGATTGTGACTGCTGCTGTCAGTGAAAAAGTGTTCTGTTGACTGAAAGAAACTAAGCCCATCGACCAGTTAAATAATAATCTTTTTGAAATTAGTTTTCAGATGCTATTTCTTGATTATGAAGAAGCTTACGTTCAAACTTGAAAAATTCCATGAATGTTTAACAACATTGTTGATGCATAAAAAATTAAACCCCTGACTGTAAGTAATTAAGCATTTACTGCAAAAACTAAGTACTTCAATCAGTAAAATACTGGAAAATAAAAAAAATATTTTCAAAATTTTGCTCTGAATACTGTCTTTTAATCATGAAAAAGCTTCTTTCCAAATTAAGCAAAATTCAACGAACTCGTTTCACAAGGTTATTCATGTCTAAAAAAAATTTGACAACAGACTGAATATAAACATTGACAATCTTGATGGTAAAAAATTATCTATAATATAAATTCTTACTTCTGGTCTTTGGTCTGGTCCTTGGTGAAGACAATCCAACAACAATGCCTGCATACCTGGCCACGGAGGAACATCCTTCTCTGTGATTGGATGAATTGACTGACCCTGATATAATACACATTACATTTCTGATTCATAATACAACAAAGAGTCACAGATTATTATGAAACAATTGTAGTTATCTACCTAAAATGTACTAAAAACATATTTACTCTGACTTGGCTGTTAGTTATACATTTTTTCTCTGCATTGGTTCAAATATTTTGAAGCAATGGTGAATTCTCTATTGAAGTGAACACAAAAGTCAACTGGCTTCACAGCAAGAATTTGATATCATAAATCATATTATTTTTAATGTGTCAAAAATTTTCAATTACTGGATATATTTATTTTTGTGATTGCCAACTTTTGATTGAGAAAAAAAAGTATTTTTGAGGATATTTGATTTCGTGGTTGTGGCAAGCCTATAGAAAATTAGCACTTTGTTGAACATTTCTATGCGTGGTTCACCTTTAATCACGAAACCAACGAAAAAATAGGTATAACATGAGGTTTAATGAATCTAAAGTATATTTTTAACACAAGAGTAAATACAGTAATACAGTTTGACTTTCTTTGTAGACTAAGAAAGTCTCAATGAAGAAATAGATTACCTCAGATATAGCTTTGTCCATTTCACCTTTACATTCAAATTCACTAAATGGATGTTTACCGTTGGTCAATAAAGAATAAAGTGTTATACCATACGAGAACACATCAGCCTGTCAAAAAACAACAACAATTTTAACATCACTATATTCTGAAATTTTACTTTTTCATTTTTATTCATTGCAAACATAAAAACTTGAATTTCAAAAGGTACAAATGAATTTTCATTGACAAGTGCCAATACTGAAATGTTTCATCTGCTTTGCTGTTTATGATTTGATTTTCAAGTGGAAAGTCTTTGAGATACATGTCTTCTTCAAGTATCAATGACATTTAACATTATCCAAGATCCATGAAGATGAAATCAAGGTCAGATAATCGTCCACTGGGTCAGTAATTAAAGCTGCTGGTGGACTAGTACCTCTCGTGAGTACCATCCACAGGCAGCCAGTACTTCTGTAATTGTATGATTTAATTTATACATTTTGTCCATAAATTTCCAGTTCCTAAATCATGGAATCTTACAAAAACATCTGTTACTACTTTAGGTAAAGTTGACCTTATTGTTTTGTTTAGAGGATTAGATTTTTATGACCTCAAATATTTTCATTATTCACATTCAAAACTTTAGGTCCCTGAGATTAATACCTGCTGAAGGCTAATCTAGAATTATTTGTGGTGTCAAAGAAATCAGTATAATAAAAAGTTTCTACAGGTCATAAAAACACATAATTTCATATGTCTTCAACTAAGAACTCTCCAACATCTCAAAATCCGGAGTGATCACATAGATCCAGCATGGCTGAATCAAAAATATCAGAAAAAAAGGCACTGGTATTTGTTTACAATTACCTTAAATGAATAAGTTTCCCCTCTGATCACTTCAGGGGCTCTGTAGGCCAGTGTACCTTCTTGTAACATCAGTCCATCTAACATAGAAAATCTGGATATTCCATAGTCAGATATTTTAGCATTGATCTACAATTAGATATACTACATATATAAGTGAACTCAAAAGTAAAGTATCAAACAATTTTTAAATATTTATACTCTAATAATAAAAAGGTTATTAATGGCAACAGAAAAAAAAACTCAGTAATTTCCACATACTTTCTGTGATAAATGAAAACTATGATAGAAGAAATTAGGGCTCCTATGATTTAATTTAATCTAATTCAAAGTAAGATTATCTTAATAATAACTACCATGTATTGGTTGGAAGATTCAATTCAAAAAGTTAAAATTTTATTGTTTTTAAAAGGTGAAAGCTTGTGTTTAACTCAACGCATGAAAGTATTTTTGAATTTAATAGTTTTTATAAAAAAATCAGTTTTAATTTTGTCCAAAACAAGCACAACAAAGTAAAATTGTTGACACAGATATATGTCTCGCCTGTGTATAATTTTGATAGTAAAATGCAAATAGCAATACTTTCAATTTAACTTGGTGAGATAAAATTTGCATACATATTCAAAATGAATGTAACATGTTAATATGTAATATATATAACTTGCTTTGTATTGACATCCTAGGTCAAATATTTGAAGTGCAAATCCAATGGAGAGAATACAGAAATGTTATCTTAAAAGCACCAATATTTATCAGGGAATTGAACCAATAACCTTCCACAATCAGGTTAAGCACAATTCATTGAGAACATAGGGGCATTTATAATTTACTATTGTAAGATTTCAGGTATTTTCTAGATACAGGTAACTATAAAACATACATTATACTTACTAAAGATTTAGGATCTTTACTAAAGATAAGAACATTATCTGGCTTCATATCTCTGTACACTATCATCATCTGATGGAGATAAGACAAACCTTCTGCTACCTGTAAAAACAGACAACTGACAATCACATACTATCAAAAACTATCATCACCTGATGGAGATAATACACACCTTCAGCTACCTATAAAAACAGACAACTGACAATCACATACAAAAACAAACTATCATCATCTGATGGAGATAGATAAACCTTCTGCTACCTGTAAAAACAGACAACTGACAATCACATACTATCAAAAACTATCATCACCTGATGGAGATAAGACAAACCTTCTGCTACCTGTAAAAACAGACAACTGACAATCACATACTATCAAAAACTATCATCATCTGATGGAGATAAGACAAACCTTCTGCTACCTGTAAAAACAGACAACTGACAATCACATACAAAAACAAACTATCATCATCTGATGGAGATAGATAAACCTTCTGCTACCTGTAAAAACAGACAACTGACAATCACATACTATCAAAAACTATCATCACCTGATGGAGATAAGACAAACCTTCTGCTACCTGTAAAAACAGACAACTGACAATCACATACTATCAAAAACTATCATCATTTGATGGAGATAAGACAAACCTTCTGCTACCTGTAAAAACAGACAACTGACAATCACATACTATCAAAAACTATCATCACCTGATGGAGATAAGACACACCTTCAGCTACCTATAAAAACAGACAACTGACAATCACATACAAAAACAAACTATCATCATCTGATGGAGATAGATAAACCTTCTGCTACCTGTAAAAACAGACAACTGACAATCACATACTATCAAAAACTATCATCACCTGATGGAGATAAGACAAACCTTCTGCTACCTGTAAAAACAGACAACTAACTATCACATACTATCAAAAACTATCATCATCTGATGGAGATAAGACAAACCTTCTGCTACCTGTAAAAACAGACAACTGACAATCACATACTATCAAAAACTATCAAAAACTATCATCACCTAATGGAGATAAGACACACCTTCAGCTACCTATAAAAACAGACAACTGACAATCACATACAAAAACAAACTATCATCATCTGATGGAGATAGATAAACCTTCAGCTACTTATAAAAACAGACAACTGACAACCACATACTATCACCATCTAAATAAATAAATAAATAAATAAATGAATAATCTTTATTTCAAGAGGATAATCCCATTAGTTAAAACTAATCTTCCTGAGGGTCCTCAAAATAATAATAACATATTTATAAGTACATACAATATTATAATGATATATTATACACAATATACAATTGTATCTAGATAATAATGAAAAAGCATATTAATTTGCACAATTGATGAAAAATTTGTAACATTTTGTTTTAAAAGATACAAGTGTATTACTCATTTTAATTTCATTTGGTAAACTGTTCCATATTTGAGAACCTGAATATGTAAATGTTTTCTTTAAAAAGTTTGTTTTTGGTTTCAGAAGATTTAATAGTTTTTCATCAGCCGAACGTAAATTATAATTCTGATTACCAATAAAATGAAAGTTTTCTTGTAAATAGTTAGGAACCATATCATTTAATGATTTAAATACAAGTATTGCCTTTTGTTATTGAATGTGTTTTTCCACATTTAACCAGTTTAAACTATTAAACAACAAACTGGATGATGTCAAATGTCAGCTTCTACTATAACCCTAGCAGATTTCTTTAATAACTTATTAAGTTTATTTATTCCACTTTCATAGCAACTTCCCCATATATTGCAACAATAATCAAACAATGGCAGAATATAAGCATTAAAATATATAATACGTATATGCATAGGTAAATATTTTCTTATCTTTTTTAATAAATTGATTCTATTTGATATTGTACATGACATTTTATCTATTTGCTCATTCCAATTTAGGTTTTTGTCGATATATAAACCGAGAAGTTTTTCATAATCTACATTCTCTATTCGTTTATCTGAAATTTTGATATCTAAACTGTTCCCAGTTGAATAAAGCCTCTGTTTTGAACCAATAATCATTGATTTACACTTTTTGGCATTTAGTTTCATACAATTTTGCGAACACCAGTTTTCAATTACATGAATATCATTTTGAAGGTTAGCAGTTAACTGAAGTACATTATTACCTTTACTATGTAATGTAGAATCATCTGCATATAAACCAATAATGAATTCTTTATGTTCAGTGGTTAATCATTGATATATAAAATAAATAACAGAGGGCCAAGGATAGAGCCTTGTGGTACACCAGTTTTTATGCATTTAGTATTAGACATGACGTTATTGACCTTAACTTGTTGACTTCGTTCAAACAAGTATGACTTAAACCAGTCTAGTGTACAGTTTGAAACATTATAATATTCAAGCTTTTTTAATAAAATAATATGATTAACCAGATCAAAAGCTTTCTTTAAATCTAAAAATATAACTCCGTTTATTTCTCCATTATCTATATTTGCTAACCATTCATCTTCTAATTTAGTAAGTGCAGTTGTGCACGAATGTTTAGGTCTGAAACCTGACTGTGTAGTATTAAGAAGGTCATTACTATTTAAATATATATACAAACTATCAGCTATATGTCGTTCTATGATTTTGGAGAGACAAGGCAATACTGCTATTGGTCTATAATTATCAGGATTACAAGCATCGCCACTTTTAAAAATTGGGCAAACTCTTGCAGTTTTAAAAATACTTGGAAATTTACCACATTTGATGCTTAGATTAAATAAATATGTTAAAGCTGGTGCAATGACATCGCTGCACATACTCAAAATATTTGGTCCAACATCATCTAAACCAGTTGCTTTAGACTTGTCAAGTTTTTTTAAATACATTTTTACATCTAAAATACTCATTTCTGGTATAATGAATTTTTCACTACCCCTTTGTAACTTTGATTTCACAAATTTGTTGAGTACATCGAAACTTGGACCTTCATCATTATTACATAATTTGTTATCAACTATACCTTCAGCAATATTTGTGAAATGCACATTAAATGTATTTGCTATATCAACATCATTTTGAATTACACTATTTTTATATTCCAAATGCGTGATATTATTATGTAATTTTTTTGGATTTAGACTTTTGACATACTTCCAGATAGTTTTACTATCTTTACAATTTGAGATAGCATTTTGGAAATAATTTTTCTTTGCCTGTTCTACTAAAAATGTGACCTTATTACGCCAAATTTTATAATTATATATATCCCCAATTCTATGAAAATAATCTTTGGTGTCTAGCGCTATTTATATCAGAAGTCCACCACTCTGGTTGTTGAGTATTTTTAACCCTTTTAATTTTCTTAGGAGCATGCTTGTCTAGGGTGCTCAGAAATAGATTATACCAATAATTAGCTGCTTCATCAACATCTCCAATCTTTTCAATGAGATGAAAAGGAGTATTTGTTAAATTTTCAATAAATTTATTTTTATCAAATTGTTTGAATGATCTATATTCTATGGACAAATGCTCCATTTTTGATATTTTTGGGTTAAGTTTTCTTGTTACGCAAACAGGATAATGATCACTGACAGCATAACTAGGCACATTTACTTCTGTAATATGGTCTACATCGGTAGTATAAATATGGTCTATAGTAGTTACTATAGTAGTAGAAGATAAGACAAACCTTCAGTTACCTGTAAAAACAGACAACTGACAATCACATACTATCACAAACTATCATCATCTGATGAAGATAAGACAAACCTTCTGCTACCTGTAAAACAGACACTTGACAATCACATACTATCACAAACTATCATCACCTGATGAAGATAAGACAAACCTTCTACTACCAGTAAAACAGACAACTGACAATCACATACTATCACAAACTATCATCATTTGATGGAGATAAGACAAACCATCAGCTACCTGTAAAAACAGACAACTGAAAATTCGAAAACACGAGAAGAAAACATACAAATAACAATAATTATTTGGTGGAAATAGGATAGACCTTCAGCACTATAAAAGAGATTGAATATCAATCATTTTGTTGACATTCTGTCTTCTTTCATATTTGAAACTAAAGGAAGAAAAGAAAAAGACAAAGACAATCTCACTTTTGATCCTATTTTAAATTAAGACTTAAAATTTAGTTAAAAGAAAAAGAGATCTCTAAACAATCTGTGTAAATAAGTTTTAGCCCTACAGGAGATATAGATTATATAAGAAGCTCATACTGTAAATTCAGAAATTATTGCGAGGTTTTTATAAATGGGAATAATGCGACTGGAAGACTATCGCAATAATAAGAACTCCCATTCTGATATCTGGTACATATATTTGTATGCAGCTTTCCTCAAAATCGTAATAATTAATCTCACATTTTTGTTCATTCATCAAACATCGCAATAATAAATGCACACAATAATTTCTGATTTTCAACATCAAAGAAAGAAAGAAAAATTGGCATAATATAATAATTGTAACTGACTTACTTGCAATGCAATTTTATGTTGCATTATTTGTTGCAATTTGCCTTCCTGTTTCAGAACTGTTCCCAAAGACAAGTGTTTAGCCAGTTCTAAGACAACTACATGTGGACTTATGCCTACAGCTAATAGTGAAACTACACTTGGATGTTTTAAACATCTTAGAACTGTTGCCTACAAATAGAAAACAGAGGCTGAAATAATTAAGCAAATCAGGAATAATAATAAAATTATTAATTAAGGTTATTTCTTTCCAAAAAGCTAGAAACATTTTTAATTTGTTTGAAAGGAAGAATAAAACCTCAAATTCGCAAATGTAAAATGAAGAACTTTTTCATATCATTTATGGCCTAACATGAATGTAAGCTAAATTAAAAGACTGATCTTTTATTTTACCTCTTGTCGTAACATCTTTAAGGGATGGACATCACCAATGGCTGCAAATACTTTCACTGCAACAGGCTAAAACATAAACATAAAATATAAATATTTACAGTAAGGCATTCGAACAATTTTCATAATCAACAAGAAAACTTTGCACAAATGAAAATGCTAACCAATAAAAATGTATTAAATATAACAACTGTCCTTGAGCATGAATGTTACATGCATACCTCAATGTTCACATCATCAATGAACTCAAAATGAAACTTTATACACAACTTCTGTTAATTACAAAAAAAGAGCTTCGGACACACAAAATTCATAAAGTGTTATTTTCATAAAAAACATATTGATCATGGCTGACAATTGTATGAACAATTATTTTTAAAGATGATTTTAATACAATTCAGGCACTAGGATCTTGGGCAACAGTTGTGTGTATAATTACTGAGATTCAATCAGACATCGCAAATCTTTGGCATGTAAATAATTTCAATAAATTCATCAACTTGAACTTCTGTTTATGACTTTGAATCAAGGTCAAGACATAGGCTTAGGTCAATGGTAACAATTTCTTGTCATTGGATCCAAGATTGCACAACAATCTATATGTATACGTACATCTATGTAAAAATTTCTTTACCTGTAGAAAAACTTTTCTTTTTCTAAATTTGTACATTTAAAATAATTGATAGTTCAAATAAACTTAAATAAAAACTTCTTAAATTAGAAGACGAATTTCATATTTTCATTGGATTATGATGTGATTCATATTTGAAACAATAGAAAAACAAAGGATATGGGGTATCCATCCATGACACAAAATCAGTACATGCACAGCAAAAAAAAAACACAAAAAGCAACGGAACAGTGCTTTTATTGCTGTTCTTTATCTCAAAGTCACAGTGAGGCCTTCAACACAGAGCTTACTTGATGTGTTTAAAATTTGAATTTAGAGAATTAGATGGATATTTCACTAGACATATTTGCTGCAGTTAATATGTCCTTTCATCTGTCATGTGAATTTTTATTGTAACAACTTGTTTTTTTTGTATTCTATATGTTTTAAATTAAAATTTGTAGATAACCTGTCAGAAGATAAACTGTATTACTGAAAACATATTTAGTTCCAATCAATATTATAGGTACTGGTAAACTTGATTTTGACTGGAAAATGTCAAAATATAGCAGTAGTAAAATACATGATCAAACTGTTAATATATGCTTTCCATTGATTAGTAATCATTGTCGCAAATATTTTAAAATAGCAAAACAGACCATTTGTGTATTCAACTCTTTGATTTAACCATTGAAATTATCCATTTCATAGCATTACTAGCACTAGTTGATGTGTGACAAAATAATCAGTGACTACCACCTGGAAGTATCAAAATACAAGATACTTCATTAATCAGTGTAAGATAAGAAATCTCAAACTCTTTAAAAGGTACCGTAATCAGCCTTGTATAGTTCGCACTGGTACATTGTCCCCACCCCCTTCTCACCACAAGAATTTAGGTAAAAATATTTTTGGTAACCGTTCGAAAATGTCTAATGAAACTCCAGTAATTACAAACGTGCGTGATCATTTGTGGTATTTTAATGGAAAAGCACGTTTTCCATCATCAAATAGAAGTTGAAAATGTTTGTAAATGATTCTAGAACATAGGAGTATTAAAATAAGTCAAAATTACAAAAAAAACAATTGAGAAACTTGTGTTTTTTTAAACCTGAAGTTCGAATACAACGTGTAAATGAATATAATACGATGCGAGTGTACAACAAATCTGTACTTTAAAGTAGATATCACTAGATTACAACTTTGAAAATAAATCAGTTCCATTCTTAAGTAAAATAAGGCTTAACATATCAATCACATTCATGATTGAAGGATCTTAACCTAAAACAAAACACTTGCATCAGTATGTGACACCAAAACAGAATGAATAACCTATTACGTTTTGTAGTTTATACATAAGCTGGTTCCCGGCTGACTTGTATTCTTTTTGGTTCTGTTAAATTCAAGTGGATTCCAGCTTATTTAATTTTCAGTGAAAAGAAAGGAAAAATTTGTAATGAAGAATTCAATTTTGAAATTTATCAGTTTATATTTGTTATTGAATAAAAACTGGATATTAATATGGATTAGGTAAATTATTAGTTTTGAAAATGATAAGAGCGCCCTCTACAATTTCAATAACAAACATGGCTGAGCGTAAACAAACCTCTCGAAATCGAATGTTTCTCTTATTTCTTGCTTATCGTACTCTATAATCCGCACCCCTGTCTGGCAGGTTCAATTTTGTAGAAAAAAAAATGCAGACTATACAAGCCTGAATTTGATACTAAATATTTAACACTACACATGTGACAGCACCAACCTGAGATTTGTAAGTAGCTCTATATACAGCACCATAACCTCCATCTCCAAGCTTTTTTTCTTCACTAAAAAAAGGAAATTGTGTATTAGCTTATAATTGTGTGCAAAAATATAAATTCCTCCACCTATGAGCTTAAATATTTTTAAGCTTTTGACAAAATTCAGGAATAATTAGTTTACAAAAAGTTCATTAAACCTGTCAGGAGTTTATATATAATTTTCATAAGTAGCCTTGGTCTGTTGTTTTTTTCATTGTGTTGATTTCAAATTTGCCAGCTCACAAGGTACCATTCTGCAGGAAGACATGTCTTCCTTTATGGACATGTTTTATCTGACCCAATTCTAACCATTTAAGCTGCTTTTAAAAAGTAACTCTAATTGCTGCATGCTTAGTGGAGAGGCAATAAATACCAATTTTCAAGTCTTCGGTTTGACCTGGCAGGGGATCAAGCCCAGGGCTTCCTGCATTTGAGGCTAGCACGGTACCTCAAGACCACAGAGGTGGTCTACTGGAATGATAATTACATTGTTTAGCAGGTAGTCTTCAATATTTGGTATACAGGGATACATAAGGACAAAGAAATTAAATTACATACTTAAAAAATAACTTATATGTTGTTTTTTTTCTTGAATAAACAGTTGATTTTACTTTTACTTTGTGTGCATACCAAATAAGATAATCCAAAACTATCACTGATAACTTCACATAAAAATTACCTTTCTACAAAATCAAATTGTGAATTGTCCATAATAAGGTCAGGGTTCAGATCCATGAGAACAAGTTCTGGTGCCTGAAAAAAATACCATTTTTATTGCACTGGATCTGGACAACTTAAAAGTATGCACAAAATGCCTCCCTCCTTAGCACTTACCTGGTATATAACAAATCATAATGACCTTTTGGAACAATGGCCCTGAATTCAAGGAAAAGTTCCATAATCTAATGGTCTAACAAAAGGTTATTGATATCTTACATAGTCTTGTTATTTTGCTGTCAATTTAAATCAATGCTGACAAAAATTTAAATCAATGCTGACAAAAACTTATAAATTTTCAGTTTTGCAAAAAAAGTGAAACCTTTCCCCAGAATAAGTTCCTCTTTGTCTGGCTATTTAAATTTTTGCAAGTTCACCTGTCTCATTGTAAAATTACAATAGTTATTGTTCTCTGTGGAGTCTATTCAAGATAATTCTTTAGAGAACTTATTGAAGTACAATAACTTACCAATGCTGCTATTTTCACCATACCATCATGAACATCACAATAAACTGATGTTCCTTCATTCTCTGTTTTGTGAAGCAGATCATCTAACCTAAACAGCTTCATATTTTGTCCTTTAATAATGAAATATTATTTCTGAATCATAAAAATAATGTTTATCATATAAAATACATGAGTGCTTCTGTTGTCACTTTGAATAGACAGATATGTCCAGCATATATTAATGAGAAACCAACCTGACAATACATTGTAGTTTTACGTTAAGAGTTTTTGGTCTTTTTTGGAAAAGATAATACAGTCAAACATGTACTAACCAGTCACTCTTTGGAAGTACTAAAAGTGACCGCTCAAGAGAGGTGACATTCTAAACGAGGTTCCGAAATTATTCCGATTTTGAAATCGCCCACAGCCGGGATCGGGGAAAATTGTTTTAGTGTTTTCAATCAGTAGAGTTATCTTTCTTGCGGCAGTGAAATAAAAAAATGGTGGTTTCTGGCGCTGTAAATTTGAAGAAAACATTCAAAATATGTTTTTATTCATGGAGAAATAGGTCGATAATAGGGTTTTTAATGGAAACCGATCTCCGTTGCAAACAGGTTCTGATTTTCTTTTTGACTTCGATACTGAACACATATATTTTTCGTTAGTTAAACATTTTAAAATGACCGTTGTTAAAAGTTGAAATGGCAATTTGGTGTGAAAATTAGGTGACCTCTGAAACTAGTTAAATTATATAGAGAAAATGTTTGGGAGGGTCTGAAAGTGACCGTTAGAGGCAGATGACCGCTGAAATGAGGTGACCGTTAAGGCAGGTTTGACTGTATCTTGATAAATCTTGCATTCATCTATCTAAATAGCATCCAGGATATGTAATATAAAGTTTATTAATCATAATACTTATCTTAGTTGGACATCAAAATAAATAGTGGTAAAACATAACTGTTTGAATGACATGAACACAATCTTAAGTCAGTTTTAAATTTATTCATCACAAGATAGGCAAAGATAAAAACTCATCAGCTCAAATAAACAAAATTAAGGGATACAAGAACAAAAAATTTAATCAAATCTCAAATAATCAATGTTAAGGGATCGTAATATAGAAGTTTGAACATAATTTCTATCAACATACTTTATCTATGCTTGGTACTTTTCATTAAAGGGTACTGATTTTTATGAATTCTTCATCTCATGGTTGAAAATTCCAACAAAATAATAAAAAAATTTGCATTTTCTTAGATATGCAATTTACTCAAGTTGGTAATCATAAATTCCAAAAATAATTGGTTCCCTGTAACTACTGTAAATTCAGAAATAATTGCTTGAATTTATTATAGATACTTTTGAAGAATTGACAAAAATGTGTGATTCATTTTTGCGATTTCAGAAACATCTACATGCAGATGTATGTATCAGATATCTGAATACGAGTTCTAATTATTGCGATACTCATCCGGTAGCATTATTCGCATTAATAAAAACCTTGCAATAATTTCTGAATTTACAGTATTCCTTTTACAGTAGGTACCTGTACAATCAACACATGGTACAAGTTTCTCTAGTAATTCTCTCCCAAGGTAAGGGTCCACAGTGGTCAGTCCAGGGTACCATTCTTCTATCAAAGAATCTAAATGATCCACCAACAGTCCAAGTAATCTATCAGATGAAAAGAAAATTTAACATAAACAGAATTTTGACTTAAAAAGTTATCAAGAATTAGGACAACATAAACTTAAATGACCAAAGCTGTATGATATGTTTAAATTCTGAAAATGCTATTTTCTAAGAAAAGAATGTAAGAATTGCAGAAAAACATTACTTTTAAATTTAGCTTACTTCAACTTTCTTTTTATATTAATATATGAAAAATCCACTGGTTAGTGGCATCAGACACCCAGGGTATAATTAAGTACAAGCTTGATCAAAATGGAAGACAGGCTTTTTTTGTTAATTTTCCCATAACAAATTTGCAGATGGCTGGCAGTAATAAATACATTTGAAAGAGAAAGAAGATGGTCATATGTATTGTTTTAATGTGTAATACCAGTTGTCTTGACCACAACACCTTTCTAGAATAACCTTTGTCAGGTGTGCTTGAGAACAATTGAAGTGTCTTCACAATATGTTAAGTTTTACTAGACTTGTGCTTATAGGACTTATTGTAAAGACACTTCAATTTTTGAAGAGTGTATTGCCCTCCAGATTTTTGTGTCCTTAGGTCAGGTTTACAGAAATATATTTAAATCTAGATACCCTGCTCCATTTGATGTATTGGGAACCGTCACCTGGATTTCTTCTTTTTCATTACTATGGAATTCTACCAAGTAGAAGGCATTCTGAAACATAAAATAATATCTGTTTTAATGCAATATAACTTTGTAAACAATTATCAAAGATTTCAGCTTAACTTACACCACCATCCTAATGAAAGGCAACTCAGGCCTACTTTTAATACTCCACTGCCTTGGTATAGAATTATCTAAACTTATATGCATCATTCTTTTCTGTTGAGAAGGACAAAAGTATATCAGTTTAACCTAATTTTAGTTCTACTATGACTGTACAACATGGTTAATTTTAGAATAATGTTTTCATAGCCTGAATAATGTATGCTTTCTTCTTAATTATTCTTCTTGACTGGGTATTTCTTAATGACAAAATACAACTTTGCAAAACAGTTCTTTACTGAGCACCATAACCTCTTTTTAATGGAAAATTGGTGCCAAAATCTACAACACAGTAAGTCCCTATATAATCTGAAAAAATAATGGTAGAACCACACATAAGGAAGGTTCTTTGTTTTTCAAATTTTCAATGAATGTCCAAAAATATATTATGTAAACTGATTTTAAAGGTACCTCAGTTTTTTTTTTTTTGCAAAGCCCTCAATTACAAAACAAGAAATTAATCAATGTTAATATAAAAATAAGAAGATGGATACTAATGGTTACTACTAGTTTAACTGTTTAGACAACTTTTCAAAATACTTACTTCTGACCAGATACTACATACTCCTTTCTTCCAATAATTAATCACAGGCTGTTTATCAACTTCCAAAAGCAGCTGAAATATGATGTATAAACCAAACAGTAAGTTTTTGTTTAAGTTTTCATTACTCCTTCAAATATTTTTTTTCATAGCACAATATCTATCCAACCTTAAGACACTACAATAACTATTACCTAGAATGTTTATGTTACAAATCCACTAAGATACTTATCAATATAGTTTCCACTTACAAACCCTGATTTTACTAAGGCTTAAAATGTTGTAAGTAAAAAAATCTAACTATTTTCACCATAGTTTCAACTTACAAATCCTGAAATTACTACTGCTTAGAAATTTTAAAGTATAAAAATCCATTTTAGATTCTTATTACCATCAAGGTTTTACATTTATGATAAGCTTTAACAGAAATATCTACTATAAGACAGCTATTTAATATCTGTCATTAATAGCTGTCTTCACTATTCAAAAAAATATAGTTTCATTGACAATCAAAGAACCTTTGTGAGCACGCTCACATACCCCACATCCCCACATTGTCACTGGGGAAACAAAACCTCACCAGATTCCTAAGTTCAAAGACTCACAACTCCTACAAAAGTCAACTGACAAAATATTCTTGTAGATATGCACATCTACATGTGATGTCCTTATTATCTACAAAGTTTCATAAAATTCTGTTTTGTGGTTTCAGAGGAGTTGCAAAGACAAACTGTTGCAGTAGTATATTTAGGCCAAAATTCTAAGTTCAAAGTGGCTTTACTCCTAGAAAAATAATTGAATCATAATTTCCTGTTGATATGCACATCTACATAGTATGTCCTAATTAACTACAAAGTTTCATGAAATTCTGTTGTGTGGATTCAGAGGAGTTGAGATGACAAACTGTTGCAGTAGTATATTTAGGCCAAAATTCTAAGTTCAAAGGGGCAGAACTCCTAGAAAAAAGATCAATCATAATTTCCTGTCGATATGCATATCTACATTATTAGTATGTCTTTATTATCTACAAAGTTTCATGAAATTATGTTATGTGGTTTCAGAGGAGTTGCGATGACAAGAACAGGACTGACGGACAAATGAACTGACTGACCGACGGACAAGCGGACTGGTCAAAAACATTATATCCTACGGAACAAACTTAGGTGGGGGTATAACAAGATTGTTACATCCTTGCCAAATACTCCCTTGCGCTGTATAAATGAGGAATCAAATTGTGTGTCACAATGTGAACAATATAAAACATGGTAAAATGTCTCATAACTCCCACTAAAATGGTCACATCGAAATCATAGTATAATATGGTCAGCATGATGGCACACAATCCTACCAAGTATGAAAGCTTTCTGTCAAATGTTCTCAGAGGAGTTGTGTTCACAAGGTGACACTATTACAATACTCCAAATATAAGTTAATGTCCCACAACTCCCTGGAAATGGTGAGGTCAAAGTCAAAATATAATATGATCAACAACACAAGATGGCAACTGATCATACAAAATATTAGAGGTTTCTTTAAAATGGTTCCAAAGGTATGGTTGTTACAATACTCCAACAAATGGTAAAAGTCCAATAACTCCCCTAAAAATGGCCAAATCAAAATGGCTGTACTATATGATCAACTTAGCATGATGGCAAACAATAGCATTAAGTATAAGTATTTTCTGTCAAATATTCTCAGAAGAGTTGCGTCCACAAGGTGTTACTGTCATAAAATTCCAAGTCCATTAACTCCCATAAAACTGCTCAGACAAAAAAGACGATATAATATGAAAAAAAAAAACTACCGTATAGTCAGCTATAAAAGGCTCCAACATGTAAAATGTGAAACATTTCAAACCAGAAAACTAAGGCCTAATTTATAACAACACAATTTACAATACTTTACAATAATGAATATTTATAGGAAACTGGTATACTTTACAGAATATAAATAAAAGAAGAATGTGTCTAAGGACACAAATGCGCCGCTCAAGCTTTGCAATTTTCCAAGTAAAAAAAGGGGCAAACTCTAGAACGGTAAATGACTCACTGCCCAAATTCGAACTCTGTCTGCATGTTGTGGTTCTTAGCTTCATGTATGAGTTTCAGAAAGTTTGGATAAGACAAACTTAAGAGTGTGGAAACGAAAAAATTTGCAATTTCCGAGTTATAAAGAAGCATAACTCTAGAACAGTTATAGATATGCCGAAAAAATTTAAACTCTGTCTGAGTGTTGCTGTTCTTAGCATAGTGTATGGGTTTCATAGAATTTGGATGAGACAAACTTAAGTTAGAGTGTGGAAACAGAAAAATTTGCAATTTTTCCAATTATAAAGGTAAGTGACTCACTGCCCAAATGGAACTCTGTCTGCGAGTTTTGGTTCTTAGCATTGTGCGTTTTATAAAATTTGGATGAAGAAAACTTAAAGTTAGAGTACAGAATCGAAAATGGGATGGATGGAAGGAAGGATGGACGGAAGGACAGACGATCAAGGATGACACTTAATGCCCCCATTGCCTACAGAGGGGCATAAAAAACCTTTAAATACTAAAATTCAAATGAAAAATGTTGTATGCATTATGACCAGACATTTTCTTCCTCAATGCAGGTTATGACCTGCATTTTCATTTCAGAGGTTGACAGGTAAGCAACATAAAAACAAACTGTTAAAATCAGTTGCAAATGGCTTAACTCAATATATTGGTACAAAGCACAACAACAACAAAAATAACATAAAAACAAAAGACACAAAGTACTGATATAAGAGTACTTCTAGTTACTGAAAGCTAGTTCAAAGCCAATTAGAACCATTCAATAAAAAAATCATGTTCTCTCAGACTAATGTATCAAACAGAACACATCCAACAGATTTAGTGTATAAACGTCATACACAGTCTGAGAACCACATGACTTTGTGCCAAAATATTAGTATCGTAAACAGTATCAACAAGATGTACGATTATGAATACTCATAACTGTACATATATAGCAATATATATTCAGTTATGTTTTTATTTTTTTTTTAAATAAAATCAATATTAGCACCATTAAAAACAATATCAAAAATTTTACTACTGTAGTCCTTTGTGGAAGAGAAAAGGCACAGACAGTCCCTATAAAACAATAAGATTGTACAGGCCAAAATCTGGACCTTTTACTAATTTCTATGCAGAAAAATAAAGTGGAAGTTATTAGGAACATATAATGACACAAAAAAATGTATCTTTTGACAGTTTCAAGAGAGTTATTTTTTGAAGTTTACAAAATTCAGAAATGAACATTGATTTTTTTCAAAAATAGGCACATTCCAAAAACAATCACAAACAAAATATTTAGATATTTTATGAGGCAAATCATATAAAAGATGATTTTGGTTATTATAAATGTATGTGGCAAAAACAGGAAAATATGTTTTTCTGTACCTTTTCAAGAATATTTGTACATGTATACACCATAATTTTGACCTTACAAAATCAAATTCCAAAGCAGTTAAATTTGCATAGTATATTTGGAGGAAAAAATTAAGTACATTTCGGTTCAAATTAAGTCCCTTTGTTATGATTAAGTTTAGTAGTAAATATATGAAAAAACTAGATGTGTCGGAACGACAGGAATGGCCCCGTCTAAAAAGTTGAAAAATCTGCACTTTCAACAACACATGTGGACAACAAACATGCATGGATAGTATCCAGCTCTCAAGACCAATACTAGTTGGATGAAAAATTTCCTTGATCAATGAGTAGTTAAATTTCAAACTATCTATCAAAGTCCAAAGTCCATAATTTCGGCAAAAATTAGTAAAGCGGGACATTTGACACTTAAACTTGATCTGTAACTCATCATTGTTAACTCACATACCAAAAAATCAGCCCAATATCTGAAAGCGTATAGAAAAAAAATCCACCTTACTGTGACTTTCAACAATTTATCAAAGTTCAAAGCCCGTAATTTCGGCAAAAATTAGCAGAGCGGAAAGAAACTTAAACTTGATCTGTAACTCATCATGGTTAACTCACATACCAAAAAGTCAGCCCAATATCTGAAGGCGTTTAGAAAAAAGGTCCATATAACTGTGATCTTCAACAATTTATCGAAGTCCAAAGCCCGTTAATTTGGCAAAAATTAGCAGAGCAGAACGAAACTGAACTTGATCTGTAACTCATCATGGTTAACTCACATACCAAAAATCAGCCCAATATCTGAAGGTGTTTAGAAAAAAAATCCATATAACTGTGATTTTCAACAATTTATCAAAGTCCAAAGCAAGTTATTTCGGCAAAAATTAGCAGAGCGGAATAAAACTTAAACTTGATCTCTAACTCATCATAGTTAACTCACATACCAAAAATCAGCCCAATATCTGAAGGCGTTTAGAAAAAAAGTCCGTATAACTGTGATTTTCAACAATTTATCAAAGTCCAACGCCCGTAATTTCGGCAAAAATTAGCAGAGTGGAACGAAACTTAAACTTGATCTGAAACTCAGCATGGTTAACTCACATACCAAAAATCAGCCTAAAATATGAAGGCGTTTAGAAAAAAAGTCTGTATAACTGTGATTTTCAACAATTTATCAAAGTCCAAAGCCCGTAATTTCGGCAAAAATTAGCAGAGTGGAACGAAACTTAAACTTGATCTGTAACTCATCATGGTTAACTCACATACTAAAAATCAGCCCAATATCTGAAGGTGTTTAGAAAAAAATTGCGTATAATGGTTTGTTGCGGAATGACGGAATGACCGAATGACGGACAAGGGTAAAACTATATGGCCCCGACAACTTTGTTGCGGGGCCGTAAAAATATTTGTTAATAGCTGTTAATTATGTTAAAATTTAGATTAATTGCCCAGTCTTATCAGCTTTCATTGGTTGAATTCAATCAATAAGATGTCAAATTTCATGTTGTTCTTTGATTTTGAAATTGTGAAAAAAAGGGACACACTGAAAAAATATAGTTATATAATTTGAAGATCCCCAAGAAAAACATGAAAGTCTACCTATGTACTGTAAAAAAAAATCACAACAGAAAACGATTCTATAACTACATCTCAAACTTAACTTGAAAGTTATATGTTCAAATATCTAAAATGAGAGGGAAGCTTCAATCACTAAAATTAGAAAATTTGTCTTACTCAATGCAATGGTAGAATCTATAATAATCTTCTTCATAAAGGCATTCATCATATGCTTGCATATCATGGTCATTCTCATTTCAATTTTACTCAAACATAACATAACATATATAACATAACATAACATAACATAACATAACATAACATAACACAACATAATATAACATAACATAACTTGCCCTCTTTGACCCATAAGTTATGAAGAACAAGAAATATGTTAATAATTGTTAATTTTAAAAGCAATCTTTATCAATAAAGCATAAAATATAATACATATTTTTAGGGGAAAAATGAAACCAAAACAAAAATGCATGAGTAAAGCAAAACAATGATATTTTTAATGTTAAACAAATGAAACCATAATACATTTATATAAATCTATGATAATACAAGCATGTGTATCTTCAACCATGCATTTAACTATGTGCACACTAAACATTTCATGTAACTGACCTTCATCTTAGACCTTGATAACTAAAAATTTACAGATAAATATTCTAATATATGTTACTACAAAGGTTGATACTTCCATCAGGTTTCTTGAAATTAAATGATAAATTAACATCTCTGAACCCATATGTCATGGTATTTCATAAAGTATTTTGATGTATAGAAAGGCTATGCATTAATTTTCTTTCTCTGCACAGAAACCTTATAATATTCAGATCTTTTTAACTACTGAATTTATTAACACTTCTTTTTAGCACATTTTAAATGGTTTATTAAGACCAGTAATTAGAAATATCAACTTTTAAAAAACAGTTAATAGTGATGAAAATCATGTGATAAACAATCAAATGAAATACCATGCTTTTTCTTCACGGTAATGGTATGAAGCAAGCACAGAAAATCTAGCGGATGTAATCATTATATACTGATTAACCAACAAAATTAATGCAGAAAAACAAAGGAGCAATGAATTTTCACAGTAAAGTTTCCACATTTATCTATTTTCAAAACTGCAAAACTTCAGACATACTTAATTTCTACCTAATTTAGGAATGCCTATATGTGCTATTGCAAACGTAACAAATAAATTGTATGTTTATATAACACCAAATGAATCTCTGAACTTTTTTTTACCTTTGTCAAAAAGCTGGTTGAGAATGTAATCAGTCTTGTAATAAGTCTTGGCCAAAGTCCCAGTTGTACATATGGCATAATGTAATACCGGCATATCTTTTCTGTGAAGTATAAAAGTTATTTATATATTCTTATAAGCTGTAGATTGTTGACTTAAACAATTGAAAGATATGATCTAACACTGGATTTTTGCCTTTTTGAGTAATATGATTAACAGAAACTTTATCAACTTGATGGTTTGAGCTCAATCTTCAATACAATCTATTAAGATAAGCATGATCTTTCATTCCTGATAAAGCTGATGGGACTTAAAGCTATCACCAATCCATCAATCATTTGGGAATATAGAATATTTTTTCAAAGGCAGGTGAATGTAAAGCAACTTAATTTAAATCTTATAAATATTATGACCTGGTTAAATTAAGTGGTGACATTGGCTTTTCTATTTGTTTATGTCTTATGTTGACAAACTAGTATATATATATCATTGTATCATCTATCTTGTTTAAAATCTACACTGATATTTAGCTGTTAACATTACCATGCTTCTGTAGTGCTGGAAGATGGAGAACTGGTTTCTTGTCAGGTAAATAGCACGGAATCAATAATTCTGTATCAGAATGTGGCAATGCAATCTCAAATCTATAAAATACAAAATGCAAACAAAGGTAGTAACCAGATATGATTTGATAATTTAACTGGAGGCTCCTTGGAGCCTGTACTGCTCAACTCACATTTTTGGATGAAATTGATTGATTGATTAATTGGTTAATTGACACCACTTTCAACACTATTGGTATTTTGTGACGGTTGGTTTTTATTTGTGGAGGAGGCAGTAGTGCTCAGAGAGAACCACCTACCTTCGGCAGGAAAACTGACAATCCTAGTCAATTTAGATTGGAGTCAAACGCACCTTCCATGTATGAGATTCAAACTCACAACCTCAGTGTTGACAGGCTAGTCATACAGTAGTTGAACTACTTAGACCACTTGGCCAACGAGCCCTTAGGATGAAATTGATACTATGCAATTAGAACTTTTGTGTTAATTGCAAACTATGTTGGCCAAAATGTTGTCTTACTGATAATTTTTGTTGGACAAAGTTTTTGTCAATCCATTATAGTTTTTAAGATAATAAACAAAAATGAAAAAAATGGGTTAAAATTTTTATTTAAGCAAAACAACATTATTGATCTTTTATTTGTGATCATTTTGTATGTCACAAGTTTCAGGGTCAGGTGAGTTCAATACATATCAATATAATAACTTCAATTACGATTTGTGCATTAAAAATAAATATAAAATTTAAATAACTTTCCAATGAAGTAATTTTGCTACATGAACTTTAATTGAACATTTTAATCAGCATTTTGAATAGTAAGTTTTTGTCTTGGTTTTTGTTTTATGACTTTTTCACACTTTTAACCGTATTCTTGTTATCTGTCCTGAAATGTATGTCACAGTATAGTGGTATCTCTTTCAGGAAAAGTTTAAGTTGAGCAATTTTGACCAAATGTTTAGCCCTTTTTTGGTTTTGACATTTTTATATATGTTTCTATATATTTGACTGTCCAAGTTTTTGATCTTAGCCCACTGATTGGGTTCTTCCTGAAACATGTCTTGTGCATGAAACCAGTAATACTGTTACATTAAAATTTGACAGTTGATAAACAAAACCATTATTGAATATAAAAAACAGAAGATTCAGGGTATACAACAATGAAAAACCACTGGAATAACATTCAATAACAACACACATACTTTTCTAGTAACTTCAGATAGTGTGGAATCAATTCAGACAACATTCAATAACAACACACATACTTTTCTAGTAACTTCAGATACTGTGGAATCAATTCAGATAACATTCAATAACAACACACATACTTTTCTAGTAACTTCAGATACTGTGGAATCAATTCAGGTGGATATATAAATGGCTGATCTTTGTCTACTTTTTTACCAGTAAACAATATCTTTGTATCTGTCTTCCTCAATATCTGAAAAAAGTAGTATCATAGTGGTATTTACTGCAAAATTAGTGAATATCATCAGGGCTATAATATTACACGGCAAAAGATTACAGTAGTATATAAGGAATAACATTCACAAAACATTAGGAAATAACCCTTTCATTATAGGGCAAAACTTTTTACATGAAACTAACAAATTCAATGAGAAGTTGTCTGCTAAGCATATCCACTTGTAATTCAAAGTATCCTCAGAAAATTGTGACGAAAATATTTGATTCAATTCAGCATATTGAAAAATTCAAAGTATCTGCAAACAGAAAGTAGATGCCTGACAGATCTGCAAGACACACTATTTACAATTCATCACTGTCAAGCGGCTGACCAAATATGAAGTCATTCTCCCCAGTAGTTCCTAAGAAAAGTGTGACAAAAAATACTTGTTTGATGGATGGACAAATAGATTGTAATAAACACCCTACTCACAAAGTGCACAGTAAGAGTATAATTTCTGATAACAACATTTTAGGGATATTTCACTGTGTTCAGTATTATGGAACACTGCACACTAACGTTTGGACAACTTCTACAGGGAATTTATCATTGCTATATGATAATTTTATATATGAAATCTATACCTGTTGCTTATGCTATGGAAATACAATGGAAAAAAAAATCAATAAACATATCTTTTGCTTTTTGTTTTCTGTGAACAAAGACTTGATAAAATCTGTTGCATTTGAGTAATAAAAAATGATCTAAAATGTAATAAAATAAATAACAAGTGAACCTGCGAGCTACTGCTCACTGATGATACCCAGCCCAAATATTTCGGTAAACAGGAAGTTGTTGAGTGATGAATCTGAAAACCCATCACACGGTATAGCTGACTTATATAAACCCTGAAACCAAATTTCAGAAATCCTTATGATGTAGTTCCTGAGAAAGCTACGACGAAAAATATTCATGGGACTTTTTAAAGTGGGGGTATAAAAATTTCATAGCTGTAACATATTTCTGATTGAACAAAATTGAAAAATATTAATAATCTGACATTATTTTCTACATACAATGTGCATAAAAACCTCAAAAAAGTCCATAATATATTTTTCAAATCAAATCTTGAGAAATAAACTTTTACAGAAAAGTTTGGAATCTCCTACTTTATTAACTTACCCCATTTTTTATGAATGGATTTATCTGTCTGACTGTAATAACTTGGGCCATCATTCTACATAACCAACCTGGGTCTATGAAATGCAGGTCCTTCAACTGCAGTGAGGCATCTTCATAATGCAACAGAATTCCAAACTCATGCAGGAACCTGATGGCCTGATTTATACAAAATAATAATAAAAGTTGGGCAATTTGTTGTTTTTAAATCCAAATAAGCTTGCAACACTGACTATTTATTCTGGTGATAAACCTCACACAAATTCAACAATTAAGGTTCAAAACCAACATACAAGTTCAAACAGTAAACATCCTGTATCACTTTTTCAGGGAGGGTATATCTTTGATAATATAATGGTCCTTGATTTAAAACAAAATAACTTCAAAACGGACAATAAGTTAAGAAGTTTCTAATAATGATACTGAAAGAGGCAGCTAAATGGATATTACAGATAATATTGTCCAGTAGCTCACATTGATTTGGTTGCTTGATATTATTCTTTGTCCACAAAGCTAATAGTGACAGTGATGATATTATATGCTTTGCTTTCCAATGGTCCTTTTGTCCTCATTTAGTAATAATTCTTTTTTCACCATTTTATTCTAGTGGTCACTATATTCCTTAATAACGTACTATAAGGTTAAAATACTGATCAATAAGTTTCTGTCTTTTTTTCCTTTTATTATTTTATGTGTTTCCAGCTTCGATAGTTTTACTTTTTAAACCTGCTGGTTGTAACATTGAATTCTTTATCTTTGTATTTCATTAATTTCTATACCCACTTCAAAATAATTCTGTTGTTTTGAGTGTGTTTTAGTTTTTACAATAGTGTAAACTTCTATTTAAAAGAAATACCTGTATCAGCTCTTCTTCATCTAAGTCTATAGATGATTGCTTTACAATTTTTAATAATTGGTTGTGTGATATAATTGGATAAGATTTCTTCAATAGTATTCTGGCCTCTTCTGCAAGCTTGTCAGAGAGTTTCTGAAATAAATTTCTCATAATCATACTACAAGCTAATACATTTAAAGACAGCTGCAAAACTAGTTTCAGACAAGCAGCTACGTATACATTAAAAGACAACTAAAAAAAACAAAATTCAAACGAGAAGCTTTATAGAGGAATGAAGGACTACTGCAAAACAAACTAATTTTTATGTCATTTGAGGAAACTGATAAAGTTGTTTAAATGCACATGACATGTGTTTCTATGACAACCTCCATCAGGTACACTTGAGACCAAACATTTTTTAGCAGTCAAATACATAAAACTTTTGACAGCATTAGAAACCAAAACCAAAGCAAATGATTTACTTCTATCATCTATAAAATTGAAAACAACACTTTATCAAATTTCATGCATCTGAAGTGCTTTTCTGGATTTACCTTCATCAAGAACACTCAAAGACAAATATTTGAAAGCAAAGGATGTATAAGAACTGAAACTGTTGAAGAGCTATAATGACCAAAACCAACCTAAAAAATAGCCAAATCCTTCTAATAGACAACACCATGACTGCTAAGTTCATCTTGAATGTAGCTGCAAGCTAGTGATCCTTGTAACTGACTGCAATAACTAAAACTACTGTGAGTTATTGTTCATTTATAATATCCCTGATCAATGTTGTTCATTAAATGTGATGAAAATTTATATATGTGCCATTTAAAAGATAAAGTTTTCTGCAAACAAGAAGAAGATTATAGATTATGGACAGATGGAAAGACAGAGGGAAACCAGTATACATCCCAATCCTTCTTTGAAAAAGGGGGTGGGGGTTATAAAAATAATTCTTTGCAATAAATAGTAAATATGAATTAAATAAATCTCAACTGGCCAAATTTATGCAACTAAAATTGCTTTCTTTCTTTTGATTAGGACATGTATGAAAAGGCTACAAAGTTTTCAATAAGATAAGGACAGCCCAAAAGGTAGAATTATTAACATATTATGTTTAAACTTTTTAGTTGTGAGGGATTCTACTATAGGAAATGAATTCCAAATAGTCATTATACAGTCTAACCATTTGATTGAGGAAAAATATCCAAAAATTTGCAGAAAGAAATATAGATCTTTCATCTAACGAATTTGAACAAAGCAATTTCACTTATAATACTATTGTTAATGTTTTAAAATTATTAACTGATTATTAATAAATATTCTAAGGATAAAAAATCACATACCACATAACTAGCTGGAACCATCTGTCCCATTACTGGCTGACCCTTCACCTTGTAACTATAAATAAACAAAACAAAATAAGTAAATTTAAGCTTTCATTCCTGGCTACTTTCCATCAACTGTCGAGTTGATCTCAGAACACCAAACTAAGGTGCTATTTTTTAAGATATTTGATATTTTCTGATAATTCATGAAATTTTCTCATCACATTAACCTATGCCCACTTTTTTCGAATAAATAAAGAATTTACCACAACATTGTGAGTACAATATTTCTCAACTTGAGACAGTTAAATGTGAGGCTTGTCAAGTGTTTTTAATTTCTAAAAATTTAACTGTGGTTGCAATATTCTTATTGAAGGAGATTCTGTTGTGGATCTGATTCTCTAATGATTTAAGATGATATGTAGACATATTTTATCTAAAATTGACTAGGAATTAGAGAAAAATGTATAACAGTCTCAAATCATCCTGTGTTCACAATTCAAACTATCTCTTTTTCTGACTCTGCATTAAACATTGGTTATTCATTCAGTCTGCTTATCATTACAAACCAAACGACATAACATATTTTGTATGCTGTTATTGTTGAGATACTGTTAATTGAGATTTATTCCATATATAGTACCATGTAAGAAGAAAGTACATTTTGGAGCTTATTTAGCCTTAAACATTGACTGAAAAAAGTATTATATTGTTATTTGTTACATTTTTAACCTGCTCAATATAGGCCTTTAGGAAAATGTAAATATTAGGTTAATTTGAATATGATGTCAATGTGGTGATTTACTCAATTTTAGCAACAACAAAGAAAAGGAAACTTTCAGAAAACTTCAGTCAGATTATCATAGACCACAAGCCTCATCCAAAACAATTTAATGAGGAATTAGCTAAACACAAAATACACTGAAAGAAGATTTTAAAGGATCATGCATGGTAGTGCTCTATATAATATTTAGCATCCTTTTATGGTTAATATGGTCCTTTATGGTATCCTCTTCTCAAAGGAATTCTATCCAAAGAGAATGAATGAACTGACATTTATTTCCAATACTTCTATGACTGAACAGGTTAAATATGATAAGTAAGACCAACCAATACATAATTACTTACTTATCAATGACATCTTTGATCTTCTCCCTCAGTTTTTCCAAGTCCACATTATCTTTTTCCAAGCTACAATCCACTGGACAAAATTCCTGTATGTCAGGAAACCCTAAATAATTCACATTTGGAAAATGATATATGCTGTTCAAAGCCTTTGGCAAGCTGTTTGTTGTGTTGTTTTCCTTTTTTATCTGAATTTAATTATTCATAAACATTATTATCATTTTTATTTTTTTTCATATGAAATAAAACTATTTAGATATCAGTTTTATAACTTGGTTAGTACAGTAATAACAAAAGTTAATAAAAAAATGTAATTTGGACCCACTTGTATCAAAAATGTACAATATGATTTCCAAGTACACAACATGTCTCTGGAATAACCCTTAGGTAAAAAGTTTGGACAGCCAGAAATTGTGTGGTTGGAGAGAGGGGCATAAAAAGAACAACAATGGACAACTTTACACTATAACATAATTCTTTGAACTGGATATTTACAGAAAGTATTATGCAACTCATTCCAATACTAAAGATGTGGATTTGATGTATTACCTGGTTTTGTTTTCAGATCATTCAGTCGGTCTATGAACTGCTTTACAACCTTTTCCCTATGTGACCTATGCACTTTATCATAATGGGTACCAACAACTATCACAGGACATCCTGGAGCTCTGGCATAGATGTTTGATAACCATGGCTTTAACAATTCAACTTCTTCTAAACCTTTGTTGATTCTTAGAACAACCTATTTTTCGATAAATAATCAACTCTCAATATGTAAAATTTTTCATCAAAGTTATCTTAAATTTGTTATTGTGTGTGTTTTTAAGGGTTTAAGAGGTTGAATAGACTTTTAGATGAATGACTTGTCTAATCTTAATTTAAATCATTTGCCTAGATGTATGAAACAAGAGTGCACTTTTACTTATGATTGAATTTATGTTGAAAGTCTTAAATACTACAAGTATCACATAATCTTAACATTGATGATCCAAAAATATGAGGTCAAGGTCAGATGATCCATGCCAGACAGACATGTACATCTTATAATCATTCCATACACCAAATTTAGTGGTCCTTTTGCTTATAATACCTGAGAAACAGACCAGCCTCATAAACTTAACATTGACCAATGAACCATGAAAATGAGGTCAATATCATACGAACCATGCAAGACAGACATGTACACATTACAATCATTTCATACACCAAATATAGTTGACCTATTGCTTATAGTACCTGATAAACTAATAAAACCATGAAAAGTTAACATGAACCAATGAACCATGAATATGAGGTCAAGGTCATATGAAACATGCCAGACAAACATGTACACCTTACAATCATTCCATACATCAAATATAATTGACTTATTGCTTATAGTATCTGCGATACTGACTTGACCACTTAAACTTAACCTTAATCACTGATCCATGAAATGAGTTTGAGGTCAGGTGAACCCTGTCTGAAAGGCATGTAGATCATGCAAGGAACCTATATACCAAATATAGTTATCCTATTACTCATATAAAAGTGAACATTTCACTGACAAAAAAACTGTAATTTTTTTTTTTCAAGCAGTCACTGAAACATGAGGTCAAGGGCAATGGCCATATGACAGACTGAAAACTTTGTAACATAAGGTATCTGCATACAAGATATGAAGCATCCGGGTCTTATACCTTCTGAAATATAAAGCTTTATATAAATAGTTTATGTCGTCACCAACGGCGGATGGTAATTCCAATGTCTGCTAATTACCAAAAAATCACATAAAAATCCATCATTGTAGAATAGCAGAATCAGTTTTACAACTTTAACATGTCATCTTTCTGTGATCATTTAAAATTATCTCCAATCAAATTACTTTCAAGACAAAATAAAAAGATAAATCTATAAACAGTTTATATAATTTAAGATATTTAATCTTACCAGATACAAAGCTTTATTCGACAAGTAACACTGATGTGTGCTATAGAATTCTTCTTGTCCAGCAAAGTCCCATGTACTCAATGTATATAAAACTTTTTTCCCTATATCTTTTCTGTATCTTTCAAATCTACAATGTGAGTTATGTATATATGTAGTCTTTTTGTGGAAAACATTTTACATCAAAAAGCAAAACAATTCATGCAAAAATGATGTAGGACATATATTGCTGCAATTGATCCCAGGTCAACCTGAGCAGTTCATTCATAAAATGGATATTGGAAACTTGTCTTTTCAAAATTACTTGATGGCTGGAGAATACTGTCATTTTTATTGACAAAGCAGTGAGGAAAATATTCTTTTTAATATGTTTAAACCCTGTTAATTATTAAAAAGGCTCCTCATCTAAGCCATCCATTTTTTCTATTAAACAATGTCTAAGGAATACTTAAAATACAAAAACTTTTTTTTGTGTTACCCAATATTTCTATCATCTAAACGCTTAAAAATTCGAAGCAATAATTGTTACACTTGAATGATATATTCAAACTGTTACCAAATCCTCTCCTAAAAGTTCTAACAGCGTCATAAGTTAGCTACTGATAGACCTGGACTTTTTCAGTGACGGATGAGTGTTTTAAATCAATCATTATTTCAATTCTAATGGTTGGTTTACCATAATATTTGTATTGATAGCTAATTGTTTAAACTATTTAACAAACTTACGCCCAGTCTTTAACAATAATTCCCACAGTTGGTGTGTTGTTAGCTGCTGGTTTAGGCATTTTCATCAGTGCACGGAGTAGTGTTGATTTACCTCTACCTCCATAACCAACTACCATTACTTTCATTCTGAAGTATGCTGCAGCCTTTAAAAAACAAGTAAAAGGCTGGAAATGCCACCTGATGCTCCAATAACTGCACATTTATTGAGAGAAAATTTCATTTTATTTTAAGGGTTCAAATAACCACTTTTCTATTTCAGTTGACTATTTTTTAATTATTTTTCTATTAGAAAATTTAATTAATTCGTGCAAACTTAGTAACTTTTCAACAAGTAAATTTCGCACAAATGTGGAAAATTGTTTGTGCATTCCTGAGGTACCAATACATAGCATTTGAAAACACTTTTGATACATTTGAAAATACTTTTGATATTTTCAGAGGTAATTTCCTATGCAAAATTAGTAGGAAAACGATTTGGAAGTTTATGGAAAAACTTGATGAGCTTATTTTGAGTGTGAATATTTTTTGCAACATTCTAAAGAAAGAAAATCTGCTTCAATCTTATGGTAACATCTGAATATCACATTTACTAACCTTTTTAAGTTTGTTATGTAGAAATGATATAAGGTCTTTTACTCTCCCATTAACTAAAGATCTGTCTAACTGTAATTCCACCCCTCTATATCTAAACTGAAATGGGAAATATAATTAAATATATCATCTTTGAATTACACAATTTATTTTTTTTGTTCTGATTGTTATTGATGACAATAAATCAAGAAGAAATGTCTGAACAGTAATCTGTTTGATAAGCAAAGTTTTGAAAGACAATTTAAAAAGATACAGGTAGTCAAGTTGATGTAACTGAAGACATCTTCCAAAATTCTGATAGTATTCAAACAAAACATTCAGAGCTTGACATACTCTGTAGGCACTTGTCTGTATTTTTGAAGACTATGTGTTGATCCCTTGATGTAATCTGCTTTTCTTTGTAGTTAGATTACTGTCTCATTGATAGAAACTAGAATATTTCCCTTTATTTACAGTACATGAAAATGAATTCAGTAAAACTAACTTTTCTGCAAACACAGCTAAAAACATATACTGGTATCAACAATCCTACAAATGAATAAATGTACAGAGGACTCTGATAGTTTCATGTTCTTTCTTTTAAAGGGTGGATATATTGATACAACATCAAAATTATCTACATGAATTGTATTGCAAAGTCTATAGTTTGATATAAGAATCTCCTGAAATAATTCTCATCAAATGATGAAATAGAAGATAAACAATGCAATCAGGGAATTGAAAATATGTGAAAATTTCTTGTAAATTCATTGTCCAGTAGTTGTGGAGGTATGGGGCAAATCAGAGCAACAGACCATCATACTAGCTATCACTAGTAGTGTTAACGATACTGAAATATGCTTACTTCCCACATCCTTGAGCATCTTCCCATTTCATCTGGTAATGTCTTCAATGATTTGTTGTAGCTGATGTCAAGGGAGGTCAGTGAGGTCAACTGTCCTATTTCCTTTGGTAACTGAAACACATAACATATATGTTTTAAGTTGGTTCACCAAATAAACAGTTACATGCAGAGGCGGATTTAGAGGGGGGCCCAGGAGGCCCCGGCCCCTCCCTTTTCTAGGAAAAATTTGGTTGATTATATAGAGAATCACTGAATCATGAATCAATTATACTCAGGCAGTCAACGGGTCCCCACTTATGAAAATTTCTGGATCCGCCACTGACATGTACAATTCTAAATTCATACTTCATCCTTCACTACATTTTTACCAGAAATTTAAAATGACCTCCTGTTACTGTTGTTTCTGCACATTAAAAGGCAAAGAAAGAAAATCCTTATGATTTATTGGTAAAAAAAATATAATAAACTGTTGACACAGAGATATGTCTCGCATTTTGTAATTTTGATAGTATAATGCAAATGTTATAATTAAAATGGCAATATTTAAACATATTAACTATGCAAATCATTCAAAGTCAATGAACCATGACTGAATGTGCAAAAGATGGTGAAATTAAGAGTAACAATTTTTCCTGGCAATGTTCATCAAATTTGTGTTTATACTGGAACATTGTTGCCACTACTTACCTCACTAAGATTATTACCATCAATGGCAAGAGTTTCCAACTTAGTCCATGATTTTCCTCCTTCTAAATTCAACTATAAGAAAATGAAAAAGAAAAGTCATACAATAAATCTGTAAATTATTTCTCATTGAGGGTCTTATTTTGATAATTAAACAGCAAGATAATCCCTAAATGCACATAGGCAGTTTTAATAAATGATACAACTATTTATCATGAATACTATTTAAAATATTTAAGTTCCATGTATCTTAATCTATCACAAAAGGCTAGATCAGCATTTTAAAAGTAAAGAAGAGAAATGGTGTATATATAGGCTTATTTCATATTACCAACTTGTGACTCCAGATTATATAATTTTCGACAAGTTACCTATGCTTTATTAAGCAAAGAAGTCTAATGATTACTGTCATAATTTGAAAGACACTATAAATGTAAAATATAGAAATTACAACTATCTAGTCTGACGTATATCAAAATAATTAGATAATTTGGCTGAATGTATGAATAGGGATGAACTGCATTTCAATTTCAATAACAAACAGATTGAAAGAGTTCAAGTGAAGTAATTACCAAAAGAGATGCTTTCTGAAGAATAAATGTGTTTTTTTTTTTCATTAAATATATAAGACAGCAATCCAGCATACCCTCAAGCTTTGGAAGTCTTGACACTTGTATATTGTTTTTTCATGAATGTAGTTTTCAATTTTGACCAACTTAATCAACGACAATGACTGAATTAGGAATTCTAAAGAAACAGTAAATTGGTAAAAATTTTCGGGGGTTATCCCATTTGAAATAGTTGTTTTAACAGGAATCCAGAAAGTTTATGTTTGTCTGTAGAATTTCATCGATCCTAAATCGATATTGTTATAAACATTTAAAGACACAGAAATAAATTTGCATGTGCCTCTTGCTGGTTGTTTAAATCAAACAAATTATGTCTATTAATAAACATTTGCAGTATCTGAACATTATCTTTGGTATACATAGACCTACCTTTGTAATTTTGTTCCTTGACAGTTTTATTTCTTGAAGGAACTGAGATCGCCATTGAGTTGGGGAAGGAAAACTGACTATGTTATTATCACTCAGATCAAGTTTCCTTAAACTGAAAAATAAAGGTAAAAGTAAAAACTGTGGTATTGACAAACTTTTTTTTCCCAATATACAAACTTTCTAGTAAAGCATAATATATATAATATATTTATCCCCGTCATCTTTCTGTGCCAGTTATATGTGGTGAATTTCGTCAGTAATTGTTGCATCTTTTTTTTAACTTAAAATCTAATGTTGGCGTCAGATATTATTGTTTTTTTTATTAAAACTACAAAAACAAGTTCCCTTATCATGAATTACAAATTTTATCCTATAAATTCACAAGAATGCACATGCTGAAGTGTCTCCCCTACTTAATTCATGTTGAAAGTCTTCAAGAAAAGGTAATACTATAAGTCTTACAGAAAATTTAAAGCTATCAATGACCCATGTAAATGAGGTCAAGGTCAGATGAACCCTGTAAGATGGACATGTACCCCTTACAATTATTTCATACACCAAATACAGTTAACCTATTGCCTATAGTATATGAGAAACAGAACCAAGAAAATTTTACCAATGAGCCTTGAAAATGAGGTCAAGGTTAACTAAACCAAGCCAGACAGACAAGTACAGCACAAATCATTCCTTACATGAAATAAAGTTAACCTATTGCTTACAGTGTCTGAGAAACAGACCTGACAAACAATCTATCTTAGATTTTTTTAGCATGACAGTTGTGACAACAGTTATAAATTTTGTATGCTTTTTCAGTTGTAGACAGCAGGTACAAAGTAAAAAATAAAGTACATTTACAACATTTTGGTGAACTTTGAAAAAGAAAGCAAACTTCAGAAATTATGTATATGTCTTAACATGCTTCTGACTAACATTCTAATATATGTCCAACATTCTTTGTATTTTTTAATTTTAAAATAATTTAAAATATGTTTTCAAAGACTTTACTTTTGTAAATCCAAAATAAACTTTGGAATGTAGAGTGGCTCCTTTTCTGTCAATTTGTTCTTCTTTAATTTCAATCTTATTAACTTTGGTAACATGGATGTAATGCCTTGTTTAGGTAGAGATTCTGAAAAAAATTAAGGCAGTTTTACTGTTTTTATAAATTGCAGTAGTAATAGAGAATAACTGTATTGTATTGAATATTTACTGATATCAAACAAGGTTTCACTGTTCCAGCATCAGTTGTTTTCAACTGTAAACTAAATTTATGATAGAAAAGATTTAAATATTATGCAGTTCTAAAGCTTAAATTGTACCTTAAAACATATTTAAAGTCAACTCTAACATTATCTGCAGTCCTGTAGATTCAACATTTTACCCTTTTACGATTCTAATATTTCCTTATCAAAACTTATATTATGATCCCCACCATACAAAACACTAATATTCAATATATGTAGATTGTCTGGAAACATAAAATCTATTAGTACTTTAGAGATTTAGAAACAGGACGAAAAGCGAGGCTACCAGAACTTTTCTCCTGTTTCGTAGCAAGTACAAATCCATTTTTTCCCCCAACAATATACATAAATGGTTTTTATCCTGCAGTTTGACCCTGGCACTTTAATTTAGTTATTTTACAGTAACTCCAAATCTTTGGGTTTTTTTTTTTATAGAAGCCGACATGGTGAAATGTGGACTGCAGAGAGGACACCAAAATGAGCTATAATCGTAAACAATAATGTTACCATTACTGTTCCCTCCAGACAAAAGCAAGATAACTGCAGACCTTATATGTACAAGTAAAAATAAATAAAACATTTATTTGCATACCTGTTATGTGTTTAATAGTTGGCTGATTGTAGAATAAATAATAATACATGTACTGTCTAATCAAAACTGACATAATTTGGATGCCTTGTTTTGATTTAAGAAACATTTTCATCAACCTGCTAAGAATTTTCATTAAATAATTTGGACTGAATAAAGTGCAGCTAATGTGGTAGGATATATTGCTCAGGAAAATTCTCCTAGAAATGACATGTAATTTTGTAGACAAATGAGTCTATTGAAATTCAATCAAATATCTGTTTATTTTTTTGTCTTATTAATTTCTAAAAACATATCTTAGCTCTATTGGTCAAATCACTAATAGCATATAAATGGGTATAATGCATCTAAAAAAAAATCAGAATGAATATTAACCACTCTCAAATGTAATACATTCTAATAAATATGTACTACTTTCCAGTATGTTCTTTTTTGACCGGGCCCGATTAGGTGGTGTTACATCTTACAAAGTCTATCCAAATTTATTTTTGCAAAGAATTCCGCTAAAGCTGGTGCTAGGGGCCATCTTAAACTTGCAGTGAGGTGAGAGTTTTTTTTGTCTCGTGTTGAAGGTCTCACTGTGACTTTGAGATGAAGAACAGCAATAAAAGTGCTGTTCCTTTGCGTATTGTGTGTCTTTTTGCTGTGCATGTACTGATTTTGTGTCATGTATGGATACCCCATATCCTTTGTTTTTCTATTATATGATTTTTTTATTGAATAAAATCTAAACCATGAATTTAGTACTGAACAACTTCATTTTAAGCATAAATACCTATTTCATTGTTTTCTAGATCTAAGATTTCTAGTTTACAACTGCCATGTAAGAAGTCCTCTGGCACAGATTTTATGTAGTTACAAGACAACTCTAGCACTTTAAGACCAGGCAACTCCAAAGGTTCCTTTGGCAAATCACGAATTTCATTACTGAAATATAAAAAAATCAATAAAACAAAATGTATAAAACAAACTTGCCTTGTGTTCTGAATATCAAAATTTATTCTCTTATATAAACTTAATAAATTTTCATATCAAAATATAATACTAGCAGTTCAAAATTGATATCTTTGACTTTTGATATTTTGGTATACTGTGGATTCATTTATTTTCGTTGATACCAATTTTCATGGATTGAGGACAAATTATATTTTTGTGACTATTTGATATCATCGTTTTGCTAAAGTTTGCATTCAAGCCTATAGAAAATTTGCACTTCATTGATCATTTAAATTCTTGGTTTACCTGTACCCACAAAATCCACGAAAATTGGTATCCCACAAATAACTAGAGGCTCCAAGGAGCCTGTGTCGCTCACCTGATATTTTTTTTACAATTGATGCATGAAATAATGCAACCGTTATACATTTGCTTTAGTTTCAGAGATATAAGTCAAAAACTGCATTTTCCCTCTAAGTTCTATTTTTAGCCATGTCTGACATGTTGGTTGGCAGGCAGGGTCATCGGACAAATTTTTGAAACTAGATACCCTAGTGATGATTGTGGCCAAGTTTGGTTAAACTTGTCTCAGTTGTTTCAGGAGAGAAGATTTTTGTAAAAGATTACAAAAATTTACAAATAATTGTTAAATTTGACTTTAAAGGGCAATAACTCCTTATGGGGTCAATTGACAATACGGGTCATGTTGACTTATTTGTAGATCTTACTTTGCTGAACATTATTGCTGTTTACAGTTTATCTCTATCTATAATAATATTCAAGATAATAACAAAAAACTGCAAAATTTCCTTAAAACTACTAATTCAGGGGCAGCAACCCAACAATGAGTTGTCTGATTCATCTGAAAATGTCAGGACAGATAGATCTTATCCTCCTGATGAACATTTCTACCCATTGTCAAATTTGCTCTAAATGCTTTATTTTCAGAGATATAAGCCAAAAACTGCATTTTACCCCTATGTACTATTTTAGCCATGTCGGCCAACTTGATTGGTGGGCAGGGTCATCAAACACATTTTTTTTAAACTAGATACCAGTTTCAGAAGAGAAGATTTTTGTAAAAGATTACAAAAATTTACAAAAAATTGTTAAAAATTTACTATAAAGGGCAATAACTCCTTAAGGGGTCAATTGACCATTTTGGTCATGTTGACTTATTTGTAGATCTTACTTTGCTGAACATTATTGCTGTTTACAGTTTATCTCTATCTATAATAATATTCAAGATAATAACCAAAAACTGCAAAATTTCCTTAAAATTACTAATTCAGGGGCAGCAACCCAACAACGGGTTGTCTGATTCATCTGAAAATTTCAGGGCAGATAGATCTTAACCTGATGAACATTTTTATCAGTCAGATTTTGGTTGGCAGGTGGGGTCATCGGACATATTTTTTAAACTAGATACCCTAGTGATGATTGTGGCCAAGTTTATTTAAATTTGGCCCAGTAGTTTCAGAGGAGAAGATTTTTGTAAAAGTTAACGGACGACATAGGACGACAAACGACGGACGCCAAGTGATGAGAAAAGCTCACTTGGCCCTTTGGGCCAGGTGAGCTCATAATGAATCCACTGTATATTTAATTTTGCATTTTCTTACTGATACCAAATAATTTAAATCATTACTCTCACCCTCAGATAAAATATCCACATTTACTATACCTCAACTAATACATGTGTACTTTCAACATAAACTTTCAAATTGAAAATAGAAAAAATCTTTCAAGAAGATAGATTTATCTAGCATTGTACATTTAGTTGACAAAATGAGAAATGGAAAGGCTAACTCACATGGAAAGAGGTTGTGAAACATCTTTGGGCAGATAGAATAGATAAAAAAGTGACAAAAATTAAGTATTACCAGTTCAAGAATAAATGTGTTAAAGCTGGCAAACGCTGACAAAACAACTTTGGTATTTCAGTAATGCTGTTACTTGACAAATCTAGGAATTTTAGATTTTCATTTCTCCACATATCATCACCCATACCAATTTCGCTGATCTGATTTAAAAATTATTTTTATAAAATTAAAAGATTTGACTTGTGTCTTGTAGTTCTAATTGTGAATGTACAGATAGAAATGTACGACTCTAATGCATTTTTAAAAAATATCATCAATTATTCTGAATATTTATACGTTTCAAGACATTAGTTTTCTATGTTGTGCTTTATTTACTGTTGTTTGTCTTTTGGTCATTTTTCATTATTTTCCATGGCATTGTAAGTTTGTTTTTGACTTATGAGTTATCCTTTGGTATCTTTCGACTCTCTTCTTCAAGCTTATAAACTCTAAAAAAAACATCTGAGAAAACAAATTTTAATCAAATGTATATTTAAAAAGTTATAATATATAATAGATACTATAACACTATTTACACTATATAAGAGATTTTCAAAATGTTTATTTCTAAAGTTGTATAATGATATATAACGCTATTGTCATTTAAGAGATTTACCACATGATTATTGTTAAAGCTATATACTATAAATTCACAAATTATTGCGTGCATTTATTATTGCGATTTTTTAAAAATGGACAAAAATGCGAGATTAATTATTGAGATTGCAGGAAAATCTGAGTACAGAGATATGTATCTGATATCAGGATGAGAGTTCTTATTATTGTGATACTCCTCCAATTGCATTATTCGCATTAATATAAAACCTAGCAATAATTTCTGAATTTACAGTATTAGTATATAAAATTGAGAATGGAAATGGGGAATGTGTCAAAGAGACAACAACCCGACCATAGAGCAGACAACAGCCGAAGGCCACCAATGGGTCTTCAATGCAGCGAGAAACTCCCGCACCCACAGGCGTCCTTCAGCTGGCCCCTAAACAAATATGTATACTAGTTCAGTGATAATGGACGTCATACTAAACTCCAAATTATACACAAGAAACTAAAATTAAAAATGATATAACACTATTACCATTTAATAGATTTCAAAAATGTAATAATAGATAACATAATTACCATATCAGAGATTTCAGTGCTTCCTTCTTATTATATTGTATTTCTCCTGTTGGTGTGGGTCTTTATACAATGCTTGATCAAGTGGTTAGAAATAATTAACATCGCAAGCATGTTCAATTGTTTCATGCAATAAATTAGCAATTTAAGGTTTTGTGATTTGTAGCTATCATGTACCTTTGTTGGCTATAGCAACATCCTTGTCCTATCTGCTTAAGGCTTTTGATAACATAAACGGTACCAATTTTGCTGCACTAGATGCACATTTGGACAATCAATGTCTCTTCAGTGATGCTTGAGGCCAAAATATTTGAAAATCCGAAGCTTATTAAAAAGATAGAGCTATAAACCAAAAAGGACAAAAAAGTATAGCCAAACCTGGACAAGGAATCAGAGATTTACATGAAGGAGATATATATATATGAGAAAAACAAATTTTCCTTCTGTTTTTTTGTGAGCTACAATACTTCTCCATTATACAGTCAAAGATGTTTTTAAAAGCTCTTCAAACATGGAGAGTTGAAATTCTTGAGGATTAAAAAGAAATAATGTAACACATTAGTAACAGAAGGAGCATCTATTTTTATCTTGTACTTAAAACAAGACATAAATTTTAGTAAAGGGTTATCAATGACTATGTACCTTGTTGTCAGAAAGATCTAAATGCTTTAATGAGTTATTTTCCAACAAAGACATGGGAATTTTTGTGATTTTGTTGGACTTTGCTTCAAACTGTTTCAAGGTTGGCAAGTTCTACAAAAAATAAATTTATTTTCATAAATCAGAAGGTCATGTATGCATGTGAAAATTCCTTGGCAACAATAAATATCAAATGGGCTTAAGGGAAGCATCAATTGCATTTTAATACCCTTGATGTCATTTATAAGTTCTGAGCAAGACATTTAATGTAAAGTTGAACAAATTCTGTAAACTTGATCTTGAAATAAAAACAAAATTTTCATATATTTCTTCCATAGCTTTAGTTACAGGCAACAATATCATAAACATGTCTCCATTCTTTATGTGGCAGTCTGATGTCAGGAGACTGTAATTCAGTGGTTTACTAATATCTTCGTCATCTGAATTCTGTTGGATAGTTGTCTCATTGGCAATCATATCACATCTCCTTATTTTTATATACATGTAGTAATCACATAAACTTTGTAAAAGTGTTTATAAAAATGAAAGTTAATGTTGTATTTTCATATTGCACATAGTTCTTTTGTTATTGCTAATTCATTTAAGTATGGGCCATGATATTTTTTTTTCATACGGAAAATTTCTTTAAATATTGACCGATCCGTTTTCAGCTTGGCATTTGGAATTTGGAATGCAATGAGTGTCAAAATGTTATCAGGTCCTTATAGTTAAACTCCTTAGTGAAATTAAATGACAAAGTGATATGTAAAAAGTCACAAACCTTAAATAACTCCTCTGGTAGTGTTTGTAGTTTGTTATAACTCATGTTTATCTTCTGCAGACATGTAAATTTGGCCCAGAATTCTTTGTCACAGTCTGCTAGATTTTGTATATCACTGATTTTATTACTAGAAACGTCCAGTAAAACAACCTCAATGTTATTATTTAGTACTACAGTTGATCTTCTAGATTCATTATCTGAAACATAATTAAAGTCAATTTATAAATTCATATTTTCACAAATTTGTAAATAAATGATGCAAATGCAGAAAAGAAAAATAAACCGCTGCACAAGGAGCTCATAATACACCCATCATATGAATATTGTAATTGTTGCAATGTAATAGCCTCAGACCCCTTTAACAATTCTGACCTATCATCTCCTTTGATCATTGAGCAATACCTTTGTTCCAACATGGGATAGAAATCTATAAAACATTATATCACTTCCAATTTTAATTCTTTTTGAATAACATAAACCTAAATTTTAAGTGTTTTTTGTTCAAAAACATCTTTTGTTTCTGTAAAAGGGTCCTGTCATTTCTAAAAACCTTTGATAAGCTTTGTTCATGTATTGTTCTTTAGAATTAAAATTATTCTTTCCTCTCTGAAAGCACTTTATGTTCGTATACCTGTTATTTCCTAACAGGTCACCGGATTTACCTGAGAAGAGAGAGTCTATGCTTGAGTATGGACTTACCTGAGAACCAAGAGAGTCTGTGCTTGAGTTTCAGATTTACCTGAGAACCAAGAGAGTCTGTGCTTAAGTTTCAGATTTACCTGAGAACCAAGAGAGTCTGTGCTTGAGTTTCAGATTTACTTGAGAATAGAGAGTCTATGCTTGAGTATGGACTTACCTGAGAACCAAGAGAGTCTGTGCTTGAGTTTCAGATTTACCTGAGAACCAAGAGAGTCTGTGCTTAAGTTTCAGATTTACCTGAGAACCAAGAGAGTCTGTGCTTGAGTTTCAGATTTACTTGAGAATAGAGAGTCTATGCTTGAGTATGGACTTACCTGAGAACCAAGAGAGTCTGTGCTTGAGTTTCAGATTTACCTGAGAACCAAGAGAGTCTATGCTTGAGTTTCAGATTTACCTGAGAATAGAGAGTCTATGCTTGAGTATGGACTTACCTGAGAACCAAGAGAGTCTGTGCTTGAGTTTCAGATTTACCTGAGAACCAAAAGAGTCTGTGCTTTGAGTTTCAGATTTACCTGAGAATAGAGAGTCTATGCTTGAGTTTCGGCTACCATCAAGACATTCATTGATTCTTCTTACAAGACTATTGTCATTCAAATCACTTTCATTTCTGACTAAAGGTTGGTAAGGCTGAAAAATAAATAACATGAGGCTTAAATTAAAATATTGTTTGTTTGCAGTTTACCGACCGACCCTTGAAAATCCCCCCGACTGTGAAAATTTTATTGCTTTAAATTTTAAGAAATTATTTTTAAAACTTCTATTGCCGAGATCCAGAAATTCAGGTCCTTTCCAAAATTGATTTCAGTCTAGGTCAATTACACATTTTAAGTTCGGTTTTTCTTGCCTTCCCGTCAAGCATTCATGTGACCGTTTAATGATAAAGCACATGGAAATTGTTTACAGGTATCCATGAAGTTATGTCCTTTACGCTGTCAACTTCTGTCAATTTTAAGACAAATAACAAACAAAAAAGTTTAATAGTAAACTGTTTATACAGATTCAGGCACATCGAATGATGTCTTTGATGATATCATTGAAGAAGATGCAGCGGATATTCACAACCGACACGATAACTCATCTTTGTCTAGTCCTATAACATATGACTTCGCATTCTTATTCAATTTTTAACGTTTTTATACTGATATTTTCATTTTTTATTTTTTTTAATGCTCGGGTGGCACATTGATAGTAAAAACAAATATCAGAAATAGTAAATAGAAATAGTAAAAAATGCCCCCGAAGTCATATGTTATAGGACTAATCTTTGTCAACTTTCTGTCTCAAATAAATCGGGTACAGAATCTTTTGAGCTCGACTTTATGGAACCAATTTCATTGGTTAAACAATTCAAAAAGCAGTTTGAAGTATGTCATATTTTCTATAAATCGTTGTGAAGAAGACAAAGATTAAATCACTCCTCCGTGAATATATGGATACCTGTAAACATGATGCCTGTACGGAGAAAGAACTCATTTAAAATGTAAATGGATAGCGGCCATGCCAAATCAATGAGAAGCAACCCAAAATACACAAAGATGTAGAGAAAATGAATGATTAGCTTGAAAAATAAATATACTCTCTCTATATTAAATCTATCTTCGATTGCAATGAGTATGCTCCTTTAGGATAAGGGGGGCTGCCCCACTCATTGCAACTATTCTCTTTCTTACAATATTAAATATACCCAAACTTTGTGGCCTGTCACTGTGTGAATTGAATTTAAAGCATGTTCTTAGGACCTATGCTGCCAATTTTTTTATGCAGTCAAAACATTTCAGTACAGACCATTTACTTTAATGGGGTGCTATGGATTTCACCACAAACTAGTAAGTTTTCTTTGGTTTTCATTTAAGTCTGGCATCAACATATCTTTCAAAATATAATCGTATTGCATATAATTAAATATTGTTAGAAATATGAAAACAGTCTTTTTCAAGTTGCCCTTTTTTCAATTGAGGAAGATTCAATGGCTGATTTTTTTTTATTAAAAATACACTCTTTAATACATTGTCTTATAAATCTTCAATATCTACATTTTTCTGATGAAAATACTCTACTCATGAAAACTTTCTAGTCAAGAAGCATATATGTCATTGAATATATTTCTTTAAAACAGTTCTAGTCATTCCTTGTCTACAAGTGTTTCAGTATTCAATAATACCATATTTTATATCATAAATTGAATTAAAGTTTCAGTTTTAGTTAAAAAGATTTTTTTTATCTGACAATGCCTGTTCATTTCATGTTGGTTTTCAGTGTTTTGTTTTAAAATAGGTTTTTTTTTTCTTAACAAGAAACTTGGTTTGTTTAACTGCTTGTTTAAACTTTTTGGCTGATAAAATAAAATATTTTTCCTACCTACCGACCCTTCAGTCTGAAGGTACAGTCGGGAAACTGCAAACAAACATATTTTTAAGGTTAGCCTGACTTTAACTTCATGATTGTTTACAATTAATGATACCAAAACAATAGATTTACCAATGTTCTTAAAGTGGCCATTATGATTTAATTTTATCAAGAGTTATGTTACATTATGTTCAAATCAATGATGCACTAGTAAACTCAGGCAAATCTAAGATTAAAATGCATGGAAAATTAAAATGCAAATCTAAGATTAAAATGTATCAACAAGCTTCCCTAGATCATTAACGATTTATATGTCTAAGAAAATCTTAAGTTCTTGATTCTTTAAAAATTCATGTGAACAGTTGCATGACAAAATGCCAATTATCAGATTATTTGTTTTATCTGATGTAACCATGGTAACCTGGTCTAACTATCTTAAGATAGTAAAATATAACAGGAAAAAGTAAGATCTTTTTTCTATGTAATGCAACCTTCCAAATGATCTAAAATGAAATTTCAGACAGACATGTATATGGATTTTATAATGTTGTGGGGTTGTCGCCTCATTTATGATCATTTATGTATGCGCACATCTTATTTATTCATACTAAATAAAACGTCTGCTGAAACTAAATATTCTCACCTGATGCATGATTTGAAAATAAGGTCAAGTTCATTTAACAAACTTATCAGTTGTGTATGTCCCTATTATAATGATTTCAATTACAAAATATTGTTGACCTGTATAATTTCTGTGATAAAGACCTTATCCAAAATCTTAAACCTGAGATATGTCAGACAGATATCGTAACAAATCACCATACCAACTAATATTGATTTGTCATGTACAGTTACTTTGTCATTAGACAGAACCTTATCACTAAGTACAAAAAAAAAGAGGTTAAGGTCATAGTACATCAGTCTAATAGACAAGTATTTTTTCAGAAGACCTGTAATCCCTTAAATAAGAGTGGAACTTTTCAGTTCAAAAATTAATTTTCCAGTGAAACAATTTTGATGGTAAGCAATACTATCCCAAAATATGAGAGTATCTATTGAAAAAATTGAAGCATTTTAATAAATCTTTCAAGGAAATAACATATTCCAGTATCAGACGGTTTTTCATTTTAAAGTGTTTAAATCTTATAAGGGCATACTATTGAGGAAAATTGACTCTATTGTGTTTGATGACTGTTAATAATGCCATAAAACTTAATGTTTTTGACAGAGAGAATTTTTCATAGTAATAATAATTATTGTTGTATATGTTTGTAATATTTCTAGTTCTTACCAGTTTAGAATCTACACCAATGAGATCTAACTGTTCATAGGAATTATTCCTACTCATACCAGTTCTTGGTGAAGGACTTCTGGATTTTCTAGACCATGGTACTACAATCAACACATAAAGAGTATAAGAAATCTAAGGGAGATAATTCATTGTTAGTCAACAGAATGTTTTAATAGCATTATGAAACTAGAGGTACTGTAAAGTGAAACCAAGCCACTTAAGCAAAGGGAAAGTAAACCCCCAAAATAATTGATATTGAAAACAAAATAGAAGGTGCACTTAGGCTTTTAGGAGAAGAATGGGATATAAATGTGTACTGTAGTATCCACATGATTTGTTGAAGAAATCCTGGAAAATGATTCTGATAAAAGATTTGATTTTGATTTTTGGTGTTTTAATGCCACTTTTAAGCACCGCTTTTGGGCTATTTCGTGGCGGCCAGTTTTTATTGGTGGAGGATGCCGGAGTGCCCGGAGAAAACCACTGACCTTCGATAGGAAAACTGACAACCCTAGTCAATTAAGATTGGAGTCGAGTGCACCCGCACAAGCGGGGTTCGAACTCACAACCTCGGTGTTGACTGGCTAGTGATTACAGTAGTAACTACTTAGACCACTCGGCCACCGAGGCCACTCTGATAAAAGACAAAATAGGAGGTGCACAATAGCAATTTCTATAAAGTAATAAATAGCAATTTCTATGAGGTGCACAATAGCAATTTATGGTTAAAATTGTGAGAAAGTTTCAATGAATAGTAATAAGGGGTCTAGGAGTAATACCACCATTGTTTTCCCCTATTAGTCTTTGTTAAATTGGCACTTTCAAAAAATTGTGCAGAATTTATCTTTGTTTCAAACACAGAAATATTTGGCATGAGTCAAGTTTTATCTTGTCCAGTACTACAGACAAAATTTCACATAACATTTCATTGTATATAAGTCAACAAGAGAGCACACACTGAAATGTCTCACCTACCATACTGACCATTGATTTTATGTTGATAGTCCTAAATATAGAGTTTTACTACAAGTATTACAATAACATTTATGATCCAAGAAAATGAGGTCAAGGTCAGATAAACCATGCCGGAAATACATGTACACCTTTAATACAATTATTCCATACACCGAATATAGATGACCTATTGGTTATAGTATAAAAGAAACAGACCAAACCATGGACATTTTATATTGACCAATAAACCATGAAAATGAGGTCAAGGTCAGATGAACCCTGCCAGACAGACATGTACACCTTAAAATCATTCCATGCATCAAATATAGTTGACCTATTGCTTATAGTATCTAAGAAACAAAGTTTTCCAGAAAACTGAACATTGACCAATGAACCATGAAAATGAGGTGGAGGTCAGATGATAGACATATACACCTTACAATCATTCAATACACCAAATATAGTTGACCTATTGTTTAAAGTTTAAGAAAAACAGACCAAAACTCAAAAACTTAACATTGAGCAATGAACCATGAAAATGAGGTCAAGGTCAAATAAAACCATCCACACTGACATGTACCTCGTAAAATATTTTCATACACCAAATACAGTTGACCTACTGCATACAGTATAAGAAAAACAGACCAAAACAAAATAACTTAACATTAAGCAATGAACCATGAAAATGAGGACAAGGTCAAATAAAACCTGCCAGACTGACATTTACATCGTAAAATATTTCCATACACCAAACATAGTTGACCTATTGCATACAGTATTAGAAAAACAGACCAAAACACAAAAACTTAACTTTAAAGTCTGGACCATGAAAATGAGGTCAAGGTCAAATGACACATGCTAGTTGGACATGTACACCTGACAATCATTACATACACCAAATATAGTAGACCTATTGCTTCAAGTATCTGAGATATGGACTTGACCATGAAAACTTAACCATGATCACTGATCCATGAAATGAGGTCGAGGTCAAGTGAAAACTGTCTGACAGGCATGAGAACCTTGCAAGGTATGCACATACCAAATATATTTATCCTATTACTCATGATAAGAGAGAAATTAACAAAACAAAAAATCTGAACTTTTTTTTTCAAGTAGTCACTGAACCATGAAAATGAGGTTAAGGACAATGGACATATGACAGACGGAAACTTCATATCATAAGGCATCTAAAGTATGAAGAATGCAGGTCTTCTACCTTCTGAAATATTAAGTTTTTAAGAAGTTAGTTAATGCAGCCGCCGGATCACTATCCCTTTGTCTAGCTTTCTGTGACAGAAGTCGCAGGCTTGACAATAACCATCACTGAAAGTTAACCAATCAAACTTTCATCCCTTTTTTTTCCAGTTTACAAGCTTTAGTAACCATGTAACCTCAAGTCTCCAAAATACTTTATAGAAGAATAAAATAAAAATAGAATGGAACTCTGAAACACCCAAGATATTTGTTGATGACTCAGAATTATTTTACTGCAATGAAATGTAGGATTAATTTCCTACAACTGTCAAATTCAAGGGAATATATTTTTTCAACCCTTTTTCCTATGAAAAACGATGTGACATACTATGATTTGGTGGTATTACACCTCCAGGAGTTGGGTACCCCAAATGTGTACAATAGTGTGCATATATGACTAAGTCCATGTCATCCCAAAGTAAACCACAAAAATCATTCAGATGAAGAAATAAAATAGGAGGTGCAAAAAAATATGTGCAATGCATGATTAAGATACTGTGAAAGTTTCACATAATTATGTCTAGTAGTTCAGGAGCAGTTAAGGGTACAAAAGCTGAAAGAAGACGAAGAACTCCCCTATCACTGTAATCGCCCCTTTTGAAATTGGGGATATAATAAAGTTCATTGAAATATTTTTATTATATTTTCTCTTTATAATTACATTATGTAAATAACTGAATATTTTGAATGTTTTAGTGATTGAAACACTCATTGGAAAATGGTCTGTTGACTGAATAGGGTCAACAGTCTCTTGACTGCTCAGAAATGGGCTGTATTTTGCCAATGTCCAAAATGTGAATTTAAATTTCGATTGGAGACAAAATACAGCAGCTGGTGATATTTCTGGTGACAGGGCCTTTAAATCTCTAGCAGATATGTGTGAAGAGGTTTAAATTGTTTTAAAAGGATTTTAAAAGGATAATTGATATTTGCAAATGGGGAAAATTTCATAAATCAGGACATAAAATTGTATGTATGACTGGCTTAAACCTTTCTGGGATACAATTAATTGGATAATTAGACTATTGTTATTACCTTTCAATCAAAAGAGTGTCAAAATTATGTTTTGATAGCTGTAAATCATTCAATTAAGGGCAAATTTAATTAAAGGAAAAGTTTCGATTTTTTTGTTTTTCATCATTTTAGACATTGGTCTCATGCCACTAAAATATGGGTGAAAATTGGTCATTTAATGTATTCCAGGGTTATTTGATAACCCAGGCGGTTATTGAAAAATCTCAGGTGAGCTGGTAAATTCACGGTCACACATGCAAATTTGGTTGTGCACTAAACCTAGGGATTTCAAAAGGGGGCAGGTTTGTTATTCAGTGGTGTAGGCCATCTTACTTTGTATGTGACCTTGCAATTCCCTTTTGAACATTGAGCAATGACATTAGTTTGTTCATTTAAATTTCACATGTCCTTTGTAAAATTTCTTGAATATTTACTCTGTATCCTTTACTCTATAGGAAGGCATTATCTCTTCTTACCATTAATTTTCTCTGGAACATATAGCTTTTCTGTGGATCCTTTATGTCTAGGATCAGCTGGGTTGTATGGAACATTGGCTCCAGTCAGAGTTGTGTATTTCCATTCATCTGCTTCTTGTTCAGAGGATTCAAATACGGGATATACAACTGATAAAAAACAATGAAATTGTTACAATATTATAATAAACAGCAAAACTCATTCAGATGCTTCTGGATTTTAGACCCACAAATACGAATTGAAAATACTGAATACAAAGGTCGATTCAAAAGCATTTTTGTTCTTTGTTTGATACAACGGTCAAATATTTTTGTGAAAAATTATATCTTTTTCCTCCAAGAAACAGTAAAAACCAGGAGATTCCAGAGGAGTAAAAAAAAAGTTATATTGACTAAGACCAGTATAATAAAAACCACCACATTATAAATTGTTTAGAGATGAAATGTAAACAATATATCCAGTTATAGTAGGTACCCAGGTTAGGGCAGGGTTGGCACCTTCAAACTAGTTTAACCCCGCCACATTCTGTATGTGCCTGTCCCAAGTCAGGAGCCTGTAATTTAGTGGACTGGTTGTCGTTTGTTGCTGTACATCATATTTTTTTTTCCTTCATTATTTTGTACTTAAATCAGGCCGTTTGTTTTCTCCTTTGAATTGTTTTACATTTGTTATTTTGGTGCCTTTTACAGCTGACTATGCTATATGGGTTTACTCATGGATTGAAGGCCGTACAGTGACCTATAGTTGTTAATTTCTGTGTCATTTGGTCTCTTGTGAAGAGTTGTCTCTTTGGCAATCATACCACATCTTCTTATTTTTATATGCACTGATGGGCAGCCGAAAACAACTTACAAGGATACTTAAATAGAAACAGACGAACGAATGGATATATAGTGATGGCTCACCCTTGCCTTTGGCTGTATTAAGCAAACATAGTGTAAAAATTGAGCAATATTTATGATACAACATTATGCATGATTCTAAGTTTCTTGCCATGTTTGTCAGTGAATAAACTAAACTAAAGGCTCTAAAGAGCCTGTGTCGCTCACCTTGATCTATGTGCATATCAAACAAAGGACATTCTCCAACATTGTAGATGAGAATAAACTTCATGACAAAAATCTCTATTTTGTTGATCTTGTACTACTGATATTTTAGTCTGAATAGTTTCTCTCTATCTTCTTTAGTTTTTGCTCAAAACACAAAAAGAGGGTAAAAAAAATCCTCAATGAAGGGCAATCACTCCTATGAAGAGTGACAGTCTACTAACAATATCGGCAAAATTTGACTTTTTGATAGATGTTGTCTTGCTGATCATTTTTGTGATTTAAAGTGTTTATTTATCTATTATAATTTAAATCATATAAGGCGTAACAGGAAAAATGTTTCTCTCTAAATATCATAGTTTTCATGATGATAGGCAAAAATGAAAAAAATGGTAAAATTTGTCTTTTAGTTTTAACGTATATGGACAATTGGTAGAGCTCATTATGCTGAACATTTTTGCTCCATTCAGATTTTCTCTATTTATAACGGTTCAAAAAATAATAGACAAAACTTGCATTTTACCCCTATGTTCTATTTTTAGCCATGTCCACCATGTTGGTTGGCGGGCTGGGTCATTGGAAACACATTTTTTAAACTAGATACCCTAATAATGATTGTGGCCGAGATCGGTTAAATTTGTCTCAGTAGTTTCAGAGGAGAAGATTTTTGTAAAAGATTACAAAAATTTACAAAAAATTGTTAAAATTTGACTATAAAGGACAATAACTCCTTAAGGGGTCAATTGACCATTTTGGTCATGTTGAATTATTTGTAGATCTTACTTTCCTGTACATTATTGCTGTTTACATTTTATCTCTATCTATAATAATATTGAAGATAATAACCAAAAACTGCAAAATTTTCTTAAAATTACCAATTCAGGGGCAGCAACCCAACAACGGGTTGTCTGATTTGTCTGAAAATTTCAAGGCAGATAGATCTTGACCTGATGAACAATTTTATTCTGTCAGATTTGCTCTAAATGCTTTGGTTTCAGATATATAAGCCAAAATCTACATTTTACCCCATATGTTCTATTATTAGCCATGGCAGCCATCTTGGTTGGCAGGCTGGGTCATCAGACATATTTTTTAAACTAGATACCCCAATAATGATTGTGGCCAAGCTTGGTTTAATTTGGCCCAGTAGTTTCAGAGGAGAAGATTTTTGTAAAAGTTGACGGTCAACGGCGACGATGAAGATGGATGACGATGCCAAGTGATGAGAAAAGCTCACTTGGCCCATTGGGCCAGGTGAGCTAAAAAACTGTCTTGTTTTATTTCAAAAATACAAACTCATTAGAGTAATTGTTTGAGGAACATTTCATGTTGTAGATACAGTCAGTCAAAACCTTATGCCTGGTTTTGAATTATTAAAAGAGTCAATCTCTCTCACCAGTGACTTTAAACAAAAATGCAACCCTCATGTCCTTTTTGGTTGCAATTCAAATAAAGCACAGGGGATGGAAATGAATGCCGGTAGTCTGAGAAGTGATGTCGTTGACTTCTATAACTTTTTTATTTAACCGCACAGCGTATATTTCTTCTCCCCCTTCACTCTCTTTCTCTCTTTTTTAATTTTTTCAATTTTTTTATTCAAAACGATGTTGAAGCCTTGGCTTCCGAGCTTCCGCCCAAGCTACGCCACTGCCCAATATGTCCATTTATTTTCACACAAATCCTGAACTTCAATTTAAAGAATAACCATAGTCATATACAAGTTAACCTTCACTGGAATTTTCATTTAATTCCAATTCTTCCTTTAAGTTACGATCCAACCACTCTATGCTGGTTCTGGGGCTAACTATAGGTGACAATTGACTAAAAGCAGGCAACTGTTTTCCCTTCAACCTCAGCATACCATCAGAATTTGATCTAGCCATCTTCATCATAACTGGCTCAGTCTTTTCTATTCCTTAACAACAGAAAATTAAATAAATGTCATTCTGACAGAACAGATTTCTACCCATATTAAGTTTAATCTTATTGTCGAATTGCTGTCTTTATTGACTTTTATAGCTTGCTGTTCGGTGTGAGCCAATGCTCCATGTTGAAGGCCGTACCTTGACCTATAATGGTTTACTTTTATAAATTGTAACTTGGATGGAGAGTTGTCTCATTGGCACTCATACCACATCTTCCTATATCTATTTTATGGTTTCATTACCTTTAAGTGTTAAAGGAATTTTTGAATTAGTAAATAAAATCTATTAGTTAACATTAAGATTGCATGTCATAACATTAAAAACAATCTGAATGTCAACTTTTCTCACATCACAAACTAGAGGATCTAAAGAGCCTGTGTCGCTCACCTTGGTCTATATGCATATTCAACAAAGAACACTCTCCAACATTGTGGACGAGAATAGAATTAATGACAAAAGTCTCTGTTTTTTTTTTATCTTATATTGCTGATCATTTAGTCTGTTTAGTTTCTCTCTATCTTATTAAGTTTTTACTCAAAACACAAAAGAGGGTAAAAAAAATTCCTAATTTAAGGGCAATCACTCCTATACAGAGTGACAGTCTACTGATTTCTTAAGAATTTTCATAGGCCTATGCGGGTCTCCGAAGCAGGGGAAAATTTTTTTCTGCCTTCTACCTCGGTAAGAAATTTTCATAGGCAGACACGGATCTCCAAAGCAGGGGAAAATTTTTGTCTGCCTTCTACCTTGGCAAGAAATTTTCATTGGCAGACACAGGTCTCCGAAGCAGGGGAAGATTTTTTAACTGTATCGACAAAATTTGACTTGTTAGTAGATCTTCTCTTGCTTATCATTTTTGATTATTTAAGTTTCTATCTATCTATTATAATTTTTATCATATAAAGCAAAACGCAAAAAAAAATGGTAAAAATCATCTTTAAAGGGCAATAACTCCAATAAGGAGTCTTCAGACAATTTCCACCATTATTGTCTTAATTGTAGATATTGTCTTGCTGATCATTTTTGCTTATTTAAGTTTCTTTCTATCTATTATAACTTTTAAGATATAAGGCAAAAACACAAAAAAATTGTACAAATCGTCTCAAAGGGCAATAACCCTAATAAGGAGTCAACTGACGATTTCAACCATTAGACTTATTTGTGAAACTTGTCTTTCTGATCATTTTTGCAATTTAAAGTTTCTCTGTATCTATTATAGTTTTCAAAATATAAGGCAAAAATGAAAGAATGGTAAAATTTGTCATTTAAGGGCAATAACTCCTCTAGGAAATCATCCGACAGTTTTGATGTATATGGACAATTGGTAGAACTCAACATTTTGAACATATTTACCTGTGTCAGATTTTCTCTATTTATAACGGTTTTCGGAATAATACACAAAACTTGCATTTTACCCCTATGTTCTATTTTTAGCCATGTCGGCCATCTTGGTTGGCAGGCGGGATCATCGGATATATTTTTTAAACTAGATACCCCAATGATGATTGTGTCCAAGTTTGGTTAAATTTGGCCCAGTAGTTTCAGAGAAAAAGATTTTTTTTAAAGTTAACAGACAACGATGGACGACGGATGCCAAGTGATGAGAAAAGCTCACTTGACCCTTTGGACAAGTAAAAGATTTTTTAAAAACTAATACATGTCAGTGGAGAGATTATTAAATCATAATCTAGATTACATACCTTGATTTGGACTTTCAGATTCATCTTCCTTTAGAAGTACTGAAGAATCTGATTTTATCTTGTATCTAAAGAACTTGTGTCTTCCAAACATCTTCATCATGTCAGAATCACTCTTAGTATATGCAAGAAGTCGATGATTTTTTCTGTCATGGCTGTTTTTTATTCTGTAGGCTAAGTGCTTGCTCAAATCTAGAATGCAAATGGTTATTTTTTCTTTAAAGACTAAAAATTAGAATTGCTTTTGTATGCAGTAGTGATTTTTTGTTGATTCTATCCAGGTCTATTGATTGATCATATTATTTTTGTCTTTTTATTGCAATAATGAGTTGAGGTATTTTGGTACTCAGTGGCGACCTTTTGTTGATTCTTTTCAAATCTATTGATTGATCACATTATTTTTGTCTGTTCATTGCAATAATGAATTAAGGTGTTTTAGTACTCCATGGTGACTTTTTTTTGGTTGATTCTTTCCAAATCTTTTGATTGATCACATTATTTGATTGATCACATTATTTTTGTCTGTTTATTGCAGTGGTATATTTTGATCAGAATTATTTTTTAGATTTTATAAAACCCATTTCTTATTTTTGTGAACTAAATCTATACAAAATATCAACAAAGTGAAAATTCTAAGTACAGGAAGCTCATATTTTCATTTCTTTTTTACCTGAATCATTTCTTACTAATTTGGCAAATGCAACAGTCAACCAATCTGCCTTTAATGTTTCTAAACCAAGATTGTTCCACAATGCCTGCTTTCCTACAAAGATAAATAGTTGTGATTTATTTCATGTCTGTAGATGAATAGAATATTTGAAATTAACTGATCTACATTTCGGCGGCATCAAAATAAATTTTTTGTCCTGTAAAAAATTCTAAATTCCTAAAAAATTTTTGGAAAACATCATTGCACCATTGCAACTCTTTAAAAAAAAACTGACTACTTTTGGAGACATAATTTATTTAGATGTAATTGGCTTTAAACTAGCTTTCGGTAACTGCAAGTATTCTTAGATCAGTGTCTTTGGTTATTTTATTAGTTCCATCTGATGAGTCACACGTTTTTCAACTGATTTTTATAGTTTGATCTTAATTATGTTGTGGTGCTTCACCACTGTAACAGGTAATGGGAGGGTTTAGTGCTCAATATCATGTTTAACCCCGCCACATTCTATATTTAAGAGCTTGTAAATTAGTGGTTGTTGTTGGTGGCCACAGTCTATCATATATGTTTTTCTTTGATTGTTTTGTACATCAGGATGTTGGTTTTTTGGGGTTTGAATTGTTATTTTAAATTTTGTCATTTCAGTGCCTTTTATAGCTTACTATTAGTTTTGTATATGGTAAGTGCCCTGAGCTGACCTAAAGTTGCTTAGTTATACATCATTTGGTCTCTGGTATCTCATTTGGCAATCATACCACTTCCTCTTGTTCTTATATAGTAATAATTTTGTCAGGTCTGCTCAATTCACTTTGACTTGAGCCATTTACATATTTATCTGCCACTATTCGAGTCATGAGTATATATTCCTGAGGACTATTCTAACAAATCTGAAACCTTTACTATTTTTTTTATTATCTTTTATTTGTTTTCAGCAGTCAGAATTTTACAATACCCGTACAATCACCACCTGACTATTGTATATATATTTCATGTGCAGCTTCTTCTACATAAGGAAACAAGCTTCCTGGAAGAAGAGTCTCCTTCATGAGATGGATGAATATATTTTGAATTAAAATAGCAAAGAAAACATATGATGCATGACAAAGCTTTCATTTTATTATATTTTATAAATGCTCTTTTTTTTTATGTCTATGACATCTGTAGGATCACTTATGAATATCTGAGTATTCTAGTTGAGTCAACCACTGCCAATGACTTTTAAATCCTCAGTAGCTTGAAGGTACCTCACTAAATTGTTAAGCATCCGTTATCATTAAAACTTTATTGTTTATCAAAATATGATGCAACAGCACATTAGATAAAACTATAGATATCAGTTGGAAAAGGCAAGACTCTTCAGATCAGATGGGATTAATGTCTCATAATGACATTTCACAGTGTGGATTCACATGGTGGATGATACATGTATAGCAGGAGACACTTACCCTGTCAATGCACTGTCACATTCCTTTTGGAGTTATTGAGATTCCTTCCTTTTTTGTTTGTTACTTTGATTTTTTGTCACTTCTTAATCAATCTACTAGACTTAAACATCAGCAAACTACTGTTGCCTTAATTACACAACTTTTCCATATATCCATCATCATATTTACCTGATCTGTCACCTATACAGCTTTCCATATATCCATCATCATATTTACCTGATCTATCACCTATACAGCTTTCCATATATCCATCATCATATTTACCTGATCTATCACCTATACAGCTTTCCATATATCCATCATCATATTTACCTGATCTGTCACCTATACAGCTTTCCATATATCCATCATCATATTTACCTGATCTATCACCTATACAGCTTTCCATATATCCATCATCATATTTACCTGATCTGTCACCTATACAGCCCAATATATGACCAGTTATAACATTTGCAACAATAGTATCTTGTTCAACCTCTAAACTCAGCTTCAGTGGCTTGTGAAGATTGCTGATGTCCTAAATCAAATATATAAACTTATACCATAAAGTATAAACCATTATTTCATTATAATCAATTCATTCTCCAGTAAAACAATGAATGACCCCACCACATTCTGTATGTGCCTGTCCCAAGCCAGGAGCCTGTAGTTCAGTGGTTTTCGTAGGTTCATGTCGGTCATATTTGTTTTTCGTAAATTGATAATTTTTATGTCAGGGCCTTTTATAGCCCACTATACGGTAGGGGTTTTCCTCATTGTTGAAGGCCATACGGTTGCCTATAATTGCTTACATCCACTTCATTTGAACTTTGGTGGATAGTTGTTTCATTGGCAATCATACCTCATCTCCTTATTTTTATATACAACTCATGTTGGTTCTAATACAAATTATCTGTTTCACTGATTGTGGCAAATTACATATCTAGAGACTCAAAAGAAATGTCAACATACATAAATAAATAAAAGGAGAATGTGTCAGTGGGATACAGATGATGCCCTTGCTTGCATATAACGTTATCAAGGGGCATAACTCCAGAACAGTAAAAGTGACGCCACCCAAATTCGAACTTGATCTGAGTTTTGTGGTTATAAGCATTGTGTATAAGTTTCATAACATTTGGTTTAGGCAAACTCATGTGGGTTTTCAAGATAATAAGACAAAACTTGCATTTCACCCGTGTGTTCTATTTTTAGCAATATTTGTTGGCAGGCGGGATCATTGGACACAATTTTTAAACTAAATACCCTAATGATGGTTGTGACCAAGTTTGGTTAAATTTGGCCCATTTGTTTCAGAGGACAAGATTTTTGTAAAAGGTAATGATGAGGATGACAGACCTGTGGGCCAGGTGAGCTAAAATGAATAGCTACAAATCTACAGGTCAATGTACAGTCTACAACAAAAGGATGATCTCCTGGGTATGTAGAACACAGAAATTGCAGTTATTGATATCTAAAGCTTACATGTTTAAGAAAGAGCCTGACAAGATCTTCATCCTGCTTTATAACAGCATGACAAAGTGGTGTAGTTTCTCCATCAGTGTAATTTACATCTGCTCCTAATTCCAACAAACATTCAGCTCCCTACAAAATAATAAGTCTTCTTATTATTTTACTTCAGATTAATCACACCCCTTCCCTCAAAAATCACAAGCAAACAATATTTCTGAAAATAACCAAGACCAATTTGTTGCTGTCCCATATTAATTACAGTACAAACATATAGTTTTCATGGAAAATCTTGTGGAAAACTATCGACAAGGCTCATTTTCAAATAAGGCTATTTATTAATTTTGTACAAATCATTGAGAAAAAAAAACCAGTTTAGTATTTACATGAATTTGTCATATCGTGTAAAATTACAGGGGTATACCTAACCTACCAAATGTTATCAGGACCAATATAAATTTGAGTTGAGATATCTCATAATGAAGTCACTGATGTCTAAAAACTAGATGTGTCAGAACGACACGAATGGCCCCGTCTCAAAAAGTTGAAAAATCTGCAATTTCAACAACACAGGTGGACACAAATATGCATGGATAGTATCCAGCTCTCAAGACTAATACTAGTTTGATGAAAAATTTCCTTGATCAATGATAGTTAAATTTCAAACTATCAGCAAACAGAAAGTGGATGTACTGCAGATCTAACAAGATGTGTTGAAACGACATGAAAATCAGCATAGCAGACCGAAACATAAACTTGATCTGTAACTCATCATGGTAGACTTACAATTAAAAATCAGCCCAATATCTGAAGGTGTTTAGAAAAAAAGTCCAGATAACTGTGATTTTCAACAATTTATCAAAGTCCAAAGTCCGTAATTTCGGCAAAAATTAGCAGAGCAGAACGAACCTTAAACTTGATCTGTAACTCATCATGGTTAACTCACATACCAAAATATCAACCCAATATCTGAAGGCATTTAGAACAAAGTCCGTATAACTGTGATTTTCAACAATTTATCAAAGTCCAAAGCCTGTAATTTCGGAAAAAATTAGCAGAGCGGAACGAATCTTAAACTTGATCTGTAACTCACATACCAAAAATCAGCCCAATATCTGAAGGCGTTTAGAAAAAAATTGTGTATAATGGTTTATTGCGGAATGACGGAATGACGGACAAGGGTAAAACTATATGGCCCAGACAACTTTGTTGCGGGGCCATAAAAAGTTAAAACCTAATGTTGACCCAGGCATTGATAGAATGTAGGATCATCTCACCTTCATGACTTTCGTCACACTGGAGACAAAAATTGGCATACAATACTGTTTGGTACTGCAGATTCATTGAAATCCAATCACAAGTTTAGGAAGAGTTGCAGTGCCAAAAGTGCAGGTAATGACCCAACAAATAACAAAGAGACACAATGATAACTGTATGCTGGTTCTTAAAACTTACAACCAATACTCCTTTAGTACAACTACACAACATCTTTGATTTTAAATCCTGTGTCAGTCCCATCACATATAAACATTCACAGATCAAATCCTTTATCTCTGAAAAAGAAACTTTTTTATTGAAATTGGTTATCAGGTATCAAAGCATTTACCTTCAGCAAAATAGATCCAAAATTTCAAAAAGTAATATGACAATGCTGTCATCTGACGTCTTTAACTGTTGATGCTTGAAAGCTTTACGACTTCATAGAACAGAACATTAATTGAAATTCTTCAAGTTCAATTTCACTTATCCGCACTTACACCACTGTCCCAGGTTAGGAGAGGGTTGAGCACTCACAAACAAGTTTATCCATGCCACATTCTTTACATGCCTCCCCCCAAGTCAGGGATCCCTGTGGTTCTTGTTTGTTGCTGCCTGTCATATTTGTTTTTCATTTATTTATTTGTCATAAATCAAGCTGTTGGGTTTTCTCGTTTAAATTGTTTAAAATTTTGTAATGTCACAGGTTTTACTCATTGTTAAAGGCTGTATGATAATTGCTTACATCATGGTCATTCAGACACTGGTGGAGAGTTGTAACATTGGCAATCATGCAACATCTCTTTTTATATTCATAATTTATAAAATGATCAGCATTTGTCTAACTGACATTTTCCTGAATTCTTGTTTTCCAAAAGTCATTCAATGTCAACAAAAAAGTTGAATCACCCACCTGCATCTTCATCTGATTCCAGTAAATTAAACAGTATCTGATGACACCCTCTTTCTACCAAACTGTCACATATTTGTTTTCCGGTTTCAGCTAGAATTTGTAGAGCTACACAAGCCTGCAATGCAATTGTAGTATATTACATATAGAAATACATATCTACCATGATTAACATCTCTGTCAAATTTGTAATAAATAATTTTAAAATTGTCAAAGATGAAAATGATTTTTGTTTGTTTTGACATTCATTGTAAAATGTATTAATAATAATGCTGACTAATTCCAAATCCTTTTTATATAATGCTAACAGAGGCAAAGTTGAACAGAAGAATATTTTAAACCAGGAATTTTTTTTTTTTTAATTTTTGAATCTAAATATGAATTCACCATATCCCAGTATCCTATGTATATTTTTATAAATGATTTAGAATCTTTACAGTGGTATGTGCACTTTAAATTGGCAATCAATTAATATGTCTGTTGGAGGTTACATGATATGGATATTAATCTGAAATCTTTTGGTCTAAACAAAGTGAACAGTTTTCGTCATTAATGTACATCCAGACATCTTTTACATCCAATATGGTTTTCAATTTTGCCAAATTTCTCAAAAAAGAAGTAAAAACTTGGCAACGATCTTAGATTAAGCGTAATAAAACCCACTGAATTCACATTGGCTTGTAAAAACATCAATGATATTAGTATACATTCATGTTTTGTCTTCGTCCTATGAATCAGGTTTCCTTGAAATTTTCACAGTAGTTCAATTTTCGTGTATGAACTCTACTCACAAAAATAGCATAAGTAAACTGCCATGAAAATTTCCCTGTTTCAGTAAATAAAACTAGAGGCTCTTTAGAGCCTGTGTCGCTCACCTTGGTCTATGTGCATATTAAACAAAGGACACAGATGGAATCATGACAAAATTGTGTTTTGGTGATGGTGATGTGTTTGTAGATCTTACTTTACTGAACATTCTTGCTGCTTACAATTATCTCTATCTATAATGAACTTGGCCCAGTAGTTACAGTGGAAAATATTTTGTAAAAATTTACAAAAATTTACAAAATTTATGAAGATTGTAAAAAATTGACTATAAAGGGCAATAACTCCTTAAGGGGTCAATTGACAATTTTGGTCATGTTGACTTATTTGTAGATCTTACTTTGTACATTATTGCTGTTTACAGTTTATCTCTATCTATAATAATATTCAAGATAATAACCAAAAGCTGCAAAATTTTCTTAAAATTACCAATTCAGGGACAGCAACCCAACAATGGGTTGTCTGATTCATCTGAAAATTTCAGGGCAGATAGATCTTGACCTGATAAACAATTTTACACCATGTCAGATTTGCTCTAAATGCTTTGGTTTCAGAGATATAAGCCAAAATCTACATTTTACCCCTATGTTCTATTTTTAGCCATGGCGACCATCTTGGTTGGTTGGCCGGGTCATCCGACACATTTTTTAAACTAGATACCCCAATGATGATTGTGGCCAAGTTTGGTTAAATTTTGCCAAGTAGTTTCAGAGGAGAAGATTTTTGTAAAAGTTAACGGATGACGGACGACGATGGACAACGGACGCCAAGTGATGAGAAAAGCTCACTTGGCCCTTTGGGCCAGGTGAGCTAAAAACTTGAACATTAAATATGACTTCATGTTCTAAAATTTTCAAATCAATTTTTTACTTAGATATTAAAGGGGCACTAGCTACGAAATATGAAAAAATTAGAATAAGATTTTGTTTGGTTCAATCACTAATAAAAGTGAAATAATGAAATAATAATTAGTTTTTAGCAGCCAATTTGGTTCAATTTTGTCAAAATAAACAAAGAAATATCGCTGATGAATTATTCACTTGCAAGTGAATAATTCAACCCCATTATATCCGTATTCATATGACCTTCAATTTAACCCATTAGATAGAGATTGGTTACGCATGTATAAGTCGTGTTCAGCCATTAAAAGGAAAAGAATGTCAACATTGAAAGTGAAACAAAGGTGAATCATTTTGTGACTGATTCGATCCACAAAAAAATCATTCTTATACAGGTAAAAACGTTAATCAACTTACTTTTTAACCTATAACATGAAATCAAACAGACCTATAAAAATCCAAATGCACGAGGTCGCTAGGCTATTTATAATTATGTTTATGTTTATATCATGTTATGTGACCATTGGCAGTATTCGGAGGTCATCTCAATAGTTAATAAGATGGCGTCTAGACTAAAATACACACGAAATTCTTATACATATTATCGTGTACATGCATTGTTAACTGTTTATTTCAGACTTATTGTAACTTGGATATATGTTTTAGTATGTTATAAATCAAATATGAGAATTTGAGTCAAATCGGTGAACATGGATTTGACAGCTAGTGCCCCTTTAATTACACATTTGAATGCAAAGTCTATTCCATTTAACACATATATGAAAAAATAAATCCCTGAAACATTAAAAAGGTCTAATAAATTTTTTTAACAAGAGTGCACATGCTGAAATGTCTCGCCTGCTTTACTGACCTTTGATCTTAAGTTGAAAGTCTTAAAGATAATGGTTTTACTAAAAGCATCACAGAAACTCGATCAGGTCAGATAATCCTGTCAGACAGACATATACGCCTTACAATTTTTTTTGTACACAAAATATAGTTGACCTATTGCTTATGATAATTGAAAAACAGATCAAAACAAAATCAAAGTGCTGGATAGTACCTGTGGAAAGTTTGCAACGGTAAATGTGTATTATTTCAAATATGTTGTAGATGTGTATTATTTCAAATAGGTTGCAGATGTGTATTATTTCAAATATGTATTTAATCACAGCTTTGGTGTATTTCCCTAAACCATTGTCTCATCAGCAATTATCAAAAATCAATTTTTTCATATGTTTGTCATGTAAAATTTTGATAATTTCTATTGCAACCTTAAACTGGCCCGAGAACACAGTTATTTCGTAGTGCATTTCTTTTAGACAATAAATTCAAATTAAAAAAATCGCACCTGCTCTATCTCAAAAAGATTTTTACAGTGTAGTGTACTACTATTGATACAAATAATATCAAAATTATAGAAACTTCTACCAGCTCTAACTCAAAATATTGACAATTTTGTGTTAAGGGGGGCTAAAATTCAGTTTGACAGCTTCAGACATTCTAATTTTTGACCTTTTTTAACTGGACCAAATCACTTTTTAACATAAAGATTCAGCACCCAAATTTTTTTAACATGTAATTTCATCCCCTTACTTAATATTTCATGCATAAAATATCAAGAAATAAATTGGGAAAGTGTATCAAAAAAAAATGCAAGTTATACACTGTTCACACTAGGGACTATATTCGTAGACAACGAAAACCAAAAGACGATAACTGTGTCCTTGGACCTAATAGGATAGAAAGACTTGACCAATTTTAATAAAACTTTGCATGACCTAAGCTTAGGAAATTATAAGATAGTTGTCTAAGTTTCATGGCCATAGGATATATATTATAGAAACTAGGGTCATTTTAATATTGAAATTTGGATGTTTATTTTTGATGTTTAAATCAAATATTTTCAACTGTCAAGATTTTGGCCTAAAAAATTTAAATATTGCAAAAATTTGCTTTTTAAATACTCTTGAATATAATGTAATAAGTATTTAAAGCAACGGGACACTCATTTGATTTATCAGATTTATCACAGTTATTCAAAAGTCAAATTTATATGAGCCTGTGCCTGAAAATAGAGATTTTCGAATTAAGGGAAGCCTTACATAAACATGCATTTTTTTCAACCAATTTGAAGTTTTTGAAGTTTTTTAACCATACATTATTCTTCCATATATATCAAATGTACTTTAAATGTAAAGAAAAGTTACAAAAAGCATACAACATGAGTATAAAATGGTCTTAGGCCATGTAAGACTGAGAATTATTTAGAGTCGATTTAGGCCGTAGCCCATATTTACATATAAAAATGCACACAGAGGCTATAAGAAATAAAAATTTGTTACTTTTTGCTCATTTCTATGCTAAGATGTTATGATACAAGAAGTCTAATTGCAAAAGGACTCTTGAATTCAACTTTTTTTAGCAGACAGTATGGTCTGATGACCAGTTTTTCACTTTTCAATGAAAAACTTGCATGTAGTTTTAGTCTCAATTGGCATATATTTGAACCACTTACTATCCTAAAGAAGAAAATCATGGTAGCATATGAAATGAATAGGGTGTACTGATCATTGTAAAGTGTTTTTTTCAACAGATTTAGTGAAATATTTGTGATGGACTACAGATTTTATGTACAAAGCTCTTCACAATTCACATACATCAAACAGGCCGTTTAACCAGGAACATAAATACAAATATTCTGCACATTTTTCTGTGATAATCTACTTTTCTCTAGATTCAGAGTTCACAAATGGTTAATTAAATTTAATTTAAGCATAGAAACACAAATATCAGAAACATAAAAAGCTGTCAGATAGAAAGTCAGCATGGCTCTTGGGCATAAAATGGAAACTGCTTTAAAATGCTTATTTTAGCCGTATAATGTCAAAATGGGACATTTTAACAGAATTTCTGTCAAACAAAGATGTAAATCCTTTACTTTTATTGAGTTTGACAAATTGAAACCAGCAAACCATTCAGGAAAGTTGCCAAAGTACAGAATGTACATTTACGGAATTCATCTCTTAGGCCCGAGAACACAGTTATTTCGTAGTGCATTTCTTTTAGACAATAAATTCAAATTAAAAAAATCGCACCTGCTCTATCTCAAAAAGATTTTTACAGTGTAGTGTACTACTATTGATACAAATAATATCAAAATTATAGAAACTTCTACCAGCTCTAACTCAAAATATTGACAATTTTGTGTTAAGGGGGGCTAAAATTCAGTTTGACAGCTTCAGACATTCTAATTTTTGACCTTTTTTAACTGGACCAAATCACTTTTTAACATAAAGATTCAGCACCCAAATTTTTTTAACATGTAATTTCATCCCCTTACTTAATATTTCATGCATAAAATATCAAGAAATAAATTGGGAAAGTGTATCAAAAAAAAATGCAAGTTATACACTGTTCACACTAGGGACTATATTCGTAGACAACGAAAACCAAAAGACGATAACTGTGTCCTTGGACCAACTGTAGATTTAAAAAAAACAAATATACAGAAAGCTCTGTTAATTTCTTTCTGTGCCCATCCCATTTAAAGGGCCTGTGATTAAGTATTTTTTATTGATTAAGGTCCTTCATATTTGTTTGTAGTAAATTGTATTATTACTAATCAAGCAGTTATTTTTCTTGTTTGAATTGTTATATATTGAACAAACTTGGACTACGATTAGTAGATTGTGTGGTTAACGTTTTTTTCTGACTTCTAAAATTTTTTACTAAATACAAGAATTAATTGTAACAGGATGCTGTTATGAAGTCTCCCAAACAAAGCTCCCATAATTAGTCATTCCCATGGTTGCCTGACATTGGGCAAAGTCCAGTACAAATTGGTTTGGTCTAGTAAAGTGATATGCATAAGTGACACCTAGGGATTAACCCTGTATGTCATTCAAATCTTCTTGAAATCATGAACAGGAATATATATGGTTTAGGGGGTGGAGATCTTGACCGTTTCCAAGTTCTTGAAAAAAAAGGGGGGGGGTTGATTCTCAGGAGACTCTTTATTTCATTTGATTTGTTTTATTGTCCAGTACAAGAATATATATGGTTTTGGGGTGGGGATCTCGACCGTTTAAAAGTTCTCAAACAGGATGGGGTGGGAGTGACTCCCAGGGACTCCCCCTATATTTCATTTGATTTGTTTTATTGTTCCGTACAAGAATATATATGGTTTTGGGGTGGGGATCTCGACCGTTTACAACGATAATTTTGGAAGGTAACATTAATGCAGTCAAAATATTTACCCTGCCAATTGTTCATTTAATCTGCAGTTCTACTCATATAGTGGAAAACATGGAATATGATGAGGAAAAATATATTGTACTATTCAGTGCTTCTTTACGCAACTTTAACAAACCATTGTGAACTTATTAATATTTTATTAGAGAACCATGCCGTAGCTATGAATACAGCAACAAGTTTTCAAAAAGAAGGGTGTTGGGGATGACCCCCGTTAACTTCTCCTATATTTCATTTGATTTGTTTTATTGTCCCATACAAGAATATGTATGGTTTAGGGGTGGGGATCTCAACCGTTTACAAGTTCTCAAACATGATGGGGTGGGGTGACCCCCAGGGACTCCCCCTATATTTTATTTGATTTGTTTTATTGTCCCATACAAGAATATATATGGTTTAGGGATGGGGATCTCAACCATTTACAAGTTCTCAAACAGGAGGGGGTGGGGGTGACCCCAGGGACTCCCCCTATATTTCATTTGATTTGTTTTATTGTCCCATACAATAATATATATGGTTTCAAGGTGGTGATCTCGACCGTTTACAAGTTCTCAAACAGGAGAAGCTTTGTTTGGGAGACTTCATAACAGCATCCAGAGGGACTCCCGCTATATTTCATTTGATTTGTTTTATTATCCCATACATGAATATATATGGTTTAGGTGTGGGGATCTCGACTGTTTACAAGATAAAAGCCCATTCTCAAATTGAAAAAGGTGACCCCAGGGATTCAACCTATATTTTATTTGATTTGTTTTATTGTCCTGTGATCATTACTGAAGACCGCGTGTGTCTATCACTTACTGTTGTCAAGTTATAGTCATTTGATAATTAAAAAAAATAAAATCCCATAGGGTTCTTTGTTAAACCCTCCCTTCTGTAGGCCCCTCAAAATACCCATAAATAGACCCCAAGAAGAAAAATGATAAGAACTGAGCAAAATCAATAAGTCTCCAAACTTTGTTTGGGAGACTTAATAACATAGTATATACGAATTTTGTTATAGTCCGAGTCTGTTATGGGCCGAGATGAGATACCAGGTTACTTTCGATACACTCAGGCTTTTACGTCTTTAATAAACATTTGTTATAATCGTAGTAAAAATAGCGTTGAAAAATGTTCATTCATGAAATATTTTAAACACGGTACTTATTTTCTCTTCAACCGGAGGACGGGAGGAATCCCCTAAAACCTGGATTATTGTAATTCCGTCGGGAGGTACACATAAATGTATCTCACACGTCTGAGGAATACCGTAAAAGCATAACGTAGAAACTGCTGTCTCGTGTAGATGTGTATTTATTTTAATTTCCATGCAGCGCAGCGCAGATCCGCGAAGTAGTGTTTGTGATAGCCATTTTCAAAATGAAGTTGAATTCATTTAAATTTTCGATGAACATTCAGTACATTTTAATTCAAGCTGTAAGCTAATCAAAATAGAAGTAACTCAAAATTTCAAAAGCATCTTCCTAGAATTAGTATTCAAACACTAGTACAACATTATCTAGGAGTAGAACACTTGCGATAGTCTGTCCAACTTCCGGTTTGAGGCCGATGCCTTAGGAAAGTATATTACAAAAAAATTTGACATTGGCCAATGAACCATGAAAATGAGGTCAAGGTCAGATGATACCTGCCAGACACAAATATACACCTTACAATCATTCAATACACCAAATATAGTTGACCTATTACTTATAGTTCTTCAAAAACAGACCAAAACACAAAAACTTAACATTTACCAATGAACCATGAAAATGAGGTCAAGGTCAGATGAAACCTGCCAGACTGACATGTATCCACTACAGTCATCCATACACCACATATAGTTGACCTACTGCTTATAGTATTTGTGAAACGGACCTAATCAAGTAACTTTAACCTTGATCATTGATCCATGAAATGAGATTGAGGTCAGGTGAACCCTGTCTGATGGACATGTAGACGTTGCTAAGAATCCATATGCCAAATATAGTTGTCCTATTACTCATAATAAATGAGAAATTCACATGACAAAAAAACTCATTTTTTTTTCAACCAGGTGCTGAACCATGAAAATGAGGTCAAGGACATTGGACATATGACAGACAAAAACTTCGTAACACAAGGTTTCTGCATACAAGATATGAAGCATCTAGGTCTTCTACCTACTGAATTATAAAGCTTTATACAAATAGTTTACGCCGCCGCCAGATATTAATAACTATGTCTTGCATACCTTGACTTTCGTCCCAGGAGACGCAAAAACACAAATAGTTACAAAGAGTCCATGGTGCATGATTAAGATACATCCCCAGATGGATAGGTATACAGATAGACAACAGCATACCATGATATATCATTATCAGGAGTATCATCTATAAAAATGGGAAATTACCTCTTTTAAAACACCAATATTATCTGAATGTGTAACTAAAGATTTGTATAAAGTATCAGCTAGACCAGTACAAATTTCTATGTCTCTACACATTTTCTTGTCAGCTAACAGCTGTATGAGTATTAATCCTTTCTTCTGTAAATCTACAAATATATTGTTTTATAAAGAAAACTTTTTTCATAAAATCTTCATCATTGCAACATATGCATAAGACTGAAATATGTATAAGCCTACAAGTCTTTTCTCTTAATTCTTAATGTTGAATGATTACAAGAGAAGCAGCAAATTCCAATTTAAAGTATTTGGTTTGACCAAGCCAGGGATCAAACACACCTATTACACTCGAGGCTCAAGACTGCCATATTAAGAAATCTTTCATTGATATCAAATAAACTGAAAAGTGTATCAATGAACTCAACAGACTCTGATAATAATGCAAGAGTGATGCATAGAAGGGTTTACTGGGCTTCATTGTAGACAATATTGTTAGATGTAGTTTTATCATTATTAATATGTATTAAAGATTTAAAGAAATACAACTTGATATCTTTATTGACAAATAAGCATAATTAGTTTGTGACAAAAAACAAAACTAAAACAAACATAATATAGCAAAGAAATATCAATTCTATAAGAAATAAACACATGGAAAAAATTATAAGACTTCTGCTCTCAGTTCTAATGACTGTTTTATAAAGGAGCCAATATTTTTAACATGTTCCATGATAGGGGGCTTTAGCATTTCTTTGACTTTTTGTTCTTGGATAAGAGACATAAAATTATGAGAAGGTAAACAATTTTCAAATAGATTATCCCTTAGTATTTTGATAATTTTACATTCAAGGAAGAAGTGTTTTTCATCCTCCAGCAAGTGGCGCAGTTTACATATTCTATCCTTTCTAGGAATTTTATAATATCAACCTTTTCTCTATTTCTAAATTATGGTCACTAATTCTCAACTTGGTGAGGCATTTTCCTATAGAAAAGTCATTGGAAGCTAAATAAAATTCTCTATAAAAGCTACCCGGTAAGTTTAATTTTTTTATAAAGTAACAGTTTACAATTTTCATCATAACTATTTATTCTATTTTCAAAAATATTTATTTTTAATCAAGAGCTTTAAAGAGTATACTTCATTTAAGTCCCTATAATTATTAACTTTATCTAAAAGGTCTGAGTTGGGCAAAATATTATTGGCATTTGTATACCAAGAATAAGTACCATGTGAGTCCAGCAGTTTTGACAATATAAAAGCTGCTTTAAGTAAAGGATTTATATTTTCAAGATTCAGTCTTGCTAGGTAAGATAGAGACTGTGAAAAAAAATGTTCAAAGGGGATTCTTCCTAGTTCTGCACGGACTGCTATATTTGAAGCTGTTTTTCTGGTACCCAGTAAAAAGGAGTAGGCCCAGTAAGACCCCCTTTTGGCCCCAAAATATAGCAGTTTTACAAAATTGTTAAAATGTAAATTTTAAGCTATTTATTGGAAAGAAGAATACTTCTGTTACATAAATATGGGCTGTTTTTGACAATACAATGCACATGTATCAGGTACTAGCATCATTAAGTCATGCTAAATTACTGAAATCTTCGAAATTTTAGCATTTTGGTTAATTTTTAGACGGTTTCCGTCTGAAATGGAAGTGGCCGCATTTGTGTTCATTCTTAATATATAAATGTAAGTTGTATTTGATGATAATACATAACATATAAAAAGGATGAGAATGAACACGGATGCGGCCACTTTCATTTTTGACAAAAACCACCTGAAAAGTGGCATATTATGGCATATTTGATCGATTTTTCATATTTAAGCTTGAATTTGAGCGTCTTTAATGACTAAATCAGTTCAAATCTTTCACATAAACTAATCGAATCGACTGAAGTAGACACTTAGGTGTTTAAAAAGTGTCCAAAATCTTTCATCAGATGAACCTGAATTTTGAGGCCAAAATCGGCCCTTACCGGACCTACTCCTTTACAAAAAGTAATGTGAACCTTTTCAAATTGACTTTTATCAAGAAATAAGATTCAAGATAAAAAAAGTCATCTTTGAACACAACAATTACTTGATCTTAAAAACAAGTAAGAATTTTGTACTATCAGATAAGGTGCATATCATAAAATACAAGTTTTCTTTACCGATCCAAAAACAATAAATGCTTCCAAAGATTTGAAAGTTGAAAGAAAGGCATTTTCAAAATTTGTGCTTAATTGTCCTAAATTTCCTTTATGAGAGCTACAAACTTTTTCCTTTTAGTGCGAACAAATGAACAGTTTTAACTTTATAAAAAGACAAAAACCATTATTTATTTCCTAAAAAGACAAATTTACTCACAAACCATATCAAGGTATTTCTTCAATACTGTAATAACATGTTGTGTAGCTCCTGCCATGTTTAACATTTCTGCAGCATTTTCTGACAAAACACAATAAAACTTTGTTTGCAGTAAATTTGTAAACTTTAGTCAAAATACTATAGTAAGTGATCAAAAATAAGATTTTCTAAATATCTATTAAACACTACCATAATATTGGAAAGTTAAAATAATCCATAATATGTATGCATCAAACAACTTCCTCAACTACACAGCTAGGCTGAATATGAAAGTTAGCTTATATGACCTTTTTTCATAATATTTTAATTGTTTCACATATTTCATGGGAAGATTATTATTCTTTAATCCAGAAAAGTGCTTCAGAAGCATGAAATCTATAAAGCATTGTTTTTGAATTTATCTGTATGTGTGGTTTTATAAATATTTGTGGTGAAGTTAAAAAAAAAAATTCATTAGATACCAATTTTAGTGAACTTAATGGGTATGAAAACACAATAAATTTAAATCCTTGATAAAAAAAAAGTTAAATGTTAACACCAAGTTAGATTCTTTGATAGGAGCCAATGATGAAACCACAAAATTATGTAACCTGGAAAGAGCAAAACTTTCTCAAAAGAAAGAATATTGATACTTCTGACATTACATTAATCCACAGTATGTATAACTTAATCACTATGAAAAAAAAATATCTTTTTCAAAAAATAAATATTGCAAAACTGTCTGTTTCAAATGTTTGTCCAGCAAGCAAGACAAGTAATTCATATTTTATCACAAAATTGTCACAGTAGCACTGCAGACTTTTTAATATGGTTTACCCGAGAATCTAGGCTCCTACTAAAGGTGTTCATTTACAATATATACCTGCAGCACAAAGGACACTCAAGCATTCAATTCCAACCTCTTGTATTGTTTCATTATCTACAAATCTTTCTAAAGACTGAATAACTTTTATATGTATATCTTCTAGGAAACACTGGTATCTCACAGAATCTGAAACAATCATCATTAACTTTGAGAAAGAACTATGTTTTTCACAAGTGTACATATATTTTTGAAATATATAAATTGTTCTTTTAAAAAAAATAGAACAATTGAATAAATGCAGCGTCTTCTTTAAACATTGAGTATTTTCAGCATAAATAAGTCTTTTAACAATATTGATATTAAAAATATTTGATACTAAAATTTATCATATTAAATTATTATATTAATGACAAAACAATAAATATTTTTTGCACAAAATTGTGGTATCTGTATATTTAAAAGTCTATAAATTAAAGTAATGTTCATAACTTAAATATACAATCAACATAAAAACAGTGAGTACCTATATCAGCAATACATGCTAATGTACTTGTAGCTTCAAGCTGAATTCTCAATTCTAGTGGAAACTTGTCTAATATTTTGCTGATCATGTTGAAAATTCTTTCATCAGCCACCAGTCTTCTTTTGTTCTTGTCACTGCAGAGAAAACAAGTAAAACTGTGAGCTACTGCTCACTGATAATACCACCGCCGAAATATTTCGGTAAACAGGAAGTTGTTGAGTAATGAATCTGAAAACGCATCACACCGTATAGCTGAATTATATAAACCCTGAAACCAAATTTCAGAAATCCTTGTCATGTAGTTCCTGAGAAAAATGTGACAAAAATTTTCAACTTGGCTATCATGTGTAAAATAATACAAGTGTTCGGTAAACAGGAAGTTGTTGAGTGATGAATCTGAAAACGCATCACACAGTGTAACTTACTTATATAAACCCTGAAACCAAATTTCAGAAATCCTTGTCAAGTAGTTCCTGAGAAAAATGCGATGAAAAGAGTCATGGGACGGATGGACTGACGGATGTACTGACGGATGGACTGACAGAAGGACAGACAGAGGTAAAACAGTATACCCCCACTTTTTTAAAGTGGGGGTATAATTAGATACAAGCTTAAAATGTAAGCAACAAGATCTTTTAAACACAATGCATTTCAAAATGCAAGTGTGTTCAGTTTAATTTGCTAATTAATTCAAAGTCGCTGGACCATGAACTAGTGGGCAGGGCCTCAAAATAGAAGTCAAACTGATATGTACTGATAGTAATGTAACTTCATACAAAATATCATTGATATATAACAAGTAGTTTTTATCAAACTAACTTAAGCAGAAAACCTAACAATTGTTGACGCCGACAACAACATCATCCCTGGAAAAGCAATACCTGTGTGTCTTGACTTCTGTGACTTTGTCACATGCGAGACAAAAACACCTTTAATGTACATTAATGCTATTATTTTGCATATAATGTGATCTTACTTAAATATACAAAGACCTCTCAAGGCTTTAAGTCCAGCTTCTGTTGCTTTGGGATAATTTATATGAAGCTTCAACCCATCCATTACAACTGTGTGAACATTCTTGTCCATTAAATTACTGCAAAGTCGCTCTGAAATGTAACAAAGTTTTGTTCACTGTCTCTTAACAACTAAACAATGTATTATTTAAGTTTTAAAAATACTTATACATCATTTCATATTGGTGTATGATTATATTCTAAATAATTTCAATATCTGAAACATTTTTAAAGTTGCTGGTTAACTAGTTCAAGTTAAAAAGTTTATCTTTATTTTCTTATAATAGAACAATCAAGTAAATGAACCCACCTAAAATTCATTCAATCAGGCCATAATCTTGCCGGCGAAATGACGATTTAAGTCGCCAAATAATTTTGAAAATCGCTAAATCTCGCCAGCCGACTGACTTCATAGCGAAGTCAAATCGCTATCAAAATCGGTAAAAGGCAGACAACTTGTGATTGACAAGTCTCACAGGTAAAAAAATGGCGGCTGACAAGGAAAATCGAGATTTTCGAAACGACCCAGGACTAATACTGTCAACGATCAAATTAAATAAATACAACGGCGACTTTGAACATCCTCGGATATAACTTTCAAAACTGTTCAAACGGAAAACTGACAGTATGTTTAAGTTATCATTTTACGATGATTTTCATCTGAGGATGTTGCGTAATCACTCAGCTGATTTGTTTTATTTTTATTACTTACACGAGTCGATCAATTTTACTATTCGGTAGGTTAAAGGTGGGAATTAACGGTAGATTTATTATATTCATTGAATAAAAATTGAAATATAAAAGGTAGAAAGACAGCTGATGGATAATGTGATTGCAAACGTACGACACTCGACCAGATTGTGATCAGCAGTGGATTTTTTCTCATGACCACTTCGTTGATATGGATGATATTTCAAAAAAATTATAGAAATTAGCTCTTTATCGGATAATTAATATGCGATTGAAAGATATTTTCATTCATAGACTTACAATCTTTAACGATAATCTCAATTTACAACTAACACAATGTCCTGGACATTCAATAATGATTTACAAAATAATGACAAGTGGTGATGTAAATTAAATTCCCAGTCATGTGAAATTCATCAGGTAAACTGGGAATCATATTTTTCTGGAGTTTTAAAAATAAATTGAGGCAGATGCACATGAATTTAATGCATCAAAATCATGATAATATTACTAGGCTACTCCCTCATGTCCCAATCAACAAATTTTATTTAGAACAGTTCAACACAATGGTATCAATAAATAAATAACAACTATAAATTGTCTAAACCTTTTTATTAAGAACTTTCTATATATACATGGTGTACAATAACATATGAAAAAACTGCAAGTATATCTTTTATTGAAGTTAAAACAATTTCCTTAGTGATAATCATGAAAACACGATGCAACCGAAACGGTAATGGAATCTCACTTCTCCAAGAAATTTACCACTTCTCCCTTCTCTCTCATGGAAGGAGAAGTCACTTCTCCCTCTTCAAAATCCTAGATTAGGCCCTGTTCAATAATGAACATAGGACACATGCATCCATTATATTATGATAAATCTGACTCACCGTTATCTGCTGCTAGCCAGTAGATGGTATTACATGCTGCTACAAAAACTTTTGGATCTTTCCTATGCATAAGTAGTGCTCCCATACACATGGTATGGATTGGTTCTCTGCAAATACATTTATATGGTAAAATCTTAAATGTCCACATACAATTTTAAACATGGTATATACATAGATACTGCATAAACGAGTATCAATAACCACTTTCACAGAAATTTTACAATTTGGTACATTGAATACTTTTCAAATGAAAAAATGTTTATTGCGAACCCAATGATACTTTTCCACAGATTCACCTGCAAGTTACCTGTGGATTTAAACTTTTGTAAGTTCTTTTGTCCCATCTAATAAATACAATAGCTATTGTTCTCTGTGTAGTTTATTTGATGGGACCTTTAAATTTCTTCCAAGAGAAATCTATCACTCACTGATTAATTTACCTGAACAAAAAATTGAATTTTCAATAATGAAAATACATGTACAAATACTAAATAAGGACTAAAAAAACTGCATGTGGTGTTGTATTTATTCAATATCAATAATTCATTTTTAATAGTTTCAATATAAACACTAATTCAAAAATTAAACGTTGATTTCTGAACAATTTTTTTATATTTTCCCTATTATAATTTGCTTTTTTTTTGTGTGTTTGACAAATAAAAACTTGAAAATTATTGTGATTAAATTAAGGTCTTGATAAATGTATTCTATAACTGAACAAAAACAAAAACATGCAAATTCATCGGAACAATAATAAAAATTTTGTCAGAAATAAACTTTTTATAATTAAATCAGTGTTTATATTGAACAGATTGAAAATATATTATTGATATTGATTAAATACAATATTGCATGCAGTTTATGCGAGTTTATACAACTATTTCCCCCAAAAAAGAAGATAATTTTTTGGTCAGGTAAATTAATCAATGAGTGATAGATTTCTCCTAGAAGAAATTTAAAGGTCCCAGTGAAAAAACTACACAGAGAACATTAGCTATTGTATTTATTCAATAGGACAAGAGAATAGACAAAAGTTTAAATACCCTGGTCAAGAGCAGACGACTCTGTGGAAAACTTTCATTTGGTTCGCAATAAAAAAAAATTTTAAATTATGCCAGTCACTCATGAACAAAAGGAAGGTCAAGGTGACATTTTTTTTGCATCAATTACTTTGATATATAAGATGCATTCACTGTCAGATCAAATACCTTATGCCAATATCTTCCAGCTTTCTTTTATCTAGAGGTTAAAGTTACTGGTAGTATGCTAAACAGCTAGCTCAATTAAAATTGACAATTGCAACTGAAGAATTACAACCTTGTTCATGTTCCTACCTAGAGTCAGGAACCTCATCAGGGGTTGTCATTTATCAAATTCTAATGTTTTTGTCATTTGGAGACTTTGGATTATGTTTATAACTCATGCAAAGCTTTTTTTTAGACTAAAGCTGATTCAGAACTTAACATATTGAATAGACTCAGTCCATTGGAGGACTATATTTTGACCTCTAGATGTGTTTTAATTTTAAGTGTAGTTAGGTTATTGATTTATACACCTCATCTTCTTTTATTCATAAAGGCAAATTTTCAGATGTTTTCTGAAATACTGAAATCTGATTGGCTGGATGGATGATTTGGCAACTATTACATTAATATCAGGACAAGAACATGTTGATATGACATGAATATGATACCTGCTTTGAACTTGACCAACATGCTGAGTCGGAAGTTTGTTAGTTTGTGAGGTAAATGTTAGAATATATGTCAATCTACCCATTCACATTATGTTGACTCTAGAGTCGACCAGTCTTTGCTCTAACTCCTAACTGCCTTTTCAGAGAAGCAGTAAATTCTATGGTTTGACCCAGCCAGGGATTTAACTCATGAACTCCTGCACTGAAGGTAAGACACGCTATAACCAGAACATTAAGATGGTGTAATCTGATTGGTAATCATATAATCTATATATAAATTTTAATTGAATTGAATGAACAAGCCTCTTAACATTGAACGTTGCATGCAAATTAACCAAATCCTTGTTTAATATGCCATTGTAGAAATGCAATGAACAGGGCCATTGGTTGTATTCTTACAAACTTTACTACACATATTGAAAATGCTAACTACTTACTGTGATATTTTTTCCTGAGAGTTTTCACCAATCCAAATAACACTATTATGTCTATTTTCTATCATAGTAGCCACAGCACGACACCCATAAGCCTGGAATAAAATTAAAATTTTAAAATCATTGCTTGAGTATTCATTCCTCATTCAAATTTTACATTCTCTTTCTTTACAAAATATGACTTATAATGATGACCAAGCTCACATATCTCCCCTCCCCTCCCCTCACCTTTCCATTCTTAATAACCATATTTTCATAATTCACCAATATTCTCACCTGTACAGACGGGTCTTCTAAATGCCTTGACATTGCTTCATAAACAGTCTTACACCATCTTGAAACAAACTCATCAATACTCAAAATCCCTGACATTTTATCTGGAGCTAAGAAAAAATCAAATATCATGTACATTTATAAACAATGGCAGTAAAGAAGTCATCTGTAAATTTACTGATTGTGTCCTCATTTTTAATCTTGAATTTTATACCTTTTTAATGGACTTATGAGATTTGAACATTGAAAATCTACAGTTGCATCATTTATAACATAAATTGCAGTATGGGTATCCCAATATTATTTCGATGGAGATGTCAATATCCAAATACAGTCAAACCTCGTTGTGTCGAAGTCAAAGGTACCAGACCAAAGTATTCGACTCATCCGAGGTTCGACTCATCCGAGGTTGAGTGTGTCGTCAAAAATTTGTAATGCAAGAAATACGGTATGAGATTTGCGTAAACTAGATACTTTGAACAGTGTGCCTTTTTTCGATATGACACACTTTATAATTGTGTATGCAATCGCCATTGTTGGTCCTTCATAATAATCAAGCACACAAGAACAGATACAAATCATGCACAAATAAAATCAATAGTCTACACAAATATTTATAAAGGTCAGTCACTATAAATTATGAAATCATTCTTGGAACGAAATAAGTTCTGAACGGTCTCTGATGAGGGTGTCTGCTGTACATTAAATTATCATGAATTTATCATAATTGTCTTAATCCTTTATTTATTGTAATTAACGAGTTTTAATTCTAACGATTGATTTAATCTCAGCTAGTGTCATTTAAATTCGTTTAGTTTTTATCTCATGTGAAATATATTCAACACACTAAAGTTCCGCTTGAACAATCAACAAAGGTGTTAATTACCGGCAACCATAAACATGTCAATTTAACTGTTATACAAACAAGTATGTTTACTCAGCTGTAATCTCATTTGAAAATGATTAGGTTACATAAGAAATACATCCGATTTGAGTTTTTATCATTAGGTCTGCATCTTTCGAAAATTCTTACTTTCGAACTTTGAGACATCGGGGTCAATTTACATTAATTTTATATGGACGGGACTATAAAATTTACTCGACATAACCGAGTATTCGAATCAACCAAGTTCGACTCATCAGAGGTAATTATGCATTGATCAAACGGGAATTTGACCAGGACCGAGAAATTACTTCGACTCATCCGAGTTTTCGACACAACCGAGTTCAACACAACAAGGTTCAACTGTAGCTCATTTAAAGAAAACATGTGTTGTGACGAACAATTTAGTTAATTTTTGTGTGTGCACATTTAAAAATTTAGTTTTCAAAAACAGCAATAATAAAAGTAACAAGCATTCTGAGAGTATTGCATGGCAATACATAGTCCCCTACCGGGTAAAAATTCATTATACTGGAACAAAATGCTAACTTGTTCTATAACTTGTCATGGTGTAAACAAAAAGAAAATATCAAGTCAATATCTTCAAGCATGACTAAAAACAGTGTGGAAAACTGATTATATGAGTGAATTTTTCAAGTCCAAGGACCATAACTCTGCACAAAATTATTAGACCGAAACAAAAATTTGAACTTGATCTGTAACTTGTCATGATAAAACTATATACCAATTATCAATCAATATCTTATCAGCATGATGAACAAAACATTAGATATGATTAATAGTTCTCTAAAATTAGATATGATGTTATACAGTGTATATCTATTTTAAAATTATAATCAGATATAATTAATAGTTCCAAATATTTTTTTCTTTCATTTATCACAAACTAATATAGATTTGTAACTTATCTATAAAATGTCAACAACTTTTATCTACACAATGTTATACATTAATAAAAATAGATTATTATCTAATTAAAGGATTCTCTTCATAATTTTTTTTTATATATATAGCATTCAGAAAATTAGTTTATAATAAATAACAAACAAACCTGTCAAAAAATTCTTCAAATAATTTAACAAAGAATGTCTTTTAAAAAATGAGTTATCTCCCTTTGTACAGAAATATGGTTTAGCATAGTACTCTAACATTAGATATGGTCTAGAGTTATGGTCCATAACTCTAGACTAAATCATCAGACTGGAACAAAATTCGAACTTGATCTATAACTTGTCACAATAAAACTATACACCAAATATCAAATCAATATCTTCAAGAACGAAGAAAAAAAGTGTGGAAAGCTGATTTGCTGGACTGACGGATGGACAGATGGACAGACGGACAGATGGACAGACGGACAGATGAACAGACGCACAGACGGACAGAGTGCAAACCTAAAGTCCCCTCCCACTTTGTCGGTAGGGGACTAAAAAATGATGAAGTTTATATTATTCAACATACAAAACAAAATAGATATTTCAATTCAGGGCCGAATTTTTTATATGAAAATGTGTTTTTTTTCCTTCTCTGTCTTTCTGTGTTTAGATACTCATTCTACTTCATATCTGTTTTCTACGGTTGTAGACACCCAAAATACCCAAACTTTGTTATCAAATGATGGCAATATTGTGCCACATCCCTATTCTAAAGTCAGCGAAAGTTCCATGAATGAAAGAAAGTCTGCAATATAAAATTTACAGTAAAGATACCTGAAAGTATAAACAGCTTTAATCCTGCAATCTGTAAACCTGCATTATCTGACCACTTTCCCATTGTTGGTATCAAGCTGTTCTTTAAATAACCAGACTCAAACAAAAATTTCTTCACAGCATCTAAAATAATGTTATAATTTTGAAAAGAGTTCTAAAAGATAAACAAATTCTTGAATTTAATCACAGATACATCATTATACAAAAGAGAGATGGACTTATTTAACAGAAATACAAAGATGAAATGCATGTATAGTGTACATTTTTTGTCTTTTCAGGATTAATATATATAAAAAAAGAGGAGATGTATTATGATTGCCACGAGAAAACTATCCACTAGAGTTCAAATGACGTGTATGCAAGCAACAATAGATCACTGTACAGCCTTTACCTTATAGAAAGCGAAAAAATTGCAGGGCAACCCAAATATATTACAGTAGTTGTCTATAATATACCAAAAATATCTAGAGGTTAACATACATGTATTGTCTTCAATAGTGAGAAACTGTCTACAACAAAAATAAAAATGTAAAATTCTGTACTAGATCAGACAGGCTGTGAATATACATGAAAGAGACTACCAAAGATCTGCCATCAATACCAAAATTCTTCCAAAGCCAAAAAAATCATATAGTTATAGTTAAAGCAATGATTACTACTGATGAGGTAAAGACTAAGGATAGCCATATGACAGTGTTTAATATCCTTTTTACCCTTTTTATCTCAATCAGTGGAATAACGATAACATCAGCGAAGATCATACAAAAGATATCAATGAAGAAAAAATATACAAGAGACACAACAAAAGCGAAGCGACAAGTGTGAAATACTCACTAATAAACAATAGCAAATAAGGTGTGACCTCCAAGTCTTTAATCTGCTGAGCACCGCTTAATTGGTAAAAACTGACTGGCAATCATACCACATCTCCATATTTATATATAGTACTCATAATAAACATTTTTATCATAACCAAAAACTAATGAAAGCTTTCTGAAAGACAAAGAGGAAAATTTGCTTTTGAAGGGGTCCTTATCTTAATCTCCCAGTATCCAATAATATTACGAAAATGTTTAAACACTGAAAAATTTGTTTTTATATCAAACGTAGTCCTCATGTAGGTAACTTTACTTCATGCATATATTGAGAGTGGATAAATATTTTTTAAAGTCCTTTAAAAACATAGAATCACAAAAATGAAAAAGGCTGGTCTCTTACCTTCTTTAGTAAGTAGGACAAGATATATTAAACATTCTTTTACAACCTCTTCATCATTACTCTGCTGAAGTTGTCTCATTATCAAATAATGTATATCATAATCAACCAAACATTCTCTGAAGTTCCCTGTCAAATAGACAGTCAAAGTTAGTATTTTAGTTATTAGTTTCTTGATATCTTGCATGGGATGTCCCATTAATAAGGCTCATAAAAATATAACTAATTCTCAGACACTGAACTTAAAAGGTGCATTAGGTAAGATTTAGATTTTGTTTTAAATATTTATAGAAGTGGCATATTCAAATAATATTACGCTATTAGCAGTTAATTTGGTTCAATTTTGTCAAAATAAGCTCAAACTCATCACTGATGTATATTCTTTATTTGAATCCGTATTCATGCACCTTTAATTTCGTCCTTAGCTGAGATGGGTTACACATGTGCCAAGTATGTTCAGCTATTAAAAAGAAAGGAAATCAACATTGAAAAGTGAAACAAGGAAGCCAATAGGAAAAAACATTTTGTTAACAGATTCTGCTCACAAAAAATCTTTCTTATACAGGTAAAACAATGATTTACATATATATTTTTTAAATCTGTGACATGAAATCAAACAGACCTAAAAAAATCCTCAAAAATTGCAAAAGCATTTCTGACTATTTATATTTATATTTAAGTTTACATCAGACCATATGACCATCAGCAGTCTTCAGAGGTCATCTAGATGATTAAATAGATAGTATCAAATCTAAAATATGCCTAAACTACTGATACACTAAAATGTGGGGTTAATTGTTTCTTTTGAACTTTTTGTAATTTTGATATACGTTTTAGTATGTTAATTTGGCATTTATTTGTTAAAGTCCAAATCAAATTGAACATGTGTGTATTAAGTTTCAAGCTGATGTGACCCAAACTTCATCCTAAAAAATTAAAACTTTAAACAGATACAGAGTGGACTATTGAACAGACTAATGGAAGGACTATTAGAAAGACAAAAGGCAAACAAAAAGACAAACTAACAAAGGCCCAGACAGGAAAACATAAAGCTCCCCTACAACCATAGGCAGGGCATATATAAAAGGCATATCTTTGTTTCTGCTGTTCTAGAAATTAGCTACTTTCATGTCACAATCTAATTGGCAATAACTTTGAATTTCAAACTACTTTGAAACAATTACAATAAAATGCTCCGCAGGGCGCAGCTTGATACGACCGCAGAGGTTGAACCCTGAACAGTTGGGGCAAGTATGGACACAACATTCAAGCTTGATACAGCTCTGAATTTGGATTGTGATTAAATATTTGACACAGCATAGGTTTCTGACACAGAATGAATGTGGTCTAAGAACTTAAAAATTTTAAATTGGACATTCACCTATTATGGTCCAATATCCAAAATCTAAATACATGGTTAGATTCAGCATATCAAAGAACCCCAAGAATTCAATTTTTGATGAAATCAAACAAAGTTTAATTTTGGACCCTTTTGACCTCAATGTGGACAAAGTTGATAACGGGGCCCAAAAATCTAAACATGGTTAGATTCAGCATATCAAAGAACCCCATATAGTCAATTTTTGTTGAAATCAAACAAAGTTTAATTTTGGACCCCGATTTGGACCAACTTGAAAACTGGGCCCATAATCAAAAATCTATATACATGTTTAGATTCAGCATATCAAAGAACACTAAAAATTCAATTTTTGTTAAAATCAAACTAAGTTTAATTTTGGACCCTTTGGACCTTAATGTAGACCAATTTGAAAACGGAACCAAAAATTAAGAATCTAAATACACGGTTAGATTCGGCATATCAAAGAACCCCAATAATTCAATTTTTGATGAAATCAAACAAAGTTAAATTTTGGACCCTTTGGACCTCAATGTGGACCAATTTAAAAACGGGGCCCAATATCCAAAAACTTAATACATGGTTATATTCAGCATATTAAAGAACCCCAAGAATTCAAGAATAAAACCCTATTGAAATTGATCAAGAAATAAGCAATTTATAAGAAGTATCTTCTTTTGCACAATACTGTGCAATTGAATATTTCTTGCTATTGCGCAATACTGTACAATTGACAATTTCTTGCTATTGCGCAATATTGTGCTATTGGATATTTCTTGCTATTGCGCAATACTGTGCAATTGAAGATTTCTTGCTATTGCGCAATACTGTGCAATTGAAGATTTCTTGCTATTGTGCAATACTGTGCAATTGAAAATTTCTTGCTATTGCACAATACTTATTACTGTAAATTCAGAAATTATTGCGATGTTTTTATTATTGCGAAAAATGCGACAGGGTTATAATCGCAATAATTTAAACTCGCATTTTTACATTTTTTATATGAATTTAACAGGATTTTTCTCAATATCGCAAAAATCAAAATCGCATTTTAGTCTAAAATGACGAAATCGCAATAATAAATGCACGCAATAATTTCTGAATTTACAGTATATAAAAATTTACACATCCTGTTTGGTGTGTATCTCCTACCATATCATTATTATTTGCTTTTAAATATAAATCAGAAATAACCAACTTAAATTGAAAATTTTAAAAGAAAAAAAAAAGGAAAAAAAGAAAAAAAAAGAAAAAAAAAAAAATCCCCCCCCCCCAAATTTTTTGAACCCTCTTATGATTCATCACCCCCAAACTCAATCCCAGCCTTCCCTTTGTGGTATGGTACCTTGTCGTACAATTTCAGAGAGATCCATACACTTGAACACAAGTTATTGTCTTGAAACTAGAAAAATGCTATAATTCCTAAACGTTTCAGGCAATTACCCCTGAACTCAATTCCAGCTTTCCCTTTGTGATATGAAACCTTGTAGTACAATTTCAGAAATATCCAAACACTTACACTCAAGTTATTGTCATGAAACTAGAAAAATGCTTGTTTTTTGCCCCTTTTTTGGCCCCTAATTCCTAAAATTTTGAGGCAATTACCCCCAAAATCAATTACAGCCTTCCCTTTGTGATATGGAACCTTGTGGTACAATGTCAGAGAGATCCATACACTTACACACAAGTTATTGTCTGAAAGTTACAAAAATGCTTATTTTTGGCCCCTTTTTGGCCCCTTATTCCTTAACTGTTGGTACCATAACCCCCAAAATCAATCCCAACCTTCCTTTCGTGGTATTGAACCTTATGGTAAAATTTCATGGAGATCCATTCACTTAAACTAAAGTTAGAGTGCGAAAACCAATGTGTCTTCGGACGACGCCGGACGACGCCAGAAGACGACAACGACGACGACGACGACGACGACGACGACGCCAACGTCATACCAATATACGACCAAAAATTTTTTAATTTTTGCGGTCGTATAAAAAGGTCATAATTGATTATCATACAGTCAAGTTATTCAATGATCAATCTGAATTCTAGTCCAAAACCTAAACATCATATAGACAATGTGGGTTTCAACTGGATCAGTGGTTCAAAAATCATTCTTGTACAAATGATGGATGAATACTTATTCCAGCTTATAGCATCAGCTTAAATGTACATTGTCCCTATGGAAAAAGCTAGCTTATAAGTATAGTTACGATCATTCTCCTCATGTCTTCTCTTCAAAGTTAAACATCCAAATATCTGTAAAATTTTCAGCAATATATCAGAACAATCCACTTGTGAGGCTGAAAAATTGTCGAACATAGTCTGCAAGTTTTCTTTTTTTATACAAATTTCTTTGACATCATCATCTAAAAATAAAAGTAAATTCATTGTTCATTAATTATTTGGCATTTTAAACTTCAAGACAATATTACATGCATAGGCAGGTAAGCAAGATTAGACCAAATAATGGAACATTAAACAGTCAATAAAAATGAATGAAGTTAAATTGTAACAATCTGAACGAAATGGCATTCAGGATTAATCTTGATATGATATATCACAGGTGGATGGCTATCAAACATCCAGAGGTTCTTCTTTTAATCACACACAGGACTAGTCGGAAATTGCTTTGAAGTCTGGCTCTCTTTTTATGACTTGTTGGGGCTGTCAAGATGTAAGAGCACAGTCCATATAAAAAAAGACTTGGGGTGGCAAGTACCTGTCTATAAATCGTAAGAGATCCATTTTCAAGGCGATAATTCATACATCATTCAATTCATTTTTCGTTTTACCCCAGAAATATGTAAATTTTATTCAAGTACTAACCCCCTTTAGCACAAACTAAAGCTTTATTTCCATCAACCCACTTTTTTCAGCATTATACTTTAACTCTGAAAAGGATATTGTGAATTTGCGTTATCTTCTCACAGTACTTGTATGCATGAGAGCTAATTAATAGCAACAGGTTGACATGCGCTACATCTGCACATGGTAGATTAGATGAAGAGCAAAATCTCATTAATATATGCAGGTCACCAGGATCATATACATAAATTAACTCCCATCTTTCAATGCATACAGAATGAAATAAAACAGTCAAGTGAATACTTGTTCAAAGCGAAGGGACAATGCAAAAGGGTTGAAATGAATAATGATTTCATTTGTGCTACAGAGGGTTAGTACTTGAATAAAAGTTACATATTCGTGGAGTAAAATGAATAAGGAATACAATGATGTATGATTTATCTACTTAAAAATTGATCTGCTGAGACAGAAACTTGCTGCGTCATTTCTAGGTTGGCAATTTCCCTTTTTTCTATAAGGACTGCACTGGGACACACTGATGTCCCACACCCCCAGAAAGTTCTAAAAGGGCTGTGAGACTAATTCAGGATGAAAACAATTATTGTGATATGAATATGAACACACTTTGTACTAGACCTTCATATTGAGCTGGTATCTAAATTTGTAAACAAAGAATTCTGAAATATCATAATGGCCATCTGCATTAGTTAGATCATTGAATCTTATAGCTGATCTAATCAAACTGTAGACTTTAAGAATTGGTATTTGCTGCTCGTAAGTCGAGCATGTCCAATTTGGAGTAGAAGCAGCTTGATCAGCTTGGAATCTCTTTCTGTGGACTGTTAAATACCACCTCTACTGTTGATTATGGAAAACAAGAAGACCAGAGTTGATTTTAATATTGATGCAATGAAAGTACAAAACTGTATAATGAATCAAATCAAATGAAAATTGTTACCTTCTTCCTCTAATAAAAGTTTTAATATACAATAGGCTGATCGTTTAATCTCATGGTTGTCATGGTGTTTGTGTAGGCTAGTAAATACTTCATTTGCAATATTTACATTATATTCATCCAGCATCACTTGGTCTAGAACTTCTTCTGCAATACAAATGTACACTACAAACAATTTCAGTCACAGACATTTACCTTTCTAAAAGAATTGACTAACTTAATAAAACAAGAGACTCTAAAGAGCATGTGTTGCTCACCTGGATCTATGTGCATTTCCAACATTGAACAGATTTTGAATTGACTAAAATATAATCATGACTAAGATCTCTTTTTGCTGATCTTGTGATTATCTTTTCTTGTTTCTGTTTCTCTCTATATATCTACTGTAGACTTTGCCAAAAATACAAAAAACTGGTAAAAAATTCTTATTCTGGGGCAATAACTTCTATAAGAAGTGAACTGAAAATTTTGGTGTTGTGGTTTGTAGATCTTGCCTTGCTGATCCTTTTAGTCGTTCACCGTTTTTCATTATCTTCTATATAAGTTTTTGTCCATCACATAAGAAGGGTAAAAATCATCCTTTAAGGGCAATAACTCCATAAGGAAACAAATGACAATTCCAGATTTGTTGACCTATTTATAGATCTGGTCTTGCTGATCATTTCTGCCTGTAACAGTTTTTCTTTAGCTAAACTGCTTCGCCGAGCGCAGCTGGATACGACCACAGAGGTCCAACCCTGAACAGTTGGGGCAAAAATGGACACAATATTCAAGCTTGTTATAGGTCTGAATTTGGATAGTAATTAAATATTTGACACATTATAGGTTTCTTACACAGAATAAATGTAGTCAAAGAACTTGAAATTGGTTATATGACTTGAATTTATATTCAATTGAATATTTCATGCTGTTGTGCAATACACGGTGCTGTTGTGCAATACTTAGTAAATCTGTTTTAAGAGATCCATACACTTAAACTAAATTTATTGTCCGGAAAACAAATGTCTTTGGACGACGATGACATGATAGCAATATACGACCGCAAAAAAATTTTGCGGTCGTATAAAAAGGTGTAAAAATTATCATAATTGGGCAAAATCTCCTATAAGAGTTCAACTGATAATTTTAGCCACATTGATATATTTGCAGATCTTGTCTTGCTAATCATTATTGCTGTAAACAGTTTTATTTATCTAATTTTGTTTTGGCCAAAAATGAAAAAAAATGGCTAAAACTGGTCATTAAAGCCAATAATTTCTCTTTAGGCCAGGTGAGCTAAAATCAGATTGAGCAACTTAAACCCACAAAAACATGGGTTCATTCAGGTACCTTGGAAGGGTAAGAGTTCTTGCTCCACTAGCGCCAACCATTGTGCTGTACATTGCATGTGAAAATCTAATGACAGTCGTATGTGTTCAGTTGATGCAGTTTTATTGAAGTTATAATTTGTACAGTATTTACCTTTTCCCATCAGCTTTTCTATTAGATTAAGAGCAGATACTTGTAATATCAGATCTGTCTTATTTTCATGTAGCACTCTTACAATATGTCTGAAATTTGACAAAAAATATAAACTGCTAGATTTCAGCACATAACAGTTTTAGAAGATTTTCCTTTTTCCAATTGTTTAGATTAACATAGCAAACATGAATCAACTCTCTTGCATTACATAAATAAATAATATGCATGTTATGTAAATGCTTAATAGTTCGGTGCACTTTTAATCCTTTAATAATGCTCTTCAACTTTGAACTTTATTTGGCCTTTTTAACTATTATGATTTGAGCGTCACTTTTGTTGACGGAATGTGTGTTTGGTGTAAAAATTTTAAGCCTAGTATCTATGATGAGTTTACTCCTAAGGGTCTTTCAGCATAATGTTAATGTGATCCTATATTGATTGAATGTAATGTTATCTGAAATGTTTTACTTATAGATTATGATATGAATGTGACCATGTTATGGTATTTCAAAATTTCCTGTTGAACAGGATGCTACATGAAACTAGTCAGGAGAACACTGGTCACCTTCCCCTACCCCCGTCTATGGTTGATATAAATATGCAGAAAAGTCTGATAATGAGTAAATATATGCTACTCTGCACAAGATATTTTTACCTGTAAGTATCAGCTGATATCAAACTTATCTGCAAATCTTCATTTTTCTCAAAAAATAAATCTAATAGTTGACATCCAATCTGAAAAAAGATGATTCCTGGTTTATTTTTTATAACATTAACTATTTCACATTTAATAAGTAGCTTAATTTCCTTTGCTTCCTTTTTACAAAATATAACATAGAGAATTTAGAGGAAGGAACTATATAAAGCAACCATACAAAACAGACAAAGTGTATCAGTTCAAACAATTTATTTTTTTCAATGTTAAATCAATTTTATAAGTTGGGCATCAAATTTTATGGATAACACATTTATTGAAGACAACAATTTTTTTTAAATTCCTCAGAAAACAATGAATTAAAATCAGTGGCTGCAAGGAGCTGAAATTACTAACTTTCATTCCTTTCATTCAAAAGTAATATACTAACAGTAACAAGTGGTGTATTTTGTAAATGAGATATAAAATGCCATAACGATCACATTAGAATACAAAACTGTGAAATTTGCCAATAAGAATCAATAATTGCCTCTGGTGGCTATGTTTTTTGTATAATCAGAATCAAACTAGTATAGATTGTACAGGTTCTTCTCTAGCTAACATCATTCCTGCCAAAGATATCTGCATTGGCCCACTGATTTTATAGTAGAACATGATAATGTGATTTTCCTTACAGTTTCAATAGTAACTATGTTCTACCTATTCAGCCAAGTTTGCCAACAGATGCTCCAAGAACCATACGTTTATTGGGAGAAAGGATAGTTTTAGTAGACTTACAGCCTAAAGCTAATAAAGCAAATATCTACCAAACAAGCATCTGAAACTACTCCTTTCAGAAAAGTTAAATATAAATTCTTCTCTATTATGAATGAACTGCCCAAGGCCATCCTTAAAAAATTCTTTGTTTGATGTTGTCTACCCATGCCCTGTAGGGTTGGGTGGGTAGGTGTAATTTATTTTTTTGGCCAACAACATAAGTTACATGTTTTAGAGAAGAAATCTATGTTAGAGCAGGAAAAAATCTTTAAAAAATTTTGAAACGATTTGTCATAAATTTTTTTCGGGTAGGCTGCTTTTAAGTTGGGTAGGTAGGCAACATCAAACAATTTAAATTTTGTTTTTGGCCTACTATGAAATTATATTTCATGTCAAGTTGTAAAAGATTGTTCTTCTTGAATGTGCAATTCCTTGTAAGCATGTAAACACATTCCTAATAGTTTGTATATATCAACTCACCGCTTGAACAGCTATATCATCAGGTAAAATTTCCATTGCTTTCATCACAACTTTGTCTATCTTCTTGGCAACAAGAAAATCTTGGAAGTCATCTTCAATTTAGAAAAAAATAATTCTTATTTTTATTTTTGTTTGCTCCATGGGAGTTTGAATCACTTGTATAATTTCATGGCAGCAATTTGAGGAGGAGGAAAGTGTAGTACATTATACATGGTACACCATTGATCTTTATTAAATAACCAACATTTCTAACACACTTAAACAAATAAAACAATGACCCTTAACATGAGCAGATTGATGAGGTGGAACCCAGTAGTGCCCAACTAATTTTTAGGTTAGCACTGCAATGGACCACATGGAGCCTAAAGCAGCCCCCAAATGTTCACTTATTTGTGTGCCCCCCTCTGTTTTTTTACCAACCTCGGCTAACTTTCAGCAAGAAACTGACACACAGTATATCACAAAGAAGCGTTCCCAAAAATTGGCAGTTTTGTCTATCCTCACCATTAAAAAACCTAATGTTCAACTAAAAGTTTGAGGTGGCTTACTTCTTTTTTACCCTTTCTGGTACTTAGAATAGCTCCTGATTAAAAAGTATATCAATATTTTATATGGAATCATACAATTATTGTGCAAACTGGAAATTAAGAAAACACAAAAGTGAAAGATAAATCAAGATTTTATCTTCATTTATTTTCAGACAGAAGTTGTGTTAATTAAATTTTTTTTAATAGTATATTATCTTTCAGAAGGGGAAGAACACAGTCTACCAGACGATGTAATTTAATTATCATTCATTATTTTATAAACAATAAGATCAAGGCTTGGACAAGTACTATTTCTCTTTTTAAGTATAACTGATCATACAGTTCTCAAAATTGTATTTCTCTTGTCAAACCAATCAACCCTTCTTACCTGGTATGATATATTCAATTGATTAAATTTGCAATTACTCCAGTCAATATAAACAATCATTTGACTTGAATTCGGTTCAATTAATTGACACAATTGATCTCCAAAGTACAAATGACTAAATCAATTCAATTGCACTTCTCCTGTTAAATAAGTCAAACCAACCATTTCTTCTTACATAACCCTTGGGTGGTCTCGTGGTAGTGTGCTCACCTCTTAGTGTGGGAGACTTTAGATTCTTCATATATACTTATCAGATTAATGTGTCCAGACTCTTCATGCAGACTGTAAGCATGCTTAAAATTAGGTACCTAATGTTGTTCTTATACAAAGCAAGCTCTATATATATATTACATTAACAGCTTCTTGTCCTGAATATGCATGTAATATTTGCTGCTGAATGTTAAGCAGCGATCAATCAATTAATCCATCTAAACCTAAAAAAGGTATATTTAATGTGTTAATAAACAAGAGGCTCTCAAGAGCCTGAATCGCTCACCTTTAATTTTTTGCTAAAATCTTTCATCAATGATTTTTTTTGCTTTTCAATATATATTAATGAGTGGCTTAAAATGTTCTTTGTATCTGTCATATTTTCTTCAAAAGCAAAAAAATGCATTTTATCCCTATTTTCCATTTTAGCCATAGTGGCTATGTTTCTTGACGTACAAGGAAATAAAATACAAAATTTATACTAGATACTCTGAAACTCATTCAGCCCAAGTTTGGCTGAAATTGATTCAGCAGTTTCAAAGGAGAAGATTTTTTAAAGTAAGCAAACTAGATGAACAAATTGTGAAAAATTGTCTTAAAAGGGCAATAACTCCTTAAGGGGTCAATTGACAATTTTGGTCATAGCAAACTTATTTGTAGATCTTACTTTGCTGAACATTTTTGCTGTTTACAGTTTATCTTTATCTATAATAATATTCAAGATAATAACCGAAAAACTGCAAAATTTCCTTAAAATCATCAATTCAGGGGCAATAACCTAAAAAATCAGATACCCGATTTGGCTGATAATTTCAGGGCAGGTAGACCTTGACCTAATGATTACTTTAACTTCTTGTCTGATTTACTCTAAATGCTTTAGTTTTTGAGATATAAGTCAAAAACTGCATTTTACCCTATGTTCTATTTTTAGCCATGGCGGCCATGTTTTCTGAGGAAACAGAAAATAAACACAAACTTTATTCTAGATAACCTAAGAATCATTCAGCTTAAGTTTGGGTTAATTTGATTTAGTAGTTTCAGAGGAGAAGATTTTTTAAAGTTAGAAAACATGATAAACAAATTGTATAAAATTGTCTTTAAAGGGCAATAACTCCTTAAGGGGTCAATTGACAATTTTGGTCATGTGAAAGTTATTTGTAGATCTTACTTTGCTGAACATTTTTGCTGTTTACAGTTTATCTTTATCTATGATAATATTCAAGATAATAACCAATAAACAGCTGCACCATGAGCACATGATACACCCGTCGTTTTTTCAAAGAATAACATTCCCATAACTCCTAAATGTCATATCAGAAATTTATAAAAGAACTAAAGGGAGCTCACATCAATAGAAATAAAGCAGTCACCAAATTTTCATGAAAACTGCTCAAAGCACTTTTGAGTTATTGTCTGAAAACAGGAAAATCCCCCTTTTTTAATGAATAAAACCCCATAACTTGGAAACATAAAATCTAAAATTTATATAAATCAAATGGCAGCTCATTTCAATAGATATAAATAATTCATCAAAGTTTCATGAAAACAGCTTAAAGCATTTTTGAGTTATTGTCTGAAAACTGGAAAATCCCCCCTTTTTTAACGAATTAAACCCCATAACTCCGAAACGTAAAATCTATAATATATAAAAAACGAAAGCGAGCTCACGTCAAAAGATATAAACAATTCACCAAAGTTTCATGCAAATTGGTTAATGCGTTTTTGAGTTATTGTACGACATGTGGACGACGGACGGATGGACAGACAGACAGACGGAAGGAGGGACAACAGTATACCATAATACGTCCCGTAAACGGACGTATAAAAACTGCAAAATTTCCTTAAAATTACCAATTTAGTGGCAGCAACCCAACAATGGGTTGTTAGATTCATCTGAAAATTTCAGGGCTGATAGAACTTGACTTAATGAACATCAGATTTGCTCTAAATGCTTTAGTTTTTGAGATATAAGCCAAAAACTGCATTTTACCCCTATGTTCTATTTTTAGCCATGGCGGCCATGCTTTTTGACGAAACAGAAAATAAAACATATACTTTATTCTAGATACCCTAAGGATCATTCAGCTTAAGTTTGGTTGGAATTGGTTTAGTAGTTTCAGAGGAGAAGATCTTTGAAATAGTTTACACCGGACGGAGGACAACAGACGCAAAGTGATGGCAAAAGCTCACATTTCCTTTTAGAAAAGGTGAGCTAAAAAAAACAAAAAACTTTTTAAAATGCATATACTAAATTTATAGTTTATCCTCATGCAAATTTAAATTAATGAAAGGATGACAACTAGGTTTTAGATCCTAAAAGCACAACAAAATATTTAACAAAAGTCACTTGTGAAAACTTTCTATTCCATTCATAAAATTTCTGTGAAAAACTTCTGGTCTTACCATAATGAAAGTGTTTCTTGATGTTTGATAAAGCCAAGATGACATAACCAGGATCTGACCAACTCTGTAATGTATTGATAATAGAATGGCCTAGTTTTAAGAGGTTTTCTTCGTTTTTTCCATAATTAATCGGTACAACTTCAAAGCTACCTAAAAAGTCAGGTGATGCTGGATCAGTGATGATTTCACGGCTTGCAAAATGGTCAGGAAACAAGTGTTCCATGGTTTCATCATCTTCTTTTATTATCCTGAAATGTGGAAGTAGAAATACATCAAAAACTGCAGGCTCTAAAGAACTTGCATCACACCCCTGGAATTACAAAAATATTGACAATAATTATTCTATCGTTTAAATTTGGTAGCAGCTGCTTTTAATGTATTTTTTTGGGTCGGGTTAAAAGTTTGGCAGGAATTGGGTCTTTCAATTGACTTTTTGGAATTTTCATTCAATAGAATATTTTTGGTAAAGTAGAGGTCATATCAATGGCAGACAGGTCTTGAAGGTTATTGGTTAATTCATCTTATAGGGGATTATAAATGGGTCATTTAACCAAATTTCAATAACAATACTTATTTTTCGATTTATGCAATTTGAGCAGGAGTTACTTCCCTTTTGTCTCCGTGTTGGAGGTCTAAATGCACACAATTCCTTCATAAACATGATAAATCAGCTAAATTTATCTTGGAAGTCATCTACTGACTGCTAGACTATAGAAAAAGTTGTTTTCTGAACAATTTCATTTTCTCTGATCATTGCTTAATTCATTACTTCTATTTAGTAAGGATCTCTTATCAGACTTGTTTGTACCACATGTTTCAATTGGTTTAGTCAAATAAAAAAATCAATTATTTACACCTTAAAAATTACAGCCAAGGTAAATAACACAAACTCAAATAACATCATATTAAACCTACCTATTGGCCCATTACTTGATTATTTTAGATTGTTTTTATTTACTATGGATTCATTAATATTCATTGGATATCAATTTTTGTGGATATTGATGGGTACAGGGGAACCACGAATTTAAATGTTCAACGATTTACAAATTTTCTAAAGGAATATATGCAGATTTTGTCAAAACCACGAAATTAAATATCCACGAATATGCAAGTTTTCTTCAATCCACGAAAATTAGTACCCACGAAAATAAATGAATCCACAGTAAATTTTGTGCTCGTGGATTCCTCCTTCAGGTAAGTTAGTAGAGAAGTGGTTTACAGTATCAGAACTCCCATGTTAAAATGGATAGAAGATTTTCTCCCATCCCTCACACAAACAGTCATTATTGATGATGTACAATTAAGACAAATAATGTGACATCTGGTGTACCTCAAGGAACAATTTAGGATCCTATTCTGTTCCTAATGTATATAAATGACTTCAGTGAATACATCAAACACAGCACTCTAAGATTTTTTGCAGAAGACAGCATCATGTACAAAACAATACAAAACAAAGAAGACACACTAATTGCAAGAAGGCATTACACCAGCAGCAAAAAAGTAGAATGACTGGCTCATGCCTTTCGACGAAGACAAGTATTCAGTCATTCAGAAAACAACAAAGAAAAATCCAATAAAATTTGACTATCTTCACCAACATGTACTGCAGAAAGAAACATTGACAAAATATTTTGCTGTTACAATTCAAACAGACTTAAAATGGAACAGAACAAACATTCATCAGTCACACAAAAGTTAAACTTCAAAAAGATAAACTTAAGTTTAAGGTCAATTCAAAAACAGTTAAAGAAAAAGCTTATATATCACTTGCAAGACCAAAGCTAAAATATAGCAGCTGTGTCTGGGACACAAATAACAAACATATCAACTTGAAATGGTACAGCAATGAGCACAGAGCAGCTAGGTACACCTGCAGCAGATACCATTACACCAGATCAATTACTGAAATGCAGCATACTCAACTGGACAGCTTTAGAGAAATAGCAAATAAGAACATGTATCATCTTTTTCTACAAAATCATACACCATCTTGTACTGTAGCCATATACCCAACAAATTTGCTTATCCAAGACAATATAATTATCATTGATATGGTCATAATTATAAATTAACTGTTTATAAAACTTTGAGTTTTTCGAAATACTAAGGATTTTCTACCCCAGAAATGGATTACCTTACTAGCTGTATTTGACAAAACCTTTCGGAATTTTGGGTCCTCAATGCTCTTCAACTTCGTACTTTGGCCTTTTTAACTTTTTTGATTCAAGCGTCACTGATGAGTCTTTTGTAGACGAAACGTGTGTCTGGCGTACAAAATTTTAATCCTGGTATCTATGATGAGTTTATTCACACAATCATTCTAACAGACCTATACAAGCCACTAATGATTCATACAAATATTCATTTTATCCAAGAACCTCCTACCTGAAATAAATGTACTACACTTGACTATTACCTAAGAGCATGTCCCAATATCTGTTCTCAACAAACATCTCCACATTTAAATAAACCTACACAGTAAATGTATAACAGTTTTAATCAAAATGTATGGTACAAAACAGAAGGAAACCACAGGCTATTTAGGGCCTGTGTCACTCACCTAGATCTATGTGCATCTTCAACAATGGACACACTCCAACATTGTGGATAAGAATATAATTCATGAAAAAATTCGAATTTTTATTGACTTAGGTAGATCTTGTCTTGCTGATTATTTTTGCATTTTATAGTGTCTGTCTTTTATCATTTTCAAAATAATAGGCAAAAACAATAAAATTAGGTATAAATGGTCATTAAAAGCAATAACTCCAATAAGGAGTCAACTGACGATTTCAGCCATTAGACTTGTAGGTAAATCTTGTCTTGCTGATCATTTTTACTTATTTAAGTTTTTATTTACAATGTATCTGTTATCGTTTTAAGCAGGGATGGGCACGATTACTGACAAATGTAATCGATTAATAATCGATTACTTGAAGGATTTTTGTGTAATCGATTAATAATCGATTACTCTGATTTTTGTATGTAATCGATTGCAATCGATTACTTTAGCAAAAGTAATTACATTACTTTTCGATTACTGTCAATTACATGCTACAAAATTACAAATTAAATAAAGTAAGTTAAACACAAAGTCAATTATGTTGTTCAATGTATTTATAGTGGAAATTTTGAACTTTACAAAAATAGCGTTTAAAGCATTGTTTCCAAATTTTATGTTGACAGTTGTTTTCTAGATGGAAGCTCTTACTATCTAAGGATCTGAAATATTCAAAAATTCTAGAAATTTTGGTTTTCAATATGAATGATTGGTGATAAAGTTCTTGCAATGGCATCACATTGCATCAATCACTTCTTTATATTTTAGGTTATTATCTCCATATTTTTGCAAATTTTTGCTGTCGTACTGACTAAAGTTAAGTTTTTTGTTTTTACTCATTATTAACAGCTATATTTGAATATAGTTCATTACAATGTTGAAAGTTTACTCTGAAAAAAAAACTATAAAAAAGTAGAATAATTAATTAGTTCAGCTAATTTTAGAGATGAAAATTTATGATTTGTAATTACATGCATGAATTAATCCTTTTGTTTTGACAACCTCCCTAATTACAGGCTATAATACTGCCAATGGAGTACACCTGGGGCAATATAATGTAAATCTCCTCTTAATTAGACATAATTGAAATCAAAACAAAGTCTTCATCTTATTGATTAGAAGTCTTTGTTCATCTGATTAGTAAAGACAAGAAGTTTGTTGAGAATTTTGTATTCTCATTTCAAAATTATAAACAATTTATATTTTTTGTGCAAAAATTGGATACATGTATCTCTATTTCTGAACAAGAATTTTAATGCATAGCCATTGATTCATTGTCAAAAGGATTTCGTGTACTTTGTAATTTTATGTCATAATATTATAATGAATCAAATGTTTATCTATTCTAAGCTAAAATTCCAACTATTATTGAAAATTATGCTTTAAGGAATTTTAATACAAATAAGCTTACTACTGCAATATAGTACAGATTTTAACTTAAGACTTATTTCTTATTTAAATCTATTTTCTTATTTTTGTATAAAAGGTCTTAAATTATTGACCAGCAAGAAAAGTCATTTGTTTCAAAAGCTAGATATACAGTATAATTTGATAGCTCTGGTTGAAGCAGCTGGAGCCAATAGATAGAAACAAGGCATTTGATAAACTCTTAAGTCATATCAATACATTTTATTTTTATCTGTACTATAAAGTGATGAATACATACATACTTTCATATAAAATAGATTATAATTCATCAAGCTATTTTACCAAAGTAATCGAAATGTAATCGAAAAGTAATCGATGATTACATCATAATTTTTGCTGTAATCGATTAAATTACGATTACATGTAATCGAAAATATCTTCGATTACAGATTACTGTCGATTACTGGAAAAAATGTAATCAATTACAATCGATTACGATTACAGATTACGATTACCCCATCCCTGGTTTTAAGATATTTGGCAAAAACACCAAAATTTGTTCAAAATCATTATCAAGGGACAATAACTCAAATAAGGAGTTGTTCGACATTTTTGGCTATGTTAATCTTATATGTAAATGAACACATGTAGATCTTGTCTTGCTCATCATTTTTGCTTTTTAAGGTGTTTATCTATCAATTTTCAAGATAATAGTCAAAAATACAAAAAATGGGTAAAAATGGTTTTTAGCTATTTAAAGTGTTTAAAGTTTCTCTATAAATATCATAGTTTTTAAGAAAATAGGCAAAAGGTTTTTTTTAAATGGAAATTGTCATTTAAGGGTGTTATTGCGTTTTGATTAGAAGTCATCTGTAATCTGAACACTCTGAACATTTTTACAATGTTCTTTGTGACAGATTTTCTATATTTACGGTGTTTATTAAAATACAGTAGACATAATTTGCATTTTACCCCCATGTTCTTTTTTTAGCCATGTCAGCCATGTTGGTTTGACTGGCAGGGTCATGGGACACATTTTTTAAACTACATACCCAATGTAGTCCAAATAATTATGTCTTGAAAGGCTTTTTTAATTATTTTGTGTGACGCCTTCCTAACACGTAGGCTTATTTAATTTAGGCGTCACAGAAAAAAAATTAAAATAGCCTTTCAAGACCTCATAATTATTTGGAAACCCCAATGATTATTTTGGCCAAGTTTACTTAAATTTTGCCTAGTAGTTCCAGGGGATGAAAATCCACAAATTATTTCTAATTCAGTCGGAAAGCAAGCCCTTAGAAACGACCGTTGTTGCTACTTTCTTAAGAAAACAATGGGACTGATATTAAAACCCGCCTTTCTGAAATTGCGTTAATTTCGCGGAAAAAATAATTTGGCGCCAATTTTTAATTTTTTCTTTTTTCTGTTTCTTACTTGCCATTAGGGTCAGAAATAGATTTCTTTCGATTTTTCAAGCATGGTTCTTATTATCAAAGAAAATAATACTTAAACATGTTATAAATTGTCCGTCTTTTAAAAATAACGTAATGCCTTTGATCGTCGTTTAAAAATTATGCGAAATTGTCTGTTATTTTTTTCATCTTTTTTTTCCAGATAAACAAAGAATATACAAACTATATAAAAAATTAATAATAAGTATCTCAAAGTTAAAACAAAAATCAAGTCTAACGTTCTATCACCCCTTAGGAAACCCCGTTCGAACTAAATTCCAAACGAAAGACATTTTTTGACATTGTAGTTTTTTTATCTTACACATTGATGTCAACTTGCATCTTTACACATTGTACACACATTTATAATTATAGTGTGTTTGTTTGAAAAAGCAATGGCGAGTTCAGCTGTGAATATTTGACTGGATTAATTATTCTCTTTATGTCAGTGAATTGTTTGACTTAACTAAAACAAGGTAAGGAAATCGTATACTGTCTTTACACAATCTTAACCAAAACTCATTCATCGTTTATAATATTATAAAAAAATTTGTGAATAAGTAATCCTGCAAAACTGCCAAAGGTAAATGAAAAAGTCTTGTCCTAAATATGAACTTAAAACAATCTCTTTCAGACTAGCATTTTAATCACTCTTATTCTAAGCATGTTCATACTGACATGAAGTGTGACTTACTTATGACTTGTGATCTAAAACATAATATTGTTGACTTAGCACTTAGAATCTGCTCTGAAATACTTTTACATAAATATAAAAATGCATAATTGTTAAAAAAAAATAGAAGAAGAAAAATATTAGACCCAGTCTTTTTTGTTCTTATCTATTTTCAAGTTCATGATTAGAACCATTTATTTATTGGTTTTAATAGTGTTTTTTTTTTATATAATTTGAGTCCATTCATTAGAATCTGCATGGAATCAGTGAGACAAAATTTATTGTTATATTTAGTTTGTTCATACAAGAATTGCAAGCTAATTTCCTTTTATTTCAAATAATGAAGAAATACATTCAGAATACTTTCATTATGGTCTCGTTTAAGTTTAAATGAAAAAGGTACGTAGGATCAGGTATCAGTAATGAAAAGGAGTTCCTGTATTTGATCATTTTAATCCTGTCTTGATCCATTATTCATGAATATTTTGGCTACCCCTTGTACATGTTGTATGATTAAAGTAGAAATTTATTTCTGTGTTGAAATAATTTGGTTACAGCAGTATAAATACTTACCAAAATATAAATATTAAATTAACTCTTGGAATAATAATATTATGGCACATACTGACATAGGGCCTATTTGAGTATTTCACTGAGACTGAGTTCTAAAAAGTGATAAAATGTGTTTCGCTAATTTTTTTGCACGTCTTAAGTATCAAAATATATTCAATGAAATTATTTTAATAATATCCTCATGTAAATAACAGCATATGGTGCTTAATATAATAATAGTTTGATCATGAGAGTGTCAAACAAAGGGACGTAACTCGTAAATTACTATGGGCCCCGCTTCGTCAGAAATATCGACACATCGAAGTGGCACATTTGCGTATTACAGCGTATTAAGTGGCACAAATTTTACATATCGTAGTCAAAGTTATGTTGCATAACAT